GGGCTTTGCTTCCCTGCCTTTTCAGGTGGCTGGAGTCCTCGGAGGGGGAGGGGGGGCAGTGCCCGCTGGTGGCTCCTTTCCCTTCAGAGGGCCACTCGTGTGCCCGCATTCAACCTGCTCTTTTCCATTTTCCACAGGGATGTGCCCACGTTCCTCATAGGTAGGTTTATTCCAGTTCTTAGAGCCGGTGGTCTCCTTCGGACCCTCCCTCACTTTCACCGACTGCAGGACGCTTCTCCAGAGCTCTGGACACAAAGGGGCCCTTCAGGAGTGGGGGGAGGAGGCTCCTGGCAATGTCCAGGAGGTTGCCCGGCTGACCATCTGTGGGTCACTGCCTGTCAGCATGAAAAGTGGGGGTGGGGGGGCTGGAGTCCAGGTTGGGAAAGGCAGCACCTCCACCCCCACCCCCCGATTCCACTCACCGTCTCCTTCCCTTGCAGGTGACCAGAGCGGAGGCCTCGAAACAGCCGGGAGAAGTGGCTGGGCGTGTTTCGGACTTGGCTCAAACAGCAAATTTTAATAAATAGATTCAGTTCATGCACTTCTGGCTTCAGTGGGACTTTTTTCCGCACTGCAAGGATGGGGGGGGGAATCTTAATCTATGGGATGGAGGTGGGGGACAATCCAGTCGGGGAGGGAATGAATTTAAAAATGGTGAACGGGAGGGGGGGGGCTAAAGGACTAGCTGTTCCTTCAGGACTTTTTGCCCCCCTCTGTGGGGGAGGGCAGGACTGCCTCTTCAGCAAAAGCCCCTCAGCTCTCCAACCTCACGGGAGATGTGGGGGAGGGGAGATCCCTCCCTGCTGTGCCAGCTCAGAGAAGCCCCTTCCTCTGAGCCCCCTCTGCCCTGCCCCCCACCCCCAGGGCTGATCCTGAGATCTGGTTCCCAAACTGAGAGCTACATGCACGGAGAATTTACCCCACCCAGAATTTCCAAATTCCCCAGGCAATATGGGCGACATATAAATTGAGTAAACCAACAAGGAAATAAATGAACCTGAAAGGGGGAGGAGGAGGTGAGGATCAGCGGTTGGAGGCAACCAGGGGCTTCCTGTCCCTAATACACCCCCCCCCACCTGAGAGCAAAGGCTGGATGAATATCAGGGAACATTTGGAAACCTTCAATAAACTGCAATAAACCAACAAAATAGGCCACACACTTCTTCCTCCCTGCCTTTGGACCCAACCAGGGTCAACCCCAGCCTAGCCCTAGCGGGCCCAAACTAGCCATCCTGCCCCCCCTCAACAAAGCCCCCCAAAAGCCCATCTAGACCACAGACAGAAGCCCCTCCAGGAGTCCCAGGGAAGCCCAAAGAAGGAGCTGCAAGGCAGTAGCACGCTGAGGAGCCCCAATGCTCCGTCCTCAGTCAGGGACACCCCCTCCTCCCCACAGTCCCCCAAGGGAATCCACGGGCTGCAAGGTCCCCCCGGGAGCCAGGAGGGGTCAGAGCCCTTGCCAAACTGACCAGTGAAATCCAATTTTTTTTACTACCAGTTCTGTGGGCATGGCTTGGTGGGCATGGTGTGGTTTGGTGGGTGTTGCCTGGTGGGCGTGGCAGGTGAAGGATACTGCAAAATCTCCATTCCCACCCCAGTCCTGGGGGAAGGATATTCTAAAATCTCCATTCCCACCCCACTCTGAGGCCAGCCAGAGGTGGTATTTGCCGGTTGCTGCTGGGGTTCTCCAGAACTTGCCAGAACTGCTGGATTTCACCCCTGGACCAGGGCAATAAAAGGAGTCAGGATTAGAGGTGCAGCATTCACACAATAGCACTAGCAATAGCCCTTAGACTTATATACCGCTTCAAAGTCCTTTTACAGCCCTCTCTAAGCGGTTTTCAGACTCAGTCTCTGGACCCCAACAATCTGGGTGCTCATTTGACCCACCTTGGAAGGACGGAAGGCTGAGACAACCTTGAGCCTGGTGAGATTCGATCTGCTGAACTGCAGCTAGCAGTCAGCAGAAGTAGCCTGCAGTACTGCGCTCTAACCACTGAGCCACCACAAGCCCCTGTGGGGGAAGGAGGCTGCAGATGTGGCAGCCGGTGGGACCTCCTGGGCTGCATCTGCCAGGCCCAACGCTCCTTCCGAGGGGCTCCCTTCCCATCCCGAGCAGCAGCGTCCTTCGCCCCCACCCCCCGGTCCTCCTGTTCCCGCAAGTTCTCTAACAGGATAGGCTTCCCAGCAGGCAAGACTAGCGAGTGGCGTGAAGACATGCTGAGCACATAGCTGGTGGCTCAGGGCGTGGTGGGACACAGCTCTTGTCTCAGCATGTTGGGGCTCCCCATCCCTCCCAAAGGCAGAGACTGGTTTATGTGAAACCTCCAGTTGTGGGGGGGGGGGACCCCCTCAGCAAACACTCAGAGAAAGGGCTGCCCAGCCTCTGCTTGCAGGCCTCTCCCGAGGGAGCTGCTTCTGCTGCCCAGCTGCCCAGAGAGAGAGGTTGGAGTCCAAAGCATATCCTGCTTGCACCTCCTCTTCTCAAGGTCAGCTCACTCTCTTCACAGGAGGCGGTTTCTAGTCCCTTGGCCTTCCTGAAACAGTCCCAGGTTCTCTGAGTGAATATAACAATCAGGCAGGGGTGAAATCCAGCAGGTTCTGACAGGTTCTGGAGAAACAGTCGTGGAAATTTTGAGTAGTTTGGAGAACCGGCAAATACCACCTTTGGCTGGTCCCAGGAGGGGGGAGGGAATGGAGATTTTGCAATATCCTTCCGTCAGGAATGGGGAGGGAATGGGGATTTTGCAGTATCCTTCCCCTACCACGCCCACCAAGCCACGCCCACAGAATCAGGAGTAAAAAAAATTGGATTTCACCACTGCAACCGGGGTTTCTTGATCCAAGTTGCAGACTCATTTGCCATGAGGCCCTCACAATTTGTTTGTTTGTTTGTTTGTTTGTTTGTTTGTTTGTTTGTTTTGTCAAACTTGTACGAGATAACAGGAATAAGTATAAACCTGGATATTAATACAGGAAATGGGTATGAATAAAAGGGAACAGTAGGACAGGGACGAAAGGCACCCTGGTGCGCTTACAGTCTGCACGCCCCTTACAGACCTCTTGGGAATAGGGTGAGGTCCCCAGTAGACCTCACGGTAGACAATTTAAAGTTATGGGGGTTAGGGTTATGGGGGAGTGTATTGTTCTTTGAATATGTGGCACCAGGAAGGAGTCAACTCTTGAGTGACCACATGGTTTTTTTTCTTTTAATAATCTTTCGTTGAGGGAGGGAGAGAAGGAAGGAAGGAAGGAAGGAAAGATCATCTCAATATTAATCTTCAAAATTCTTTGCATCGTTATATTTTTTGTTTCCAATTTGTTTTGCTTTCCCACAAATCCATCATGTGTGCTAAGGTGCCCCTTTATGTTTTTTCATATTTCCAGCATTAACAAGAAGTACCTTTATACATCTCTGATAACTTCTCTGGTGTCCTACCAAAGGTTTATCTTTTTGTGAAAATTCTCTCTTAACTTAAAACAGGGTGTGAATTTCGGTCCCTTGCGTAAAGACGCGAAAGCAAGCATTTTCCAAAGTTCCCTTTACTAGAATAAGTAAACTGGCACTTCTGGGAAAAGCCGAATCTGAAAGGTCCAGGTTTTCCCTCAGTAAATCAAACCCTTGGTAGTACAGTGGATTAATGCACCCTGTTATTAACACAGCTGCCTGCAATTTCTGCAGGTTCGAATCTCACCAGGCTCAAGGTTGACTCAGCCTTCCATCCTTTCCAAGGTAGGTTAAATGAGGACCCAGTTTGTGGGGGCAATAAGCTGACCTTATATAAATATACAAAAGGATGAAGGCTATTGCTTAACGCCTTGTAAGCCGCCCTGAGTCTCTGGAGAAGGGCGGCATATAAATCAAATTAAAAAAAAAAAAAGACCCCAAACCATCCCCTGCCCCCATCAGTCCATCACAGGCTCCAATCACCATCCGTCCCATCTCGACTCAGCCCTCCGACCACTCCTTCTCCAGATGCCGGATCGCCCTGACCTTGACCGACAGGAAGAATGCTATGAGGTCTACCAACAACCCCTCCTACTTTCCCACACATGAGAAGGTGGCAGCATGGAAGCTTCCGGCCTAATATGGCTTCCAAAGCAGACATTGTCTCCTACTGGTCCATCTGTATACTATAGCAATAATTCGTACCCCATTTTATCAATGAATCTTTATGTTTGTGGAGATTCTCAGTCATGGTTGCCCCAAAAGTGCTTTTTCAAAAGGCAACTGGACTTCCTTGTTTTTTCCTTGAAGATGTTCTCCTCCAAGAAACGTCTTCACTTCTGACTGAATAGAAATCCATCCATTCCCACCATTCAGCCAGAACTGAAAAAGTTTCTTGGATGAGAAGCAAAACCAAAGAAAATCTAGTTTCCTTTTGAAAAATCCCCTCTGGGACACACGAGCCTTACATTAAATCTTTCTCTTAATTCTGCATATGAAAACCCTTGAAAACTAAACCCTTCTGCTGTTCATGACTCTCTTGACTTCATCCTGAGCTGTCCATGTGTTCTCAGGAACACAAAATGCCAAAAGCATCAATACTCTTTCTATCTTGATCTTCTAAAAGTTGGTATCATTTGAGCCTAACCATGATGTCTTATCACACCTTGAGCATGTGAGGACACCTACTGACTCCATCTTCTCCTCTGTTCTCTCATCTAGCTGGTCACAATCTTGTTAGTGTTGCACTTTAGCCAAGCCACTGACCTTTGTCGCCCAGCTCCGAACAAAGAAGGAGACCTTTCCGGGTGGGCTGCAGGCCAAATGCCCACTGGGTCCGGAGCCAACACAAACCTCCCCTGTTTGGAGAAGGTCAATGGGTAAGGTCAGCCTGCCAGCCGGGGCCCTCATGGCATCGGGGCCCAGCCAAGAATAACCCTGTTATCTTGGTGGTTGCACACCTGGATGGAGGTGACGCAAGCCTCTGCGAGGGTGGGGGGGGGGGGGGGGGGGGGGGGGGGGCGCTGGGCTCTATAAGAGCAGGAGCCCCTGCAAATGCCAGTCACCTGCCTCCGAGTCTCAGAATATTCTTTGGCTGAGGAGGAGAAAGGACCGAGCGAGATGAAATCCCTGCTGATTGCTTTGGGCCTCGCCCTCTGCTGCCTCGCCCAGGTTGAATGGGAAGAAGTGACCACAGCCAGCGATAAGGTAGACCGAGGTGGTTGGAGCAGGGCTGGCTTCCTTTGGGGTGATTGATCAGGGGACCCCAATACTGTAATCTCATATATGGAAAGGGATCGCCTCTGCTGACGTGAGAGATTCACTAACGCTGAAGGTAAATTGTGCCAGGTCTCCCCGCATTCTCTCTCTCGGCCAAAGGACCAGCCAGGGGGATTGTGGTAGCCAGAGGGGGTCCCTCCAGACTGGGGAAGATCTCCCTCAATCTGTGGCTGAGAAGACTTGGCTTGACACTGGGACTTGGGGGAGGGGGGGCGTCTGCTTCTGCAGCCGCCCCATGTAAACGCTCTTTCTGCAGCGAATCAAACCGAAGGAGTGTTTGCGTTCTCTCCTCGGTTGTTGGGACAACACAGAGAGAGCTATTTGTTGCCGCTGCCTCTAAATTCTAGTCCAACGCCCTGTTGAGGCAGGAAACCCTCTATCATTCCAGAGAAATGGCTGTCCAGTCTCTTCTTGAAACCCTCCAGTGATGAGGAGCCGTTCTCACTGTCAGGAAAGCCCTGCTTGGTTCTAGGTTGCTTCTCTCCTGGATTAGTTTCCCTCCGTTGCTTCTTGTCCTGCCTTCGGTGCTTTGGAGAACAGTTTGCCCCCCAGTCTGTCTCTTGAGCAGCAAGGCAGGACTGGCTCCCTTGACTGAAACGGGAATTGCAAAGCGTGGGAATAGCTTCAATGGAGCCCCTCAAGTGAGCAGGAGGGAGGCTGGTCCCTTCCAGAGACTTAATGTGGCTCCTCTTCCCTCTTTCGGCTTCAGCATCTGGGTTCCTGGGTGAATGTTGCAGCTGCGTGTGATTCACCAGACGCTCTAGAGCAGATAAGACACATGTCGGCATTTGTTGCTGTCCTGTCAAAACCACGGGAAGATGTGTTTAGCATTTTGGCCTTCGTCCCCATGTAAGTATCCTAGCTCAAGCCAAGCCCTTGTGGACCGACTGCAGTGCATTAGACAAGGCCATCCCAAGGGCCCAGCAGGCTGGAAGGGTGGATTTCTGAGGCAATTTGAAGGAGGAGCACACAGGGCTTGTCCTGTGAACTCAAGGCTCAAGTAAGGGACAGCCCCATGCCAGTGCCGGAGAACGCCCAACTAGCTTTGAAGGAACAGGGAAGGCATCTGTTGGGGTTCTTCAGCCACTGACGCAAATACTTTGATCCAGCTGTGACTCTGAAATGCCTCAAATAAGCAGGACACCAGTCTGGCAGATGCCCCAAAAGACTAAAATGTCAGAAAGAGAGGCTGGGGCTGGGCAGCCGGACTCAACTCGAGCAGCTGGAAATGCTCACCAATCTGGCTTCCTTAGCAACAAGCCTTTAGCCAAATGGAGGGAGGCGAAAGAGGCCTCTGGGAAGCCCACAGCCAGAGATAGTGAAAGCCAGATGGCCGTAGCTGGGTGATGCTTCCCACCCAGATGGACAACTTGGAAAGCCTTCCTCGATAGGTCAGTTCAGATTAATGTTCAGCGGTGGGACTGTTGACTGTCTAAGGCAGGCAGCCTCCCCTTTTCACGCCACCTTTTCTTTTGCAGGCCGGACGGGTGCAAGAAAGTAACATACCAGTTCAGAAAAGGAGAAGATGGAAAATATCACAGCCACTGTGGTCTGTACTGGTGAAGGGCTGCCTTGATTCGGTCACCCGTGAAAACTGGGCCCCGGGGAGGGCTTTGCCCCCAACTCCAGCAAACAGATGCTGTGCAGGAGCTGGTGGGCAACCCCATGGCATCTCTTCCAGTGGGGACACAGAGCTTAAACAGGTTTCCTGCTCTCTTGGGACCGCCTCTCTTCAGGCCTTTGGGGACACAGTCCGCGTAAAGGGATCGGGGCCCCAGGGCCACTGCAGGGCAAGTCCATCCGTCACCGGATTGAGAGTGTGAGATGGAGATTGCCTCCAGAGACCGTGGTTGCTCCATCGCTGGAAGTTTTTGAGCCTGGACAACCATTTGTCTAAAATAGTAAGGGGTTGGACTAGAAGACCTCCAAGGTCCCTTCCAACTGTGTTATTCCATTATTCTGACCTTCCAAGAACTGAAGTTGCTCCTTCGTAAAGAGTATATATTCTAAATATTTTAAAGCCATATGTTATTTCAACATATAAGCCTTTCCTGCCTATCTATCTTTTCCATTGGAAAGAGATGACTGGGAAGCCTTGACTCCCCTGATTCCTGGGGGTCCCAGTAAAAGGGAGGGGGGTGGAGGGGGAGAGAGGTGAAAAAGCAGCTTGGATTGTCACTTGTACATGAGCTACAGGGGTCGTATTCCTCTCCATTCTTTGAGGACACAAGGAACCCGAAGGCTGAAAATAAAGGGAACGTCCTCCCACAAGGTCCCAACCTGTTCGGGACGCAGCAAGTTGCTATTTTTGTGGTTCAAGGGGGAAAAGCCCAAGGGGGAAAGTCAGACTGTCGGGCTGCCCCTCCTTCCTAGGAGCCCGACCGGGTGCAAAAAGTCCATCCTCCATTTCGTTAACCATCTCAAAATACTACATTATAAAGGGTTAAAGGACGTTAATATTACTATTAGCTTCTATATTTAAACTGTAATTTCTGCAGTTTGATTTTATAATAATTACTTTTCTGATAGGTACGCACTGCTGTTCCCTGTAATATACCTGAAAAGGTCTGGAGACTTATCAGATAAACTGTTCTGCCTAATGAGCCAATGCTGAGTTCTGACTTCCACAAGGTCACCAGCTTGGCTAGAGTTGGGTCTGCCTGAATCTCCCCCTCATGTCCCAAACCTTTTCTGGCAGATGATACAACAGTGACGGTGGAGTCATTGAAGGCCCTAGGCGAGTCCATCATGTCCATCATCAAATATGACGACTTCAGAACCGCAATACTTCACAGTAGGTGTCCCAAGGCCCATCGTCCCTGCAAGGAGGAGTTAGGCTGGGCTTTGTCATCACCTCACCCGTCCTTATGCATTTCCCTAAAAGTTAAAACTCAGGGCTTCTGAAAGGGTTAAGAGTCTGCCCAGCATTTACTTATCTGGCAAAATCCTGACACAATGGGAAACCCTGCCACCCCCACTCCCCTTCCCCCTGGAAATCTTCCCCTCTTCCCCATTCAGCACACACCCCTGCTCTGCCTCTGTCCCCACAGGTCGGACAGTAACTCAGGATCCAGAGATAATTGAGAAATTCAAAGAAGAATGTAAAAGGCTCGGCTACAGCAAAGATCAGATTGTGGTTTTAAACCCAACCGGTAATGCAATTCACAGCAGAAAAGTAACGAATAGAGGAGAGCAGTTTTGGTGGAAGGGTTAAAAGTAGAAACTGGGAGATCTGAGTTCTAGTCCTGCCTTAAGTATAGAAGACATTGGGCTGACTTTGGGATGGTCCCCGTCTCTCCCTCCCGGCAAACCACAATGAAAAATGTGGCCACAAACACAGCAGGGACCTGTCCAAGAAGTTGGCTCAAAGGCAGAAATAAAGAGAGATACATGATGGATGGATGGATTGATCTAAATAGAGTCCATTCATGAGAATGGACTTCTTGAAATCTCTTTGGAGTCTGTCTTATGTAGAAAGATGGGTGCAGATGGGTGGTCTACATGCAAGGGGAGGACGGGGGGGAGTCATGTTGGTGGGCAGATGACCTAAGAATTTACCTTTCCTTGCAACGCATCTTGTATTCATCCTATTCGCCATTAATGGCCACCTTTTCTCCTCCACAGTGAAGTGCCAAGAAGAATAGGTGAGTTTTCTAAGATGGGTCACCCATTTACAATGCCAAATCCTACCCATTTGCATGAAAAACAGGGGGAGGCAGCACCCTGATTCTACTCAGTGGCTCCTTTCCTTTCCAGGCAGGTGACCAGAGCAGAGGCCTCGAAACAGCCGGGGGCCGCAGCTGGGCATGTTTTGGGCTTGGCTCAAATTCCAGGGAGGAATCTTAATAAATGGACTCAGAAAATGCAACTCCTTTCTCCAGCGTGACTTTTATTTCCTGTGGGGCCATCTTGATCTGTGGCTTGGGGGTGGGAGAGGATCCAGTGGGGGGGGGGGGAATGAGGGGCACCCGCAGACCTGGATTAAAAAAGGTAGGGGCTGCAAAATAGGGGGGATGGGCAGCAGAATAGCTGGACCACCGGACCACCCCAGCCTGTTCCTGCGGGATTTTAGCTCAGTGGTGAAATCCAATTTTTTTTACTACCGGTTCTGGGGGCATGGCTTGGTGGGCGTGGCTTGGTGGGCGTGGCAAGGGAAGGATACTGCAAAAACTCCATTCCCACCCCACTCCTTGGGCCAGCCAGAGGTGGTATTTGCCGGTTCTCTGAACTACTCAAAATTTCCGCTACCGGTTCTCCAGAACCTGTCAGAACCTGCTGGATTTCACCCTTGCTTTGGCAGGGCAGGACTGCTTCCTCTGCACCTCAACCCTCTGACCCCAAAGGAGATGTGGGGCAATGGTACAATCCTTCCCCTGCTGGGGAAGGGTGAGGTGCCGGGCAAGGACGGGGCAAGGATGGGTTCAGATCCCTCCAGCCCCAGAGCTCCCCAGGGCCTCCAGCACAGACCCTAACCCAAATGGCCCTCCCACAGCTGGTGGCCACTTCTGCTTCTCCTGGGAAACTGCCTGCAGGCCCCGCCTGGTGGAGGGAGCTAGGTGGGCACTGGATGCGGGTGGCTGGTGAAAAGAGGGGTGAACTGGGAGCCTCTTGTGAGGAGTGGGATCCCAGTCCCTCAAAGGGGAAAAGTCAATGGGATCCAGCCCTTCTCAGGGTCACTCTGCCTGCTGATCGAGGCAACTCCAACCAACCCTCGCAAATGAGGAGGAAGACGTGGCGTTCCCTGAGTCCCAGAGCAATTTGGGGCAGCAGGAGAGCAGGAGAAAAAGCCCCCCCCCAGGCTGGAAACTGCCTTCCTGCAAACAACACCATGGGACGCAAACAACGCCTGGCAGGGGGTAGAGAGCATGCTTGGCTCAGTTGGGCTGCATCCCAAGAGGGCCACAAAGCAAGATTCGACCCCATCACGGATGTGGCAAAGAAGGCAGGGGGAATGGCATTGTCCCCCCATGGAGGCCCATCTTTCCTCCCAATGTTGGGGCGCAGGAGGGAAATTGTGGGGTCCTCGGTGCTCTCTGAGCTTCCATGTTTTCTTGCAGATGTTTCATTACCAAACTAGGTAACATCATCCATGCACACCTTTGAGGAAGCATGAGACTAAGTGCAAAGCATCTCTTTGGCATCAGGAGCCTCTTGCGCGCTCTGGACTAAACCTTTGCATTGGAGCCTGCAGCCTGCTCTGTTTCCAGGGGATTGCAGAAGGGAAATCCTCATGACTGGGACACCGTTCCCCCCCCCCCCCGGCTGCTCAGGAGGGAAGGCGATGCTTCCAAGCTCTCTCTGCAGGGAACGTCCCATCCGGATGTGTTCCGAAGGGCAGCCACCCAGGGCCCATTGCTTCTGCCAATGGTCCGTGCCGTCCTCCTTCCATAGCTTCCTGGACAAGGGTGGATTCACCTGGAGGAGCCTCCGGAGGATAAAAGGGGCTGAGCAGCCAGAGGGGCAAAAGGGTTGCAGCCATGAAGCTCCTGCTGGGCAGCCTTCTCTTAGCTGGGGTCTGCTGGCTAGGAGCCGCAATGGACTTCACCACTATGTCGAACTTTAAGAGCAAAAAGGTCAGAGCTGGGAATCCTGGACGGAAGTTCTTCTCCTCCCAACTCTAAGTGGAAGAGGACCCCGGGGGGCGGGGGCTGTGGGGTCCCTGGTGCTCTCTGGGCTGGCTGGCAGACATTTCACCACCCAACTAGGGAACATCATCAGTCTTACAAGGGTTGGCTCTCATTACACATGGTATAGAGGAGATGATGTTGTTCTGGGCTCAGGGAACCTCCCCACATTTGGGAGGAGAAGCCTCCATTGCTGCCTCTCTTCCGGGCTCCAGAGAGGCGTCTTCCGCACTGCCAGATTTTCACCCCATTTCTTTTGGCCGGGTCTTTGGGATTCAGAACCCTCTGGTGGTGGAAAGCAAGAAGGGCTCCGCTTCTGGCATGGAGCTTCCCCAGGTCTGGCAAGGAGGATTTGGACTTTGGAGACCCTTCAGGGCTAACAAACCCTCCTGGTTTCTCCTTCCAGATGTCTGGGGAATGGCATCCTGTGGCAAACATTGTCATTGAAAAACAGTTCCCCCAATATACATTAAAGGCCATGCCGAAGGGAGGTCTGTCGTACAGCTATAGGTATCTCGCGTAAGTTTTGGGGGCTTCATGCCCTCGCTGGCCTGGCCTCCCGTTCCCCAGAGGACAGGTAGGTGGGAGAAGGCCTGAAGGAAAAGGGAATCCTTCCACGCTTGGGACTATAGGCACGATGCCGGTTAACAGCTGACCGGGCTGTTCTCTGCAACACCTCGGCCGAACGCTGGCTCGCTTGGGCCCCTCCACCCCCACCCCTAAAGGTCTGCGCGGTTCACTTTTCTTTCCAGCAACGGCAAATGCAAGACGAGAAGGTTCCGGTTCGCTGAACAAGGGCAGGCGGGGAAATACAAGATCACAAGTAAGTGGCCAGCTCCCGCCGTCCTTCACCCGCCTTGCTGACCGGCGAGCTTCCGTCCTTCCTCCTTGGAGGATCGCTGCCCCTCCAGGGACAGCGGGCGGCGCTGGCAGGGCTCCTGGCCCGAGCGAGCGAGCAGGCGGGATTTTAAACAGCCTCTCTTTTGCGCGGAAGGCCAGGCCACCACGCAGATCCTGGACACGGACTATGAATCCTACATCATCAGTTACATCGAGCGGGGGATGGATGCCTTCCTGACGCTGGCCAGTAAGAGGCCTGGATGGGGGGGGGGGGGGGGGATGGTCGGGAGAGACCCTTGTCTCGCCCTTCCTGACGTTGATGGCAGCAAAGCGGGGGCCCTCCCTTTGCTTCTCCACCGCCACCTTTGGGGTAACAGCTGGTACCTCCTGGTGAGGCACCTCCCCTCCCCCCCCCCCCCTGCTCCCGCGCCCCCCCCCCCCCCCGCCGGCATCTCTGCCCTAAGGGAAGCCCCTCCCTCCTGGGCCTCTAGATCTCTCCCCTCCGCTTCTCTCCATCCCTCCCCAGAGAATTTTGGAGCAAAGCTCTGAGCCGGAGCAGCCCCCCCCCCCCCCCACCCCCCCCGACTCCCTCAATCGTCATGCTTGCCTCTAGGCAAAGAGAAAACCATGTCCTCGGATTTGGAGACGAAATTCAAGGAGTTTGCCTCCACTGCAGGAGTCACAGGAGAGGTTGTGCCCCTGATCTCAACAGGTAACCCTTTGGTCCTTGGCATCACCACTTCTGGGCTCACCAGGGCATCAGAGAAGTTTGCCTCCTCCTCCTCCTCCTCCTGGGATGACAGATTCTTCCCTCTTCTCTCCTGTGCAGAAACCTGCTAAGTGGTCAAGGTGAAGGAGTGCACATTCGGGCCACAGAGGGGTCCTTGCAAGCCAGTTGGGAAAGGAAGAAGACCCCGTCTCTGCCAAAGGGGCCTCTGTGGGCAGCTCCCTTGGTGCCAACCAGAGGGCAAACGCCAAGCCTTGTTTGTCAAATAAAGCGTAAATAAAACCCGGCAAAGAAATCAGTTCTGTGTGCTTTTCCTCATTCCTCTCCTGAAGAGGGTCCCCCCACCCCCATCTTCCCTGTGCTGCCATCTTGCCTCTCCCGGGGTCGAGTGGTCCTTCCTCCTTCACAAGTGCTTGGGCTGGCACTGGAAGGGGCAAAATCTGGACAGGCTGGTTGATTACTTTAAGGATGAATGAGTGAAATAACTATAATTGTAACAGCTGCACAGAAACAAAGACACATACAATACACACACACACACACACACACCTGGGATGAAATCACTCTGGTTTCCCTGCTTACCTCTTGGTCCAATTTCCCCAGAGGTTCCCTCCGAGCCACTCTCCCCCATTAAGCGAAGGCCAAGTGAGCTTCCAGGCCCTCTTCCCGGGGTGGTGGGAGGAGGCAGCCCCCTCCCAGCCACTCTGTTCAGGACAGGCTTCAACCAGGGCAGGTGGCTAAGTCCGAGGATATGCCCACAGACAGCGGGAGGGGAATTTCCACAGCCAGTCCTACTGCTCTTCATTCACAGCATATTCCTCTTCTCCTTACAATAAGGGGGGGGGCTTCATTTGGAAGGGGTCACATTCAGGAGCCAGTCCCCCCCCATCAACAGACCCACCTTTGACCCCAGGAATTCTTGGTGGCTCCTGGGGCCCTGATGGTCTAGGAGAGCCTGGACATGCCCAGCGTCTCTGCCTTTTCATTGCTTCTCAGTTTTACTTCTGGAAAGGTAGAAGAAGATTTGGAATGGATAGCCAGTTTTTTTCTTTTAGTGAAGCTAAATTTCCCACCTCGGAAGGGTGAGGATGCTCTCTGTGCTCCTCAGGGGCATCTGCTCACCTGGGCAGGTGGACTTCTCTGCCCCTCCGCAGAGAAGCAGGTTGCAGCCATGAGGCAGAGGAGGAAGAGAGCCACTCACTTGCCAGCTCTGCCCATGGTGCCGGCTAGGCTCCACCTGCCACCTGCCCTGGACCCTCCGGCTTTTATTTGCAGAGGCTGGAATTTAAGCAGGGACGCCAATATTCCTAACACCACAAGCTGCGTCTTTGTTGATCAAGACACACTGACCTCCCTTGCTGACCGTTCAGCAGAAGGTGGGCGTGAGGCTGCTCCAAGGCAAAGCCAGAAGGGGAAAACAACTGGACTAACACAACCATCAGGTATCTGTCCTTGCTGGTTGGTTGCCAGCAGAATCGGACAGGTGTGCCCCAAGCAAATAACTGCACTGATTGTGAAATATGGGTAAGATGACTGAAGGATAAAAAGTAACAGGGCAAGAAGAAGGTTTGGTCAGGTCCCTCTGAATCCCATGAAGGGGAAGGTCCGATTTCAATCCAGATGTGGAGATGTTTTTGCTATGCCAACCTTCTGGGAAATAAGGAGGTGCCTCCTTCCTCAGCCTTTGGGCTCTCCTGGAAATGCCAGTCAAGAATTTGGGCCTTTGAGAAGTTTGCATCCCAGGTCCTGTTCTCACATTGTTGTCACCCATGTGTGAATTAAATTAAAAGTGGCACAATGTGAATAAGAGTTAAAATTCCCAGAAGGGGAACTGGAGGTGGGGGGAAAAATCATATAAGATTGGCTGTTTTCCCTGTCCCCGGGAAGGCGAGGTCCAGCTCTGACCCATGGGTGCCCCCCACCTTGCCCCACAGCCCAGCAGCTCCAGGCAGGTGCCCTCCAAGCAGCCTTTCGGGACTTACTCCTTTTTTCAGCTTCATTCTCCCCAAAAGACAAGCTCCCCATCTTCCTTAAGGCAGCAGGAGAGCAACGGACGGTGGCATCTTGAAGGGCACCGAATCCAGCCAGGCTCCTGGTTTCAGCACAACCCAGAGTGTATAAAGTGCAGCTCTGATTGGGAAAGTCATGTTTGACCTTCAGATCTGCAGGATCTTGTGCAATTGAAGTTATTTTGCTTGTTAATCCTTAAAGTAATCAATCAGACAATGTAATAACTTCCCAACCAGTCTTTCTGGTTGCCAGATTTTGCCCCTTCCAGGGAAGGGGACAAAATGAGGTGCATTTTCTTAATTTTCTGAGTTTATTTCAAAAACAAACCTTCCTTCACCAAATATCGGCTGACTGTAGGCAACTTTTGGGGGCATCTTCAGGTTAGTCCCTGGGAAAAAAAAGTCCTTCTCCATGAGCCTCCCTGAGCTGGGCAGTGCCAGTCAGGCCAAGGAACCAGTAAACCAATAAATAAACAAGAAATGAATAAATGCATATAGGAACTGCAACCCAGCCGAAAGTCTCCGAGGGTCCTTTATTCCAAGGGCAGAAAAGCTGCCGGACTTTGCCAGGCTCTGAACTTCTCAACACAGGATCAGGCCTGCCCCCCCGGGGGGCTCCTCCAGGCAGCCCCAGGCACCCCCCCCCCAAGGCTAGCAAGATTCCCCCTCAAGAGATGGGATGAAAAGCCCAGGGAAAAGCAATTTGACCTTCGCACCTTCCACCGCGAATTAAAAACATGGCTGTTCACATTGCCCAGCCTGGACTGAGGTTTTTTTTTATTATTTTAATGGGTTTTAATATATGTTTAAATTATATATTTATACATTTATGTATTTCATGTATGCATATTTATGTATTTTATGTTTTATTGGGTTGTCTTTATTTGTTGTGAGCTGCCCTGAGTCCTACGGAGATAGGGCGGCATACAAATTATATTAAATAAAATCAAAAATAAATAAATAAATCCCACCAAACACATCCCTGGAAAAGACCCCCCATCCCCTGGGGCTTCAAGACGGGTTAGTTAACCTTCTGCACGGAAAGAGGGTTCAATCCCCAGTCGTAGCTCGCCTTTGAGGGAGGGGCCTGGAAGCCCCATAAGCCAGCATGCTTCTTCAGCTGCCTCTGGTCATTGCCTAGCTGGGTGTGGAAGAAAAAGAGGCCACCAAAATCATCTTTATTACCAACTCCAATGCCCACCCGCACCTGGGGTCAGAATCCTTCCCCACCTGGGGTCCAGCAGTGCCTCCCTCAATCTCCTATTCTTGGGAGGCCATGACCCTAAGCATCTGTGGCCCAAGGGAAGCCCCTCCCTCTTTGTCTTGCTCCTCCCCCTTCGGTTCTCTCCACCCACCTGTCCACAAACAGGGTTACTGGGGAGCAAAGGATACAGGCCGGGCAAGGCTCAGTGGGCTTCTTCTGGGCGTGATTGTGACCCCCACCCAGGCTGCTCGGGAGGGAACGTAATGCTTCGAAGCTCTCTCTGCAGGGAACGTCCCACCCGGATGTGTTCCGAAGGGCAGCCACCGTTGCTTCTGCCAATGGTCCATGCCGTCCTCCTTCCATAGTTTCCTGGACAAGGGTGGATTCACCTGGAGGAGCCTCCGGAGGATAAAAGGGGCTGAGCAGCCAGAGGGGCAAAAGGGTTGCAGCCATGAAGCTCCTGCTGGGCAGCCTCCTCTTGGCTGGGGTCTGCTGGCTGGGTGCCGCTGTGACTGTTCCCATCATGAGGAATTTCGATAACCAAAGGGTCAGAGCTGGGAATCCTGGACGGAAGTTCTTCTCCTCCCAATTCTAAGTGGAAGAGGACCCCAGGCGGGACTGTGGGGTCCCAGGTGTTCTCTGGGCTGGCTGGCAGACTTTTCACGACCCAACTAGGGAACATCATCTGTCCTACAAGAGTTGGCTCCCATTACAAAAGTTTTAGTCAAGTCTGGCAGGAAGGATTTGGGTTTTGGAAAGCTAACAGATTCTCCTGCTTTCTCCTTTCCTAGATTGCCAATGATTGGTATCCTCTTCTATTCATTCCTATTGGACAGAGCAGGGGTGTGGCGTTTCCCCCGTTTAGATTGCTGGCCCAGCCAAATGGAAATCTGATGTACAGCATTAGAGTTCCCATGTAAGTTTTGGGAGCTACCATAAGGACAAGCCTCGCTGGTGTCCGCGAAAGAGGACCAAAGTGGGTCCCTCGGCGGCCCTCCTGCCCCCAAAGGTTTATGTGGTTCCTCTTCTTTCAAGGAACGGCAGATGCACGACTCAAGAGGTGGTTCTGAACAAACAGGGCCAGCCTGGGGACTACTTGACCGCTGGTGAGTGGGGAATTCCCTCCAGCCTCCCTCTGGCCTTGCTGACTGGGGAGTTTTCACACCGGGCTGGCGAGGAAGAGACGCTCTCCTGCCCGACTGCTGACCCCGGGGGAGCCGCCCCACCTCTCCACAAGAGGCTTCCTCCGTCCTCCCCCTTGGCGAGCGCGTGAAGACCCCTCTGGGCAGGGCAGGGGCTGAGCCTGCCCCCACCTGCCCAAGAGAAGCCCCCCCTCCTTGCTCGAGGCAGGGAAAGAAGCAGGATGGGGCCGAGGCCCCCAGCAAGGATGGCAGCTTCTCCTGGGCCAGGCGGGGGTGGGGGGCTTGCAGGGCTCCTGCCCCGAAAGGGACTTAAACAATCTCTCCCTGCTTTTTGCAATGAAGCCCACAGCACCTTTCGCTTCATGGAAACGGATTATAATACCTACTTCATCACTTACATCACGCGGGGCGCCGACAAGGCCAATGTCTTCCTGGCGCTTTCCGGTAAGAGAGCTGGGTGGGCGGCTGGTCGGGAGAGACCCTCAACCTTGTCCTCGCCCTTCCTAATGTTGGTGACAGCAAAGCCAGGCCCCTCCCTTTGCTTCTTGCCCATAAAGGGCCACTTCTACCATCCACCATCCTTGGTGGGACCCCCTTGGTGAGGCATGTTCCCTCTCCTCTCCTCTCCTGCCCAGCAGCATCTCTGCCCCAGGGGAAGCCCCTCCCTCCCATTCCCTCCCTCCGTCGCAGCAATTGAACCAGGGAATTTGGGGGGAGCCAGAGCAGCCTCCCCCACTTCCTGAAGTTTCCTGCCAACCCCCCACCTCCTTGCTTGCCTCTAGGCAGTCAGCCCACTGTGACGCCAGCTTTGGCGGCGAAGTTGAGTGCCGCTGCCACCTCGCTGGGGATAACTGGAGAGATCTTGCACAGCGTCCTGCAAGGTAACCCTTTGGTCCTTCATGGTCACCTCTTCTGGGCCGGCGGAAGCTCTCCTGGGAAGACCTGGACAGACGTTTCTTTCATTTCAACTCATGTTTCCATGCTAAGCCCAGACTAAGGGCTCACTAGGCCATCAGAGAAGGACTCCTCCTGGGATGACCAATTCTTCTCTCTTCTCTCCTCCACAGCAACCTGCTAAGGGGTCAAGGTGAAGGAGTGCAGATTCGGGGCACGGATGGATCCTCACAAGCTAACCCCCCACCCAATTGGAAAAGGAAGAAGACCCCATCTCTGCTAAAGGGGCCCCTTGGTGCCAGCCAGAGGGCAAATGCCAAGCCTTGTTTGTCAAATAAAGCATAAATAAAACCCAGCAAAGAAACCAGTTTTGTGTGCTTTTCCTCATTCCTCTCCTGAAGAGGGTCTCCCCGCCCCTCCGGCTGTGCTGGCCACCTTGCCTCTCCCGGGGTTGAGTGGTCCTCCCTCCCTCCCTCCCTCCCTCCCTCCCTCCCTCCCTCCCAGGTGCTTAGCCTGGCAGTCCTGGGGGGCCGTTGGTTCTCTTGGCACCGGCCCAGCAGAACCTCTTAAGTCCCCTGCCTTTCTACCACTAAACCAAAGAGGTCCAGAAGCATCTCTTTGCCCACCATTAATCTCAGAATAAATAAAATGCTCTCACAAACTCAGAAAAACAAGGAAACGCGCCCTGTCCCTGGAAGGGGCAAAATCCGGAAAGACTGGTTGAGAAGTAGTTACGTTGCCCGATTGATTACTTTAAGGATTAATGAGTTAAATAACTTTAATTGCACAAGATCCTGCAGATCTGAAGGTCAAACGTCACTTTCCCAATCAGAGCCGCATTTTACACTCCGGGTTGTGCTGAAAGCAGGGGCCTGACTGGATTCGGTGCCCTTCAAGATGCCACCATCCGTTGCTCTCCTGCTGCCTTAAGGAAGATGGGGAGCTTGTCTTTTGAGGAGAATGAAGCCAAAAAAGGGAGCAGCTCCTGGAAAGTTGCTTGGAGGGCACGCGATGCTTCACCACCCGGGTGCCTGCCTGGAGTTTCTGGGCTGTGGGGCACGGGGGGGGGGGCACCCGCATGTCAGAGCCAGACCTCGCCTTCCTGGAACCCTGATGGTTGAGGAGGAGAGCAATGGGGAAAACAGCCAGCGTTCCATGATTCTTTCCACCTTCCCAAACGGCTTTTAGGGATGTTTGCTCTCATCCAGGCTGCATCTTTACACGTTGTGAGACTTTTAGTGCAATTCACAACACCATGTCAGGCCTTGTGCTCCTCCTGAACAAAGATGCGGACGGTCCGGACTTCTGAAAGACAACATCTGTACACAAAGGAGAAGGTCTCTAGGGGCCCAAAGGCTGAGGAGGGAGGCACCTCCTGGCTATTTCCCAGAAGGTTGGCATAGCAAAAACATCTCCAAATCTGGATTGAAACCGGAGCTTTTCCTTCATGGGATTCACAGCACCTGACCAAACTACCAGCAGGGAAAGGGGACCACCTGGAATCTCACGGTTGGGAGTAGCCTAAAGTTTCCCTTGTGGCTTTGCTTCGGAGCAGATGAGATGGGCTCCCTCCAGAAATGGGGACGGTTAAGATAATTGAACCTGCAGCATGGGAAGTCTGTGTGTCGTGATCAACAAGGAAGCAGGTTGCGATGTTGTAACCGTTGACCTTGGGATACCCATCTGGGAAGGGCAAAAGCAGCAGATAAAAGCCAGAGAGGGTCCAGGGCAGGCGACAGTCGGAGCCCAACTGGCACCATGGGCAGAGCTGGCAAGCGAGCGGCTCTCTTCCTCCTCTGCCTGATGGCCGCAACCTGTCAAGGTGCAGAGTCCACCTGCCCAGGTGAGCAGCTGCCTGGTTGGCTCAGCGGAGGACAGACAGCATCGCCCCCCCTTCAGAGATGGAAAATTTTGCTTCAGTCAAAAAACAAAGTATTTTTCCCCCACTGCAAATGTTTTCCTTTCTTCCAGAATTGGAGAGGCTGGGCGTGGATGGCAAACAGGTGATAGCCATCCTGCGGGGAAGCCCAGGCTTACCTCAACCACCAGGGCCACAGGACCCCTCAGGCACTCCAGGGGTCAAAGGTGGGTCTGCTGACGGGGGGAGGGGGGTGCACTGACGCTGCATCTGATGCCTCCTTTCTTTCTTTTTTTTTTATTGAAAAGTTTTATAAGGAATACAAACATTTTCACACACCCCCACCCTTCCCCCCTCAACCCCACCCTCCCCTTTCCCACCCTCCCTTCCCCTCCTTCCCCCCCACCCCCCTCCCTAGACTTCCCAGAACAAGCACAGGGTATAGCATTCACAAATCAAAAACTAAAATATGCTAACAAATTATTACATTTCATATTCTCCCTAGGTCCTTAACTCCTTATAACTCTAAAAAAACAAGCATAAACTACTTAAAATTATTTCATTCATAAGCTATATAAATCTTCTTATTCGGATACTTCTTCTGTATATAATCAATCCATCTTCTCCATTCCGATATCTCTCTCTCATTTGAATGGTCTTTTAAGATATGATGAAATTTTTGCCATTTCTGCCAAATGCACAACTTTTAATGTCCATTCCTCAATGGTGGGTGGATGCCTCCTTTCTTGTTGGGGAGGAAGAGCGCTAGGACTGGCACAAGGGGGAAGGACACCCCTTTCTTCCTCTGGCTGTGGGAATCCCCCTTCCCGCTTTCTCCAATTCTGGAAGAAAGGAAAACATTAGCCTCCAGCCCTGGTTTAAGCCTGCCCTGAACAGAGTGGCTGGGAGGGGGCTGCCCCCCCCGGAAGAAGGCTGAGAGAGAAGCCCTGGGGACATTGCACCCCCTGGGGCTGGGCCAAAAGGCCAGGGGGCAGTGAGGGGGATGCTGGCTCCAGGGCTCCAGCTGTGTGGGTGGGTGCTTGCTTGTTTGTACATAGGGGCTCCAAAGACGGGGCAATGAGATCTGGGGGGTTGGATCTTGGATGCCGAAGGGCCGGACTTCACAAAGACAACATCTGTACACAAAGGAGAAAGTCTCTAGTATAGTGGCCCAAAACTGAGGAAGGAGAATCTGGCTATTTTTCCAGATGGTTGTCATAGCAAAAAACAACTCCAAATCTGGACTTTTCCTTCATGGGATTCACAGCACCCGACCGAACCTTCTTCAGCCATGTTGCCCGTATTTCTACACAATCAGGAAAGTTACAGGGCGATTGTTTACTTCAACCGATGAATGAGAGTTGGGAGGGGCCTTGGAGGTCATTTGTTACTTGGTGCACACGTGATTCCCCAGACTTGAAGCCCGGAATAATTTTGGCCATGGGACCCCTGGCTGCTTACTCTGAATGGGAAATCCAGTTCTGCTCACAACCAGCCAGCAGGGAACAAGGAAGCAGTTTGTGGTGCCGTAACAACTGATCTTGGCTTGGCGCCCCTGGGGGAGCCTTGGGTGTCTTGGCACCAGCCCAGCAGAACCTCCTAAGTCACCCGCCTTTTCACCAGCAACCCCTTTTCTTCCATTTGTATTATTCCACGGTCTCCATTCTGGCTTTGCTTTGAAGCAGATGAAGAAGAGTTAGCCGAGAGGCGGTTGAGTGGACAGATGTGTGTCTTGATGGACAAGGAAGCAGTTTGTGGTGTTATATCTGCTGATCTTGGAGACCCCATTTAATAGCAAAGGTTAAAAAGCAGCCGCCACCAATAAAAGCCAGAGAGGGTCCTGGGCAGAGCTGGCAAGCGAGCGGCTCTCTTCCTGCTCTGCTTCATGGCCGCAACCTGCGGAGAGGCAGAGAAGTCCACCTGCCCAGGTGAGCAGCAGGCAGGTGGACTTTGAGGAGGACAGGCAGCGTTGCCACCTTTCGGAGATGGGAAATGTAGCTTCACTAAAAGGAAAAAAACTGCTTATTCACTCCAAACCTTCTCCTTCCTTTCCAGAAGCCCAGGTGGTGGAGCTGAATGGCAACGACAAGGTGATCATCCTGCGGGGGTGTCCAAGCTCCCCTGGGTTACCAGGGACCCAGGGACCCCCAGGCTTTCCTGGGGCCAAAGGTGGGTCTGCTGAGAGAGGGGGTAGCTGGCTCAGGAACGTGACCCCTCCCGAAGGGAGCCACCTGCCCTGGGAAGCCACCTGTGCGGCAGGGCTCTAGACCTGGCCAAAGGAAGCCCTTCCTTTCTCCCGGCAGTGGAAATTCTCCCTCGCCAAGTGGGCTCAGCTGCCCCCCCCCTCTGGAAGAAGGCCTGGAAGGTGACTTTGCTTTCTCCTGACAGGTGAAAGGGGCTTGCAGGGAATCCCTGGGGAAATTGGACCCCCTGGGCCAAAAGGTAAGGGGGCAACCAGGGGGATTCTGACTCCAGGGCTACAGCTGTATGTGTGTTTGTGTGTGTGTGTGTGTGTGTTTGTGTGTTTCGCAGCAGGAGGAGGGGCAGGGAGGTTTGGGGAATAGAGCTCCAAAGAAGGGGCAGTAAAATGGGGGGGGTGGGGGTTTGGACTGCCTCAGCCAGAAGGTCAACTCCACCTCAGACCCTCCCCCATCAGCTGGCCACCTGTGTGGGCTGCAAAGTGGGCAGGCATGGGGGGGGTCTGCCTGGGGGAGGCAAGAGTGGGAGGTTGAGCCTGGAGGACTCAGAGGAATCTTCTCCTTTCACTCAGGAGAAAAGGGGGAGGCAGGGAAGCCCGGAGAGAAAGGTAAGAGTTTCTTCTGCTTCTCGGGGGTCCCTTTTTTCCACCCCGGTGTCAACACACACACACACACACAAACACACACAAATTGTGTTTGTGCAAATCACAAATGATGCCATTTGGTTTTGCAATAGTTCAGCTTCAACCAATTAAGAGACATTTCTCAAATGGAAGGGACCCCACCCTGAAACGGCTGGAGGCCCCGAGTGAGCAGCTCGTGGGAAGGGGCTCTGGGGGTTGGGCAGAGAGGGTGCCAGCTGTTTCCTCCCCCCCCCCCCGGCAGAAGGACACCTTTTTCTGGGGTTCTGCTCAGTTCCTTCCTCACTGCATGGCCCCAATGATGCCGTTTGATCCCCAGAAAGAGGGGGAATTCTGCCTTTCTCTTTCTCTTTGCCTTCCAGGGGATAAAGGTGACACAGGAGCAATTGGTAAGAAATGTGGCCCCTCCCAGCAAAGCCAAAAGGGCCCCTTTTGCGCCCCCCCCATGAGCTCAATGGGCTTGAAGGGAGGCCGAAAGGGACTCCAGGCTGTTGTGTATCGGACCTGCAGAATACGGAATAACATAGTTGGAAGGGACCCTAGAGGTCTTCTAGTCCAACCTTCTTCTCAAGCAAAAGACCCCCCTCCATATCATTCCAGACAAATAGCTGTCCACCCTCTTCTTAAAATGGAGCACCCACAACTTCTGGAGGCTCCATGGTTCAGCCTCAGCCCCCCTCACTTCAAGTCAGCATGGCAGGATCCCCCCCCCGGGCCTTGCCTTCCACACGGGGTGGGGTGGAGTGTTGGGGTAGGAATCGACTTTTCTTTGCTTCCTTCTTTTTCTGCAGATGAGGAGGGGCTGGATGCTCTCCAGTGCAAGCGAGGTGAGCGGGGGCTGCGTCCTAGCCCTTCCTTTCCTTGGCCCCCCCTCCCCAAATATCTGGGAAAGCCAATGATGTGGCAAAGTCCTTACCGCATCGGCACTTCTGATGAGGGACACCCTTGGCTTCAAAAAGGGAAACATAAAAAATGGGGTTTCCCAAAAACAATTTTTTAATTGAAAATTAAACACTGCAACCCCTTGGACATCTTGACCGGTTGAATGCTGACCAGCTGTTGCCTCTCAGTCAGCCCCCCAGGAATCGGGGGGGTGGGCGTTGGGCCAAGCCATTGCGGAAGGGAGCGCCCCCCTCTCCTGCCTCTCTTTCTGCCCAGGTGCCCGAAGCTGCAAGGAGCTCTTGGCCCAGGGGGTGGTCCTGAGCGGCTGGTACACCGTCTACCCCCAGAACTGCCGGCCCCTGCGGGTGCTGTGCGACATGCACACCGACGGAGGCGGATGGATCGTGAGTGCGGCCCACGGCAGACCCACTCAGGAGGGGAGCTTTCTGCTCGCCCGCCTCTTGCCAGGAGTGGGAGGAAGCAGGAACCGAATCTTTCTCCGGGGGGGCAGAATGGGGGTCAGAGGGACCCTGGGAGGGGGACAGTTCTGGGGACCCCTCAACATTTGGGGAGGGAGGGGTGCAGGGAGAGAAAGCCTGTGGTTTTGGGGCCTGCCCCATGGGAAGCTTAAGGGCCTGGTTGTCCCCCCGCAGGTCTTCCAAAGGCGGTCGGATGGCTCGGTGGATTTTCTCCGGGACTGGGCCGACTACAAGAAGGGATTTGGGAGCGAGCTGACCGAATTCTGGCTGGGGAACGACCACCTTCACCTCTTGACCTCTCTGGGTGAGGGGCTTCTCCCTCGTGGCCCTCCTGCTGCCAGAGGAGAGGGGCATGGGAGCCTTGCTGGGCAGAGCTGCTGCCTGACCCTTCTCACCGGGTGTGGGTCTCGGTGTCTGAGCAGTGCACTATGTGTATCACACACAAGTGTGAGTTTCTACAGGTGTGCACTCAATTCCTCAATTCCTTCCTAGGAGAGAACGAGTTGCGTATTGACTTCATGGATTTCGAAAATAAATTTTCCTTCGCCAAATACGGATCCTTCCGGGTGGCAGCAGAATCCGACTGGTATCGGCTGACTCTGGGCAACTTCACAGGGGGCTCCGCAGGTGAGTTCCCAAAAAATTCATCTCCATGAGCCTCTCTGGGCTGAACAGTGCCAGTCCGGCCAAGGACCTCCCTCCCCGGCTGGCTGATGCCCTGGAGATGCCCTGGGTTGGCCTTCCTGGCACCCACACACCCTTCTTCCCCCCAGGCGACTCTCTCTCCAACCACAACAACATGCCCTTCTCCACCCGAGAGAGGAAGCCGGACACTCTAAAGTTCAACTGCGCTGAGATGTACAAAGGGGCCTGGTGGTACAATGAATGCCACTACTCCAACCTCAACGGGAAATACTGGCTGGGACAACACGACTCTTACGCGGACGGCATCAACTGGAGGACGGGGAAAGGCTACAAGTACTCCTACAAGCGCACAGAAATGAAAATCAGGACAGTGGCTTAGGGGGCTCCTTCAGCAGATGGGGGTTTCTTCTGAGGGGTTCCAAAGGGCATCTAGTCCATCCCCTCTGCTTTTGATTTGCTACCTTGACACAGAGCTTGCATTTTAGAAAATGTCCGTGATTAAATGATCTTTAAACTGAAGGGCCTTTGCAGAGTTTGGGGGTCTTTGTCCCCCCTTCATCTTTGCGGGAGTTGAGCAGCCAATCTATCCAAAATTAATAAATAAAATTAATAAATAATTTTGCAACCCAGCCAGAGGTCTCTGAGTGTCCTTTATTCCAAGGGCATAAAATCTGCCAGCCTTTGCCAGCACCTTGACACTCAACGCAGGCCTTGTTCACACATTGCACAGAATCCGAAGTGGGTGCTTTGCTTTCCCTAAGCAGCCTTCGGAGTCCTGCCTGGCGGATATTTGCAAAGTGGCTGCAGCCTTTGAACAGCTTCAACACCCCTCCCCATTGCTCACCTTTGGGCTACCTTTGGGGGGGGGGGTGTCTGGAAGTCCCACAAGTCAGCACAGTTCTTCAGCTGCCTCCGGGTAATTGCATAGGTGGGTAAGGCAGCCAGAGCTGCAGGAGCCCAAGAAGACAAAAGTCCCACTGAAATCCTTCCTTCCCAATCCAAGGGGTCGTCTGATCAGAGTTGGAGTTGGGAACCCAAAAGGGGAAATCTCATCCCTGACGGGACAACCCCTCCCCCTCCCCCCACCCCGCTGGCTCAGGGGCCTCAATCTGACGGGCCTCCCGGGGATTTTGCTAGATTAAGCGAAGGCAAAAGAAGTTTAGCCCACCCCAAGGGCCGGTTTACCTCTGGGATTCGGGGGGGGGGGAGCGCACCCTAGAAATACCAACCCAGAGAGAAGAGCGCGCTCCAGGGGAGGGGAAGAGGCTTCCTGAGAACAGCAAAGGCCACTCCGGTACCTGCATGGACACAAGCACAAGAGGCTCAGGCCAGCGCCTTCCTTCAAGGCAGCACGGGTTAGCCTCTCCCCCACCCCCCCTTTGCCCTTCTCCGTTTATCCAGGCGCAGCCCAAGGACCCCCGGGCAGGGTGGGGGGCTTACCCATGGCGAGCACGGCCAGTCCCTTCAGGCGCACGAATGCCTGGCACAAGGCGCACTCCTGCAGCGCGGAAGAGACGGCCCGGGTCAGAGTCGCTCCCCAGCCGGGGTCCAGCGGCGACCCCCCTCGCTCGCCTTGTGCCCCCCCCCGCGCCCCCCCTTGCTCCGCGCCCGGCGGCCGCTGCCTGCCTCCCGCCCGTCCATTGGCGCCCAGGCGAGACGCAGCTGGCCGAGCCACCGACTCACCGGGCTGGCTGCTGTGGCGGGCGGCATGGCCTCTTCCCTTGGCGGGCGCCGGGCGGCCAGAGCTCCCTCTGCAGGGCCGGCGGAGGCGCCCGGAGTAGCCGCTTTGGAGATCGGCCGGCAGGCGCCGCTGCCTCGCCGGTCTAGCGGGAGCCTGGCGCGGCGATCGGAAGCGGCCGGCCGGGGCGCACGGAGGGCAGGGGCCGCCGGATCCGGGCTCTTCCGCCGGGAGCGATGGCTCCGCCGGGGCCGCTGCGCGTGGTGAGCCACGGAGGGCGGCGGTTCCTCTGCTTCTGCGGGGACGGAGGCGCCTCTCCGCGGCTGCAGTAAGTTCGGAACGGCGCTTTGGCGCCTGGAGCCCCTTGCGCTCGGATCCGCCCTGGCCAACCTCTTCCTGGGGCCCCCGAGCGTCTGCAGAGGGCCTGGAACCCCCCCCGCCCCCCCCTCGAAAATGCCCGCCACCCATCCCCCCTTCTGCCCCCCCCCCTTCTGCCACTTGACTGTCGGATCTGGAGGCTGGCAGAGAAGAGTCCGGCTTGGGACCTCCCGCCCGCCTGTTTCCCTCCGCCGGGCTCCTGCCGGCGAGGAGCCCCTTTGGCCAGCCGTCTCCCTCGCTTCCTTCCCTGCCCGCAGGCTGACCGACGCTTGCGAGTTCTGGAGCTGCCGCCTCCCTTCGGAGGAGCTGAGCGGACAGGTGCGGAGGGTCCCCTGTGCTTCTCCCTGGGTCGGGGGTCCTTTGCGCGCCCTGGGGCTGACTGCTTTCCTCTTCGCCCAGGAGGAGCCCGACTCTCCCGCCGGCAGCCTCTCCAGACTGCGGTGAGTGGGCCGCTGGCCATGGTTCTGCTTCCCAGGACGGATCCCGGCCGCTTTCCCCTTCCCGCCTGGCTACTTCAGCAGCGGGTGGCTCCCATTAGAGCCCACTGGCGGGAAGAAGGCGGAGGGGGAAATGCCAGGCCTGGCGGAGAGGTGGCGCCCTTGGTTTTCATGCAGGGATCGGAAGCGAATTCCCTTCCGTGGCCTCTGCAATGCCCTCCCAGCTCTGCCTCCTGGCACCTCCTGGGCACAGCCAGTCACCCCTCCACTCTTTGCAGGGAAATCCTGCAAGGCCAGACGCCCATCCTCACCCTCGGTGACGGCAAGGCCACCCTGCAGGTCCAGGACGGTGGGCAGAGCGTGACCTTCGACCTGGACAAAGCCTCGCTCCCGGAGGCCAGGAGGCAGCTGCAGGACCTCACCTTCGGCCTGGTGGAGCAGCTGCAGACGCTGGAGAAACGCCTGGAAGGTGCAGCTGGGTTCCTGGAGAGGGCCTGGACGGATTGGCAGCTTTCCCATCGGGAAGCAAAGCCCCCCAAACCATGGCACTTAAAAACCCCCGAAGGAGCTGCAGCCATCAAGGCAGAAAGAGTGGGCTTTTTCCTAGGGAAAGGGGCAGGGAGAAGTGCAGGGCTAGTGGCCGTAAAAAGGGTGGGGGGAAGGCAGAGAACGGGCATGGCCTCGCGGGGTTTCTGGGTGACTGAAGCTCCTGTTACATTCTGTAGAAATTGCTTCCCAGGGCAGTTTAAGCACAAGCACGTCTGAAGGAACATTTTGCCCAAATGAAACGTGGTCCAGGAGCTTCGACCAAAGGAAAAGGCCCCTTTTGGCCTGGAGCGTTTCCGGGTTGAGGGGGCGCCAGGGCCTGACTCCTTTCCCTCTTCCTCCTCCTCCCCCAGAGAGCACAGCTGCTGCCAACTCCGTGGCCCTCAGGAGCCCCGAAAAGATCTCACCAAGCCAGAGTCTCTTGGGAGCAGGTAAGAGGCGGCATCCAGTCGGGAAGGTGCACTTCCGCCCCTCCCAATTAAACCAGTCCGGAAGAGAGACAAAAGCTGACACAACCTGCACCCAGCCTCTCCCTTCCAAAAGATCTGGCTTCCCAGGCCAGAAAAACCAGATTGTAGAAACCCAGTTACACTAATGTCTGAATGGTCCAAGGGGAAAGGTGATTTTCTCCGGGAGAAATGTTCCCTGGGTCTGTGCCAATGTTGGGCTCCACCCGTCATCTCCCTCTTTGGATGCTCCAAACTGCTGGAAAAGTAGCAAATCCCCCCGAATAGCCCCCCAAGTCTGGGTTATGCGAGGAAGATGTCACTGCAATTTCTCTGCCCCCCCCAGACTTCAGTCCGCGGAAGCCCAGAGGAGGGGCTGGTCCGAGCAAACGGCGCCTGCCTGGGGAGTCCCTCATTAACCCTGGATTCAGAAGGTAAGCCCTTGGGCTGCATGGGCCCCTTTGCTTGGATGGCGCTGAGCCATCATGCATCTCTGGGAGCCTCTCCAGCGAGGGGCACATTTTCCTTCCATGGTCCATGCCAATTCTGGGAATCTGACTGGCTCTGTCGGGGGCACCTCACAGCTCTGTGTCATTGGGGTCCTCAGCTCTGCCTTCGGAGCTCGTCCCTGTTTCTTGCGGAGCTGAGATTGGGCTTTTGAGCAGTTTTGGTCAGGCAGATGATGTGATGGGAGAGGCTTCTCTCACTAGTTCCTCCTTCCAGATGTTGGACTTGAATTCCCATCGCTCCCAACTAGTAGAGGAAGAGCGGTGTGCAAATCCAGCATCTCTCAGCAGCCCCCAGCAGCTTCCTTCTCCCTGCCAGTCAGCGCCCACTCTTTCTGGGGATGGCAGTGCTGAGCTCCCTGCCAGGGAAGGGGCAGAATGAGGGAGGGGAGGGGAGGGGAGGGGAGGGGCGTTTGAAGGTGTGAAGGATGCTCATACGGGCTTCCCTTTCGCTCTAGCAAGAAGACCCCGACGGGGGTAGACTTCGAAGACGCCTGAACCGTTTTCCAAATCAAATGGGAAAGAACTACTTCATCATGGATATTTTAAAAATTATTTAAGCCTTAAAACTATAGCAAGTATATTTTTATATGTATTATATAGAAAGAAGGTGACAATAAATGCTTTGATTTTACTCACTTTCTGGTTTGTTCTTTCTGGGCCAAATTCTTTGGAGTTGGGGAGGGGGACAGAGGTCTAAACTAGTGGGAGTAAATTCTGCTGTGGAGGGGAGTTTGGACAACAGGAGGCGAATATTCCAATTCTAACCAATTCTGCAGGGGAAGAAGTCTGTCTAAAGCACAAAAATTGACAGCTTCTAAAGTCTCTATTGATATATTAGCGTCTATTTAATTTGGGGGAAAGACATTTAAAGCATTGGACATTTGGGGGAGGGGGTATTGCACTTCAAAAGAGCCATGGGTGAAGAGAGAATGTGGAAATGCAGACATGCTCTGACACGCACACACACAGAGCCCCCAGCCCCACTTCAAGGCCTTCAGGCCATCTTTGCAGGTGTGAAGGGAGCTGACTGTCCTCCCTCAAATCTTCCGGGCTGAATCTGGTCAAGAGGAAGAGAGGGCAGCCCTCCAGAGAAGAAAGGCAGGCTTGCTAGCCAGGGACCACCACAGCACATTGGCCCTGCCAGTACTGCCCAAGGGCAGGGCCAGGGCCTGACCCCATTGCCTAGCACCCACCGCCTTGGCGGGAGAGGAAGATGGCGATGCCGGACCCACCTAAAGACCGTGCCCACGGGGGTCCCACAGGTCTGGGCCTGCCCTGCTTTCTTCCGCTATGAGTGACTCTGAGAGAGAAGGAAGAGGAGCCAGGGGGCTGCCAGCCAGAGCTAGCCAGACCCCGACTTTAGCCGGGGGGGGGTGGGCTATTAGGGCTGCCTGACCACGCCGTGGTAGGCCTGGATGATCTCCTGGGGGTTTGGACAGGTGTACTGGAACTCCTTGGTCTCGGAAGAGGACTCCAGGTAGCGCCCGATGCCCCGCAGCTCTCTGGGGATGCCCGCCTGGCGGTAGTGCTGGCACACGACCTGCAGGAGAAGGGAGGGAAGCCAAAGTCAGCGCCTCCTGGAGCAGAGGGTGGCAGTGCCAGCCGTCCCTTTATTCCGCTGACTTTGTTTTCAAGATGAACCCAAACTGGAAGGTTGAGATTCCCGGGATACCAAATTTTGTTTGTGCTGCGTTTTGGGATAATTATGGCTCAGTGGAGGGTGGGGTGGAGGAGAGGCCGCCCTTCCTTGAATACGTTAGGTGCTCCCGGAGGACTTGCGGCGGGGAATTCGGCCCCAGGACATGCCCGGCAGGAAAGGGTGCCCAGAGCAGCCGGTGGGACCCACTGAGGAGGAGAGGAAGGGGGCTCTGCCTCCCTCAGGATCTTCTCACATTGACGATGTTGAGTTTGGGGAGCAGGTTGCAGTCGGCCAGGGTCATCTGGTCCCCATCCAGGAACCGCCGGCGGGAGATGACCAGCTGGGGGTCTCGCACCCGCTCGTAGTCCAGAGGAATGTTCAAGTATTGGTCCAGCTTACGGAAGGCTTTGAGGAGGGCGTGGAGCAAAGCTGTGGGAAAACACCCGAGGAGTTAGCCTCTGGGGCAGACGGCAGCAGAGGAATGCGCAGATAGACTGCCTCTAAGGTGGGGGCTTGATCCTGCTACTCAGCAATTTCTTCAGCAGCCAAAGATTCAGCCAGCCTTGTTTCCAAGCCCAGCCAAAGCTCAAGATGGTTTTGCTCTGGTCTTTGAGATGCTCAGAGGTGTCTCTTCGCTTGACCACTTGCTTACATCCTTTTTAGGGGCCGCCCCCTCGCTCCATCGGCTGCCACTCAACTCACTGACCAAGGGAAGGTTTTCCTCCTGTTTGGTCTGTGCCCGGCCTGTCTCCCCTGCAGGGAAGGGACTTTGTCTCTTCTTGTACTGCCCTCCCCCACTTTGTCCCCCAGGGCAAGTTTAAAGAAAGGTAGCTGGGCCTCCTCCACGCTGCTCTCCTGACCTCAAATGGAGCCTCAGTGGCTCAGCACAGCCTTTCTCTGAATCCCGCAAAGGACTGGACTCAACTAAGGGCCTTGGCACACGCTAGCTAGGGAGGATGGGGGTTGTAGTCCAGAGCCCCTTCCCTCTCACTTTCGTCCTGAGCTGGTATCGGGTTCTTGATGTAGGCAGAGAACCTGTGGAAGATGTCATTCCCGGCTAAGATGGACTCCTTGTACATGGGCGCCAGGGTGGGGAACCTGTGGGGTAAGACAGAGGAATGCTGACTGCTGCGGCTCCTTGCCTCAGTCTCCTCATCTGCACAATGGGCAGAATCCTGCCTTGCCTCTGAAAAGAGAGAAAGGAGAGCCGGCAGGATGCTCTTGCTTCTCTTCTCTCTTGGACTCCCCTCCACAAAGGATGGGGACCCCCACCACTTACTCAGGGGGGGTCAGGGTCTCCTCCAGAAACTCTTCGATCTTGATGGTGTCTGTTTTGGGCTCCCCGTCGTAGAGCAGGACGGGCAGCTGGGCTCCCGGGGCGAAATCTTTCAGGACATCCAGGGACCTGTGAGGGAGGGGGGAGCAAAAAGGGGGCTGAGCCTGGGAAATGGAGGGTCCCCCCCCTTTCTGTATCCCCACAAGGGACATTCCCGGGAGCCAGGAACACCAGAGCCCTTTTTCAGATGTAGCTCCCCAACAGCCCCCAAACCCAGACACCCTCCCCCCACCCGACTCCAGAGCAGCTTTTCCAACCCCATGACCCCCAGGTGGGTGAGGCAACAATCCCCATCACCTGCCAGGGGATTTGGGGGGGGGGGGTAGATCAAAGGGGAACTTCCAGTGGCAGGTTCAGCATTGCCAACTGTCAGCAGGCAAGACGTCGGCCCTTCCTTTGGCCCTTACCGCTTGGTGTCCACCGTGGTCAGCGTGAAGGGCACTCCCTTAAGCAGCAGGACCATGAAAAGGCGCTGGCAGAAGGGGCAGTGCCCTATGGTCTCTCCATCAGTGCTGGCCTAAACAGGGCAGGGAGGGGAGTCAAGAGACGTTCCGGAAAGGCATTCTGGCAGGAGAAATGAGCTCCTGGGGACCCCAACATGCCACCTTTCCTTACACAGCATCCACCGAATGTATGGCACTACAAATCCCATCCTCCCAGCCAGGACTGTGCCAGTGAAGTAGCTTAGCAGCAGAAACACGCCTTTAAGCCTTTCTCTCTGCTGTCAAAACTCCCTGGGATTTCAGTCCAGTTTCAACGCTTGCCAATTCCTTCCTCGTAGGCAAGTTATATTTGGATCAGTGCAGGCGTTTATGGGATGGGAAGATGGTTCAGCCGCCGTTTAATTGAGCCTCGCCAGCACCAAAGCCTCGCAACCCCTTCCTGACCTGCCTTTCGGAGGGAACATGGGCACTGGGTATGCACTCTCACGCCCGTCCAACCAGCTCCCTTGCGCTCAGCGGAGGACCAGGGAGCCCCCCACCCCTACCCCCACCCCCGTCCCGGCTCTCAGCTGTGATCAGATTGTTCCCCGGCCAAATCCAAAACCGAGGCAGTGTTTCAGGTTGGCCAAGAGAGGCTCCCTCTGCCAGGATGGGTGGGTGCCTCAGGGCAGGGATTTGGCAGTTTCATTTTGCGAAATGGATTTGAGCAAAGTCTTTCTCCAAACACAGCTGCACGCAAAAAGATCCCTTCGGCTCCAAGTGGGGGAAATAGAACCGTTGCAGCCACGCATTTGTGGAAAGAGAAGGTGCGCTCAGGACTTCCCAGCCCCTCCCTGGAAGATGCACACACACACCCCCAGGACCCCACTGGAGGGCTCACAAGTCCCCTCCGGCCAGATGTTGAGGGCAAAGCCTGGCTTGGAACTCAGAGGGACTGCCTCCCAGCTGGAAAGGAAGCAGAGGCTAGGAGCAAGGGAGGGCCCCGTCCAGACACAACCCCCCCCCCCAAGGGCAGAGGGGGGTCAGGAGAGGCCTGTCCACTCTGCCCTTCATCTTAGGGGCTCTCCAGCAACTTGCTTAGCCTCCAATCGGTGACTTTGGCCATGCCAGCCGAGGTCCCTTCTGGAGCATCCCAGCGGCAGAGGGAAGGAAGAGCGAGTCTTACCTTGACAAACAACTGGAGCTTGGAACCCTCTGCCATCCTCTCTCGTCCTCAGAAGGGAAAGCTGTCCAGAAGCTGCTCGGATCTGCGTTATAAATTCGACACACCCTCCTGTGAGCTTCACCAGCCACATTCTTTCTTCCTCACCTCCCAACGCCCTGTTTCCGCAGCCACCCAATCCCGGGCACTCCCTGGTTCCTTGGGTGGCAGCGGCAGAAGGGCAGAGTCCGAGCTGGGGGTCCCTGGGCAGCCAGAGTGAGTTTGGGCAGCTCCGGGAAAGCCCCTCCCCAACGAGACATCACAGGCCCTTCGCTGAGGTCCTCCGGGTTTAAGCCGGGGGGGGGGGGGCAATGTGGACAATGGCAAAGCCAGCACTGGCGTTACAAGGGAGGAAGAGTCCATCCTGCCTAATTGGTTTGGTAGATATTGAAGCGGCAGGAAGGCTGAGTTTTGCAAAGGGAAATGAAAAAAAAGGGGAAGAGATTTTTGCTGCTACCATATTGATTACAAAGGAACATATAGACCTTTCTCATCCCTCTCAGGTGGGGTTGAATTTTATCTTTTTTTCTAGGAGCCCCAGATTTACAGCGAGATCCCCGGGGGGACCCAGGCTGGGCTCAGGGCAACCGAGGAAGCCTTGTGAAAGGCTGGCTTGGATCATTGGGTGGAGAGCAGCCGGGAGCCCATCTCTCAGCCCCCCCTGCAGGGGCGAAGCTCCCCCTTGGCCTGGCAACACCCTCCCAGGGACATCTCTTAATCCCATCTCTTGGAAAGCCCAGGCCTGGGGCAGCCGGGACAAGGAGTGTCTTCTTCTGAAAACAGCCTAGCTCCCTCGCCCAGCCAGAAAGTGTGAGAGCCACACTCCCGGGAATATAAAAATAGCGATCGCGTTTTGCACAGGAGGACAATCCCCCTGGTCTTTGAAAGCCTGCCGTGAGATTAAGGAGCTGTTCCCAGCGTGGGCGTAATTAAACCCTTGGCCGGATGGTGCTGTTGAAAATGCCAGCCTGCCACGCCCAGGACCGAGAGACGGGGTTCGAAACAGTCCCCCCTCCCCCCGCCTGTCTTGATTAGGGGGAAATGACTTAAGAAACAGAACACAGGTGAATGAAGAGTGTGGATATTCTAAGATGATGAAAATATTCACCAACAAAATGCTAACGTGGGATGAACCAAGACTCCCCACTTCACCGGAGCGATGATGGTGTCGCTCTTAAAGCCACTCACAACTTGCCCAGCAGCTCCTGCCCAGACAACACTCAAACCGGTCGCAGCCTGGCACCCCCTTCAAGGACGGTTTTTGGGGTCCTGCTCAGCCTTGCAAAGCAAATCCCAGCTCCCCCACAAAAGTCTCTGCCAAACAACATGCCGTTATTATCACTTTTTTATTAAAACAATAAATTTATTATTTTTCACATTGGCTTTTCTGGTTCCAGCAACGTACAGGCTCCTTGCAAAGAGAGCAAGCTGCTCCAGGGGGGCTCAGCACTCCCAGCCAGGGCTCGGGGCAGAGAAAAGGGCCAGAGGGGCCAAGAAGACCCCGGCCAAGGGGGCCCCGGCTCGCCAGAGAGTCCTCCAAGCCGGCTTCTCTTTGCAGGTGGCCCGATGCCTCCCTTTGTGCCGGATGTCCAGGGCCCATTTCCAGCCCCATCCTGGGGGACCCAGAAAGAGGACCAGCAAAGCCCCACAGCTGTTGTGGGGAGAGAGAGCCCAGCACAGTCCCAATCAGTTTCACACACTCTCATTCACACCCCCTCCCCAGCGCTCCAATAAATTAAAAACATTGTGCTTGCTAAGCCGAAAATAAACTGATGCAATCTGTCTAAAACCATCCTCTTCCTCAAAATACAATTTACACTCGTTCTGTGCTAAGAAGCCGTCTCGCTGCTGCCGAGTTGAGAAGGAAGCCATCCTCGCTCTGGCCCCAAAGATGTCTCCTCCGGGTCTTCCAGCACCCCCTCCTCTTCATTTGGGGGAGCCCCTGCTGGCCTTTGGCTTCTCTGGAGGTCGGTGCAAACAGGACAGCCAAGGGGGGGGTTGCCCTTCCCCACCAGGAAAGGACGGGCTGCACCATGGATCAGGTTTCTGCAGCCCCACCTTGCATTTCAGACTACAGCTCCCATCGTCCCAAGCCACCTGCTGGGGCATCAGGAGTTGGAGTCCCACACATCTGGGGCAATTCCAGAAGCTGCTGGAGAGGCCCCTCCCGGCTCCTCTTGGGTGCACCGCTTCTCCAGCAGTGACTCGTTGTGTAATGGGGCCTCCGTGCCTGAGAGCTCTTGAAAGACCCTCGCGATCCCACTGGATGCTTCCGATTAATGCCATGCCAAGTTAGAACACAAGCAGAGGAGTGGAAAGCTCCGGCCCCACAGCCAAAGGGGAGTGGCTCCCTCTGGGAGCCTTTCAGAGGGTTACTTGATGCTTTAAAAAGGAGATTCGGAAGCAAAAAACTCCAAGCCTGGTTAGAGGAAACGGATGCTCCTTGGGCTGCTTTTGGGTTGGAGGGGGGGCTAGCTTCCTTCTGAGCAGGATGCCCAGATGCCCAGCCCTTCCCAAGCCTTCATGCAGCTGGCAGGGGGCTCTGGTCCCTGGGCTGAGAGAGGGGGGCAAAGAGGAGGGAGGTACGCCCTGACGCAATCCAGAGACTTGTTCAGGAGGATCCGCTCCCCTCGGCTTTCCTGCTTCCCTTTGGCCGGAAAGGCTGAGGGTGCCCAGTCGTCCACCCCAGCACAGCCAGCCGTCCTCCACAGTCAGATCTGGCTCAGCCTGGCAGAAGAGGCAGTGTGGCACAGCAGAGTGCAGTCTCTCCGAGGAAGAATGCCCAAAACTGTGGGGTTCCAGCGGGGTGCGGAGGCAGCTGCTCCTCTGTGTAAACGCCCCACCCCAAGTCTTCTCACGCAGCCGGACTGTGCCGTGTCCAGTCCTTGGCCATCTGCAAAATGGCACAAGGCCAGTTCCATCCTGGAGGTCACACAGGTCAAAAGCTCGGGCAATGCCTCCTCTCGCCACCTCCAGGACATCCCGCAGCCACCAAGCGGGAAGGGGCGAGTGGCTGCCCAGCCAAGGGTGGGGGCTGCGTCCCCTCCGTTTTCAGCAGAGGGTGTCCGTGTTGAAGGAGAGCTGAGCCTGGGGGTGGGAGGAGGGGAAGAAGAAAAGAGTGAAGGTAACGAAGGCTGCCCCCCCCAGGCCTCTTTGCCTCCCACATGGCCAGCCCCGTGCTCCCGCGGCACATCTTCTGCCTGACCAGGCAGGGGCTCCCCGGCTCACCCTCTCCTCCTCAAAGCTGATCAGCCCCTCGTCATCCGTTTCCAGGTCCTCGGGCTCCTCCCCCACCATGGTGCGCAGCTCCGTCGGGGCCCCACGGGGCCGCAGGAGGCTCAGGAGGCGCTGCAGAGGGGACTCTATGGGGCAGGACAGGAGGCTCTCCTGCTGCTCCAGGTTGTCGCTCTGCTTCTTGGCAAAATTCACAAACACCTGCAAAGGAAGCTGCAACTCAGGCTGGAGCCCAGGACTCGCCTCCCACGGCCGGGGATTAGGGTGGTGGGGACAGAAAAGGGAAATCTGGGGCCTTCCAAGATGGACGGGCCTTCCCATTATCCTCAGCCACCCAAGGATGCCAGTGCAGCGAGCACAGAGCTGGCCGGCATCCACTCGTCGGACAGAAGACGGTGGCTAAAGGGAAAGCGGGGACCCCGGTGCCCCCTCACATTGTCCAGCGTGGTCTGGCTGACGGAGTAGTCCTCAATGCCCAGGACATCCACCACTTGCTCCATCTTGCTGAAGACCTGGGCCAGCGAGATGTGCTCCGACTTCAGCTGGTACTGGACCTTGGTGTGGTGCCTCTCCTGGGGGAGGGGGGAGGAAAAGGCAGGGAAGGTCAGGGCCTCCTCCTCCTCCTTCTCCAAGGTGAGCCCCCTCTCCCCCCCCCCGCCCCCCGACAGTGGCCCAAACCTTGAGGACGGCCTCCGGGAAGTTCCGGCTGAAGAACTGAGCCACTTCCTTCACGTTCAGGCTGGACTTGGTCCTGACGGTGATCATGTAGCCATCCCCAAACCTGTCCAGAACAAAGGGAGGGGGGGAAGAGGGGGCGCCTGCAAGAGCCAGTCTCCTGGCCGGATGGCTCCGGTAGGGAAGTGAAAACTACCGCCTAGGATGGGGCAGCTGAGAGGGCCCGGCCTCCCTCCAAAGGGGCCAGAAGAGGATTTCCTCCAAGACTGGGGCACTCGGGGGCCTGCTTCGCATCTGGGCGTTGCCCCCAGGCCAGGACTGAGAGCTTCCCCAGGTTTGGCCGGTGGAAGAAGCCGCTGCGAGGGGCCCATGCTGTGCCCACCCGGCGCCCTGGGCTCACCGGTTCTTCAGGTGCTGGATGCTGCCCAGGCACTTGAGGCGCCCGTTCACCATGATGGCCAGCCGCGTGCAGAGGGCCTCACACTCCTCCATGCTGGGAGAAGACAAGCACAGCTGAAAGGAAGGGAGCCCCCTCCCCAAACGGCAGCGGGGGGGGAACAGCTTGCCCATTGCTCTTGGTCGCCCTGCAGCCGCTGCCCCCTTACTCATCCACATCCACGGAGCTCCCCAATCCAGCCGACCCCTTTCCCTGGCACCTCAGGAACCCGGGTGTCTCTCTCTGTGCCCAGCCTACCTGTGCGAGGTCAGAACCACGGAGCGGCCCGTCTTGATGATGTCCAAGATGAGGTTCCAGAGGAAGCGCCGAGCCTTCGGGTCCATGCCCGTGGTGGGCTCATCCTGTTGCAGTGGAGGGGACCAGGGGGCAGGATTAGGCCCAGCGGGGAGGTTCCCAAGGCCTGGGTGGCATCAGAGCACCAGAGCAGAAGAGCAAAGCGTCCCCCGCAACCCTCCAGCCGGGTCTCTTCCCCACCTTCGCTCCTCACCAGGAAAATGAAGGCAGGGTAGCCTATCAGCGCAATGGCAGTGGACAGTTTCCTCTTGTTGCCGCCGCTGAAGGTGCTGGCGGGCTTGTTGGCGCATTTAGCCAGCTCCAGTTTGCTCAGCGCCCACTTGACCACCTGGGTTGTGAAGGAAGAGGGGTCTCACACCCACAAAGAACAGCAGCCATGGTGGGGCCGCTGAAGGCCCCCCTCGCCCAGCCTCAGCCCCTGCAGAGGGGCTTGCCCTTAGCCCTTTCTGCCTTGTGGGGTGAGTCCCACCGAGTCCACACGGAAGCAGCAGCAGCAGCTGCCTTCTCCTTTTCAGGAAAACCCGGGAGACGGGGGCGTGCCTGTCCTTCTGCCTCTGCCTCACCCTCTCCTCATCCTTCCACGGGATGCCACGCAGCCGTGTGTACAGCTCAAGGTGCTCCTGGGCCGTCAGCTCGTCGAAAAGGGCGTCGAACTGCGGACAGTAGCCCAGGCTCTGTTGGACCTGCAGAAGCTCCTTCAGGATGCTGTGGAAACCGAGAGCTGGGCTGAGCACAAGGCGAGGGGCTCAGCACTGCCCAGGAGGCCCCCGGAGCCCCTGCAGAAAGGCCGGCTGGGGGGAAAGGGGGTTCAGCAGCCCCATTCAAAAGATAATGGGACCCATTGCTCAAAGCGACAGCGATGAAAAATGAAGCAGAGAACAAATGGATTGTGGGGGCGGGGAATATAAGCATATAAGATCAGCACAGGATTCCAACAGCTAGCAGGAAGACACAGCCTTTTTTTTGGGTGGTGCTTTCCTGCAATGAGTAAATCAGAACATCACTGCCTGCCCATGGAGGCTCCATAGACCTATGGATTCACACTTCCTGTTTCTCGCTCTGGGTGCAAATGACCCCATTTTCAGTCTGGGATAGCAAATTCCCAGGACATTCCAGGGGAAAAGAAGGGAATTAAAAAAAAAAAAATCAGCTTCCCAGGGAGCCCTGCAACAGGTGGGCCCCTGAGGGACCCTCCAGCCCCCACCTCCGCGTGCCAGGCGCACCTGTGCCCGTTAATGAAGGCCTCGCCGTTGGTGGTGGTCTCGTCCCCCGTCAGCATCTTGAAGGTGGTGGTTTTCCCTGCCCCGTTGACGCCCAGCAAGCCGAAACACTCCCCCGGCCGGACACCCATACACAGCCGGTCCACGGCCAGAATGCGCCCAATCCTGCGCGATTTGTACACCTGGTGCCCGGGGAGGGCAGGAAAAAAGCCACCTCAGCCTCCGTGAGCAAAGAGCTTCTCCTCAGCCTCGGGGCATTCCCACCAGTGCAGGAGGCTGCCCCCATCTCCCGCAACCCTCTCTGCCCCCAAATCTCAGCTGCTTCAGGATTCAAACCTCGCTCCCTTTGAGCCCCCTGCTCCAGCCAAACCTGCCTCGGATGGACCCCACCCCCCCCCCCCCACACACACATACCTTGGTGAGATTCTCAAGCTTGAGCATGTCATTGTCGGCGTCCCCACGCAGAACTCGCTGCCGCTCGGTGGCCACATCCACATCGTCTTCAATGGGTTTAGTGGAGACGGGAAATCGCCTGGGGAGGATGGTGCAAAGCAGCTTTTTTTTCCAACGGGAGACTTAGCCCAGAGTCATTGTGTCCCTCTTTCCCTCCCAGGCACGGATTTCCAGCATTGCAATTCCCACCCAGCCAGACGGGAAGGAAAATTCCCACTCCCCAGAAATCTCCCTCCTGGGCACACCTACTGGCACACTCACTGTGGTTTTCGGAGAAAGTTGTACTGGCACATGATGGTGATAAAGAAGCCGACAAAGCCTTCCACCGTCATGGCGACTAAAGCCCTGGTCACGATGTCCCACTCAAAGGGAGACTTAATCTTGTCAAATTGCCCTACAGGAACAGAGGCACAAATGGGGCTGAGAGGGCCAAAACCTCCCCCGGGTGGGGGCTGCCTTGGTGGTGGGGTGTGTGTGTGTGGGGGGCAAGGAATTCATCTGAGGCCTTTCCGGGGTCACCAGAGGCTGCTTTCCTCCTTCCCAGAGCTATTTTTCTAAAGAAATTCTTTTAACAAACATTTTCCTGCTGAATGGAAGAGCCGCAGAGGTGAGAAAGTCCTCTCCTCTCGGATCCCCCAGGCAATCTAAGGCGAGCCGTCACTAAGCAAGGCAGGGTTAAGAAACCGCTCTGCGCATGTTCAAAAGCTTGCAACATTATAGGGATAAAATCGTGGGACGGAGAACGGGGGGGAGAAATCCCGAGGCTGAAACAAAGGGCAGATTTACTGCCGCTTTGGATAGTGTGAGATGGCAGCGTAAAAGCTGAATAACCAGATAAAAAAAACTCTTTACCGATCTTTGCGTAGTATTCGTTGATGTACTCATTGTAAGCCATCTCCATGAGTCCGTGGCCCAGGTTGTAGTTGGGGAAGATCAAGAAGCAGCTTTTTAAGTAGCTGTTTACCACCTTCAGGTCCTGCGGAGAAATAGGCACTAAGGAAGGAAGGGCTGCAGCAGGCGCGTCAGATCAGCCCCCCCCACCCCCTCCCCGGCTCCAGGCCCCAGATTTGGGGGCTGCACTGCCTCTGTGTGTGGTACAAGAGGCCTTTCCACCACGTTGGTCCAGGGGTCAGCTGAAGGCAGGGACTATCAGGGGAAGGATTCTGCCAGTCGCTTGCTGATTTTTTAAAAATCCTTATTTTAGCTTCCTGCTCTGCCGACACCCACCTTGTCGTGCTCAAAAAGCTGCAGGAGGAAAGTGGCCACGGTGGCCGTGATGCCGATGAAGAGGTTGATGACGATGAGGAAGACGTAGGCCGAGCTGGGCACCTCGAACCAGAAGGAGGCTGGGTACATGATGGGCGTCATGGACCACCTGGGGGAAGGGCACGACAGGCTCCAGATGGAAGGCCCACAAGCCCTCAAAAGCCATGGGGAACCTGCCTAAGAATTTCCCGCCCAGCTCCTTCCCTCTGGAAGTTCAGAGGTAGACTGCCTCTAAAAGTGGAGGTTCCATGCCTAACCTTACAGGGCAGACCCATGCTCCACGGGGCTCTCTTTTGCCCAAAGCAGCATATCATGGAGAGGAAACTGAGCATGCCTCAGGCTGAGGCCAGGCAGGGGAGGCCGCCCCCCCCCCTCACCAGGGCCCCGATGGCTCCTCTCCCAGCTGCCACTCACCCATAGAGCAGGAAGAGGGCGACCACCGCGGGGAAGTTGGTGGGAGAGGTGTAAGCCGGCAGGTCGAAGACGAAGAGAATAATGATGCAGCAAGTGGCTGGCACCAGGTAGTTGAGCTGGAGAGGAGGGAGGGCAGGGGGTGAAGGAGGCTCATCATGGCGTCCCCTGCCCCCACAGCCACCCCCCTCCACTCCCCTAATGGCTTGGGGGTCCCAGCCAGCCCCCACCCCACAGCCTACCATGTCCCAGACGTAGTTGGCCAGCCAGTAGATGACGGGGTCGCAGCCACTGACGAACTGGAGGTGCTTGGCTTTGGTGGACTTCTCGGCCACCAGAAAGACGACGAAACTGGCCGGCACGAAGGACATGGCCACGATAATGAAGATGGCGATGACCACGTCGGTGCCTTGCAGGCTGAGGGGAGGAGGAGAGGTTGGCCAGCTTGTAAACGTTCCTCTGCTTCCCCACCCCCTTTGCAGAACCCGGCCCTGTTTGCCCCAAAGCTTGCACAACGCCCCTGCGAGGTTGGGATGGTTCCCCCCACCCGAGCTCTGTGACTGCCCTGGGCCTGCTACAAGAGAGGCCCTTGCTTGCCAGAGGGAGGAGTGGGATACGAGGGAAACTTGACCCCCCTGCTACCCTGAGTCATAAAAACATACTGCAGAAATAAACCAACGAGCAGCGTCTGTGGAGAAGCAAGGGATTAAGAGGGGAAGGGAGGGAAAGGAGACCTACAGGTAATCCAGAGAAAGGCTGGCGCTGGTCTTGTTCATGGGATGGTTGGTCAGAGTGATGCCTGGGGGGCAGAGAGAGAGTCTGGCATGAGTGCCTGAGAAGGCTTTCTCTGCCAGGCCCACCAATCTCCTCCACCTCCAGATTCCCTCCTAGCCACATGGCCTCCTCCTCCTCCTCCTCCTCCTCCTCCTCCTCCTCCTCCTCCTCTTCCTCCTCTCCTCCTATGCGGCTGCACAGCCTCTCCACACCCCCAGGCCGAGTGCTGCTGCCGCTGCCCCAATTCTTCCCAGCATCCTTTCCACCCTTCCTGCTCACCATAGGCTGCGCGGTTGCCTCTGCTGCTGGGCAGGTTGGCACGGAGGATGGCATTGTTGAGGGCATTGAGGTAGGTGGGCATGCTGTGGTATCCTTTGTTGTTGTAGTACACCTAGGAAGGCAGCGTAGGGAGGGGAGCATTGGCCCAGGCTGCTCTCCTGCGGACAGGGGGCTTGAAGAGGGCAGCGGGCACAGAGGACCCTGAGAGGGAACGGCCCCTGGTAGCTGGGACAGGAACTCCCATTCAAGCCCATCCGGCTGGTGCTGCCCACCATAGATTGGCAGAGCTATAACTGAGCCCCTACCTGGGCAGTGCTGCGGACAGCAATTTTCCGGAGCATCGGGGGCGCGTTGTCCCCAAAAGAGGCCGGGATGGATCTCTGGATGTTGCCGAACGTTACCGCTCCATACCTGGGACAGGAAAGCAGCCGCCACATTCACTAACAGGCACCTGCTAGAGCTCCTCCTGGGGGGGAGGGGGATGCCCCCAACCCCACCATGCACGCCCACACACACACCTGTGCAGCCGAAAGCGGTCCGATGTGTAGAGCAGATACTCGGAGACGTTGCGCCCCGTGATGTCCACCAGTATGTCCCCCGTCACCACCTTCATCTGGGGAGGGTGCCCCCCTACCCCGCTGGGGCAGGAGAAGCCAGTGCCCTGCATGGAGCAGGTGCACCTGATGGGTTCGTGGACGATGCTGGGCTGGGCCGGGGTGGAGGTGACCATCTCTGGCAGGGAGGAAAACCGAGAGTGGTTTCACCCGCCAAGGGAGCCCAGCACTGCGGAGGAGCCGCACAGAAAAGGAGGGAAGGGAGCCAGCCTTTCCGTCGAGGGGCTCCCAGTCTCTCCCAGAGCCCGTCCTGGGCGCCCCTCCCAGCCAACCAGAGGCGCCACGGAAGAGCCGTTTTCAGAGCCTGCCTCTCGTCTCCAGCCCTCTCGATGGCCACCTTACCTTTAACCGTGGGCGGGAAAGTGGTGAAGTTCCAGGCCCGCAGCAAGTCCTCGTCCAGAGAGAAGGGGTAGTCGGAGGGGGCCGGGGACGGAGGGGGCGGCACGAAGTTGGAGAGGGGCAGGCCCTGGGTGAAGGAGTCCAGGCACATGGCATCAAAGTACTTGGCCGCCAACATCTTGGACTCGTTGCTGTTGAGGTTCAGGGACTGGACCTGCTGGTCCAGCGTGCTGTTGAAGGCCGACTTGAGCACACAGGTGGCCCCGATGCCGGAGGGCAGGTAGAAGGTGCTCACCAGCTGCTGGGCACTGGCGTCTGGCGATGGCTGGCTAATAGGAGGAGGAAGAGGAGAACTTTCCCAGCCCAAGGACTCCAGCCTTCCAGTCCCAGAGTGTGTGAAGGACAAAAGCAGACATTTGTTCCAACCATCACCAAGGCAGATTGTACCCCATCCGTCTCAGAGCAGGCCCTGAAATGGGCAAGGGTCTCCTTGCTATGCCCCCCTCCCCAATCTTATAGGTCTCAGACCCTCTTGGACCCTCCTGGGAAAGGCCCTGGGGGGGTGGGGAGGGGGGGGAAGAGTGCAAAGGGGAGGGGCAATCTCTTACTGGTTGCCACGTTCCTCATTGGCGTAGGGGATGAAGTTGCCTCTGGGCTGGGTGTAATTGTGGTACTGGGAAGGCGAAAGGATGAGGGGAGGCAGGTCACCTGGAAAGCAAGAGGGGGCTGTAATAACCAGCCACGGAAGGACACCCCCATTTTGGCGGCAGAAAAGGGGGGGCAGGAAGAGGGTTGACATCGCCCCACCCCCCTCCGTGGCTCCATTGCTCGCTCAAAGCAAAAATGCCCAACGAGGTTTAAAAATGTCCCTCTACCGATCAGCCTTCCCAATCCATCCCCTCCGGATGGCCAGACCCACTGGGCAAGGACGGGGGGGGAGGGGGCCTCCTGTCACCTTACCTATTTCCGGGACAGAGAGGGCCACCGTCATGGCGACACAGACGAAGAAGGCGGGCAGCAGGATCTGGGAGAAGATGCCCTTGCTGTTGCGCTTGGCACAGTGGAAACGCTTGACCAGCAGCCCGTGGAACTGGCGCAGCTTCAGCCAGGAGCCCTCCAGTTTGAAGCTGCCTTGTCCGGCCAGGAACGCCTCTTCCAGGTCAGCCTCTGGCTCTGCAGGAAGAGGAGACGCGATGGATGCAAGGAGGGAAAGGGTCCCTGCCTCAGTTTCCCTTTCCTCCTCCTCCCAAATGCCCTTCCACCCTCAACCCGTTGCACCCCCACGTCTTCTGCCGTGAAAAAGGCATCCGTTGGGAAGCTTCAAAGCAGAACTCAAAGGTTTTTGGGAACCAGGGGGGCCCTCCCCTCCCCTGCGCCCCTCAGACTTTTCCCCCGCTACAAACCTTGCAGGCTGCCATTATCGGGGTCTTGTGGGTTGTCAAACAAGGAGGAGTAATCTCCGTAGAACTTCGAATAAGCTCCACCGTCCTCGCCCCGCACGGAGCCGGCCGAGGAGGAGGAGGAGGAGGAGGAATGCAAGGATGCCTGGGACTCGGCCAAGTCTGAGCAGTTCAGGAGGTTCCCCAGATCCACTTCGGGCTTGGTGGGCCTTGCCGGCCCTGGGAGCGGGTGGCCGTTGGCCTGGGGCTTGGGGCCAAGGCGGGGACTGGGCTGCGGGGAAGCCTCTTTCTTGGACTCCTTGATATCTGCAAGGGTGGGCAGAGGTGAGAATGGCTGCCGAGGGCCGCAGGAGACCCCCAGGCGAGGGAGGCCTGACCCCCTGCAGCGTACCTGCATCGCTGTTCTCGAGCGACTGGTCCTCTTCGGAGACCTTTAGGAAGACCTCTTCGAGGGTGGTGTCCATCAGGCCAAAGCTGGTGAGGTCCAGCGCTTCCAAACTGTGCTCCAGGTGCTGCAGAAGGGAGCAGGGGGACGTTAGGGGAAGTCCCACGGCAGCATCTCCACTTTGGGGGGGCGGGGGGGTTGGGCTCCAAGTGGGCCTTGCAACCCTCTTCTCTGGAATCTCTCTGTGGCCCAGTCAAGCAACGATGCTTCCAGGGTGGACCAAAGGAATTCCCTTGTTCCACTCCTGTAGGAGCCTGCAGATTCGTGGCTTTGAATCAGCTTTTCCCAATTCCAGGAGGAGGAGATCAGAGGAGATCAACCCCGAGCTTCCAGGCTCAGGGGTAGTCTTCCTCTGCAACTACAAGGGGACTCTGTTATTGGCTCAGTCTGTGCCAACGACGTCATCCTCCGTAGTTTCTTCAGGGGCTCCTCAAATGTGAGATGTGAATTGCTTACAAATCCCCTGGAGGCAGAACAGGGTCATTTTAGGTTGGCAAGGACCCTCCCCCCTTCAAGAGGACTAGCTTCTTGAGAAGGGAGACCCAGAGATCACCATCCGGTTGCTTTAAAGCACCTTTTATATGTTTCCACCCCCCAGGAAAGGAAGAAGCCCTGGAGTCAAAACCCAACGTAGCCTTGCCCTCCCTCCGCCCGCCTGTGAAACCCCTGCGCCCACCTGGAAGAGCCGTTCGAAGCAGCCCTTCTTGGCGGCCTCGCTGGGCAGGATGTAGGAGAGCTCCGTGTTGGTGTTGGAGATGAGGAGGCAGGAGGCCACGTGCTTCTTGATGAACTGGCTGACTCGCTCCTCGGAGCAGGGGCTGGTGGCGGAGGGGCAGGGCGGGCTGTGGGGGAGCCCCGTCTCTGGGGGGGGGAGGGAGGGGAGAGTTAGCCAGGCCAAAGGAAAAGAGGATGGAGGGGAGGGTCGCTCAGAATTTGAAGCATTACCCCCCATAATAGCTGCAGAATTGGGTGATTTCCAAAGAAACCAGCTGGGCCAAAGTCTTGCAGAAAAGAAGCAGAGAGAAAAGGAAAGAGACGGGGCTGCAAAGGGCCTGACGGTGACTTGAACCTCCCTGGTCCGAGGAAGTCTACCTAAAGCACGAAAGGCCAAGGACGCAAGAGGACCGAGGCTCAAAGCCTGTCCTGGACACAGGAGGGCCGGAGGGGCCACTGACCGCTGTTGGTCCGGGTGTCCGACTGCTTCTTCACCACCGTCAGCTTGTAGCCGTCCCCATAGGTGCTTTTCAGGAAGAGGGGCGACCCACAGCACTTCAGCTTCCCATGGGAGATGATGGCGATGCGATCGCCCAGCAGGTCCGCTTCGTCCATGTGGTGGGTGGACAGGAGGATGGTCCTTCCTGGGGGGCAGAAAAAGGGGAGGTGGGACACGTGGGGGTGGAAGGACCCCAGAGGGCACCTCACAAAGCGCCCACCAAGGTGAGAGAGGACCAGGGCCCTGCTAGGTTCCACCTCTGCACCCCCCAAAAAAGGGGCCGGCGACCCACCTTGCTTGTACTTGAGGATGAGGTCCCAGATGGCTCGGCGGGCATAAGGGTCCACGCCGGCTGTGGGCTCGTCCAGGATGACGGCCCGTGAGCCCCCCACGAAGGCAATGGCCACCGAGAGCTTCCTCTTCATCCCTCCGGACAGCATCTGCACCAGGAAGTGGCACTTGTGGGTCAACTCCAGGTCCTCGATCATCCTGTGGGGAAAAAAGCAAAGTGGGGCTCACTTTGGGAGCCCCTCTGGGGAAGACTCGCCCGGCCTGTTCCGGATCTGCTGGAGGAGAGGAATCTCGATCTGAGCCTAAAGCTCCCCCTGCCCGAGAGGCTGGAGAGACCAGGAGGAAAGGGTTAGGGTTAGCCCGCTCCTGCTGGCTGGGGAGCATGGGAGCTGGGATCCAAGAGTGCCGGGGGAAGGTCGGGGGACACCCACTTGGCCATCTCCTTGCAGATCTCCTCCTTGGCCATGCCCTTCAGCTGCGAGTAGAACCAGAGGTGCTCCTCCACCGTCAGCTTGTCAAAGAGGACGTTGTGCTGCGGGCACATGCCCAGGTTCTTCCGGATCTGGTCCATCTCCGTCCGGATGTCGTGGCCGTAAATGGTGGCCGAGCCGGAGGTCGGAGGGAAAAGGCCGGTCAAGATGGACCTGTGGGAGAGGAAGCAGCACAGGGATGGGGTTAGATGGAGCCCCCCCACTCCCTGCCCCCCCCACACCCTGCCAGGGGGCACCTGCAACACTCACATGGTGGTTGTCTTGCCAGCGCCGTTGTGGCCCAGAAAGGAGACCACCTGGTTCTCGTAGAGGTTGAGGCTCAGCTTGTTCAGAGCCAGCTTTTGGTCGGTCTTGTAGATCTTGGTTAGTTTGTCCACGCAGACCACCAGGGGCAGGTGGGTGGGCTCCTCCTCGATGCCCCGGCTCTCCTCTGCAGTGGTCAACAAAGAGCAGAGAACACGGGGGGGGAGGGGGGAGGGGATCTGTCTGTGAGGTGTCGAAGGAAAAAGCACGGCCTTTCCGGACTTCTCTGGCCAGGTGTGCCAGTGCGAGTCTTCAAAGGTCATGCAAAGAGGGAGCCCTTCCCGCGATGCCCCACCACCCCCTTACCCATCCTCCTGTTCTCCATGGCACAGGCTTGGTCCTCCTCTGTGACACTCAGATGGGTCCTCTTTGACCAGGGCCATGACCAGTCCCAGGCCTCGGTGCGCCCGTTTCCCAGCCAGTAGGACTTCTGCAGTGGAAAGTACCAAGGCCGAGGGAGCCCGTACATCCCTGGGGGAGAAGCAGCGGTTGGCATAGCAGGAACCCTCCCTGGAGGGTCTCAGCCCAGGGTGGTGGCGGCTGCAGTGAGCAAGACCCCCGAGCTCCCCCAAACCCATACCTGGGTGCACGGCTTCGATATACCACGTCAGCACCCCATAGACCACAGTGTCAATGATCAGCATCATCATGGAAAGCAGGAGGTTGAAGTCATCCCCTTCCACGGGGGACTGGCTAAAGGTGTGCCACTGGATGCCCACGCCAGACACTTCGTAGAGGGCAAAGTATTTTGAGCCCAGGCCAAAGGCCGTGGTGGACATCAGGGACTGGGGAGAAATGGAGAGGGACGGGGGTGAAAAACTCCTCAAGGGGCTGAGAAACATACGGGAGTGCCTTGGTCATGCCCCTGCTGTGCCAGGCCGATGCCCAACCGAGAACAGCCCAGGCCCCCCATCCCCCCAGCTGGAAGAGGAGTCGTTGCGCCACAGGGACAGATCTTCCCAAGGCTTCTGCTGCCACCCCGAGTGCCAGGGACCCCAACTGCGTCTCTCCTGGGGGACTCACGGCAATGCACTTCTCGAAGGCGGTGATCTTGTCGTGGGCCACCTCCTCCCGGATGGCCACATACATGTAAGGGACGTAGCTGAGGAAGTAGATGATCCCACCGCAGGCCGAGGCCACCTTGGCCTTCGAATACAGCACGGACACCAGGAAGCTGCAGGGAAAGAGGGGGAGAGGTCGGTCACAGGCCGCAGTTCTGTGGATGGGGGAAAATGGGCTTAGCTAAGCAGGCTTCCCAAGCCCATCATCCTCAGCCGGGGACTACGTTGAGGAAGAAGGTTGAGGGCATCTCCACAGGAGGCAAGGGAACACATCTCCTACTTTTGCAAAGCAGCACAATGTAGACTAGAGGAGGAACCCCCGCACCCCCCGACGTGAGGGCCAAGGTTCAACCAGGCCACCTTCCCTCCTCACCAGAACATGATGGTGGCCACGGCGTAGACGGCCAGGAAGAGCCAGATGATGAGGACGTCGCTGTGCATGAGGACCTTCCCGTACTTGAGAATGGCGGTCAGGGCAGTGACCGAGATGGACAGCTGGACGAAGCCTGTGATGAACCACGCCACCCAGTGGACGGCATTATTCAGCCCCATCATCTTCATCACCTGCAACGCATCAGCCCCGGGGTAAGTGCCTCTCGGCAGTTTTTAGGCCCCAAATCTCTCATAAATTGCTCCGGTTCTGAAATTCTGAGTCTCCGGTGCTCGCAGGGATGGGAATCCAGCGGTCTTTCCAAGGCAAAATTGCTGTGGACAGGAGAGCTTCTCACGAGGGCCTCTCCCTGCCTGCCCGCCTGGACGGAATCTCTCTCTGCAGCTGGCACCTCTGCCAACACTCCTCTCCCTTGGCAGGGACGCAGCCACCCACCCAAAGGCAGGCTGGCTGGCTCTCTGCCCTGGCACTTCATCATGATCTCATTAAGCAGGGTGGCCGAGGGACACGGCCACGCCAGCAGCAATGGGAAGGGAAGGCCCTCCTGGCACAGAGGCAAGGAAAGAGCTCTGCAGGGAAGCGCCACAGAAGGGAGGACGCCGGCTTGGGAAGTGGCACGGCTGAAAAGATGGAGACGGGACAGCTGGAGGGTCCCCCTCTGTGAGCACTTCCAGGAGGTGGTTTCGCCCCCCTCAGCCCTTCCCAGCACCCATTTCATTACCCTGCCACCTGCATCCAGAGAGGCCTACAGAGCCCTGCTGGGAGCCTCCCATTCTGGGTGAGGGTGTGACTTTCCCCTGATCGCCCCCCAATTCTGAAACAGCCACCCCATTTCCTCTCAGGTCCCAGCTGCAGCACCCAGCTCAGCCCTGACTTTTCAGCAAAGCCTCCCTTGGACTGTTTCCCCGCTCTCCTCCTTCCTTTCCTGCCCCTGAATACCTCCCTGGCCTTGGGAAGCAGCTGTCGCCTTCCGCCCCTCCCATCCCACCTCCTTCAGATGATGCTCCTTCTCCGCAACGATGTGCTGGATCATCATGGCCACCGAGTAGACCCAGGAGATGACCATGCACAGCGGCATCATGTGCTCAATCACGAACAGGAAGCTGGAGGAGGGGGAAAAGGGAGCCTCATCCACAGCCCAGGAACCCCCCTGCCATCCCAGGAGGCGAGGGCCGAGTGAGTCGGGGGCCAGGCAGGCGGCAGCTCCAGAGCACAGTCCTTCTCCTTGGCCTCCGGCCTTCCAGAGAAGAGCTGTTCTCCCAGGGAGCATCACCTCCCAAGGCAGAGAAGGGGACTCACTCATCACGGGTGTAACAGGGGTAGGGAAACATCTGCACGTAATTGCCAGGCTCCACCACATCGCGGCCGACAAAGGTGTTGACAATGGCACGCTCCATCATGTCTTTGGAAAGAGAGAAGCAGCACTTAAGTTGATGCCGATGGTTCTCAGGGCATCGATTCCTGCAGTTGTGAAGGTCAGCACTGGGGCACCCAAACCGGCCTCCAGAGGTGACTGGCCTTTTCAGCGCACAGATAATAAAACGAAGGGTCTGGAAGGGCTACTGAAGGGTGCGCTTAATTAACCTACAGTCAAAGGGGACAGCTTCCACAGACATTGGGACAGGAAAAGGGAGCATCTAATTCAGGCTCTGAAAAAGCCAGCTGGGCTCACCTTGGATCCAGACAAAGCCATAAAGGAAGTAGAAACGCCCCCCATTGTTTGGACCGGGTCTCCAGTACGCCCGCCGGATCTCATTGGTCTTTTCCGTGAAGCTGGAATTTTGGCGGATCTTGTACATGACGTGAGGAGGGAGGCTGCCATCCTTGTTGGTTTGGAAGATCACACCTTTGGGAGAAAAGGAGAAATAGTCCACAAGAGAGGCAAAAACAAGTGCCAGCACACTTCTGGATCAGTCCCAAAGTAGGTCAGGTGCTGACCTGGGACGTTGCATTCAACCAACAGATCATCTACTCTAAAATAATCGGTGGCCTCTGAAGTAAATGTACCCATCAGTCCATATTCCTGTCTCTCTAGCCTTATACCCAGAAAAAGCTCCGAGGTACATCGTTGTGCAGCCAGGAAGTCAACACACCAGTGTTTCCCAACCTTGTCTTCTTTAAGACACGTGCACTTCAATTCCCAGAATTCCCAGCCAGCAGGCTCATCCTCCCAGAATTCTGGGAGTTGACACTTACACATCCTATACTTGACAAGGTTGACAAACTGCAATATATGGGATGAATCACTTTGGAGCTGTCCAGAGTGCTGAAGCCCCTGCACCACCATTCCTCCTCCACCAGGAAAAGACATCCCGGGATAATGGGAGTTGTAGTCCAAAACATTAGAAGCCTCCCTCTTAGAAACTCTTTCCCGGGCCAAAATCAAAAAGTGGCTAGAGAAAATAACACAACCACTGATAAATGCAAAACCTGAGATGTTCCTATTAGGGATATTCATGGAAAAATTTACGAAGGAAGTAAAATATTTAATATTACATATTTTAACTGCCGCTCGTATAGTCTATGCCCAGAATTGGAAGAAAGAAAATGTACCATCTGAAGACGAGTTAATAAAAAAAATCTTGGAATGTGCCGAGATGGACAAACTGACAAAAGAACTTAAAAGAAAAAGAGGATACAGAATACTATAGGACTTGGCACAAGTGGTATAAGTGGTTGGAGGGAAGGAAAAATGAAGAAGAAAATTAGGGGGGAAAGATAGAAATGTTAAAAAAGACAAAAAGGATATGTTAAAGTATAAAAAGTGGGAAATAGATATGAATGAGAGAAATAGATTATATATATAGTAATTAAAATGTTGGGGACAAGTAGTAAATCGGAATAATACAAAGAGAAAGAAGGGGAAATTGTGAATAACAAAGAAGATCACCATGCAATAGGTGTAAAGAGAGTGCGTTTACAAATGTTGTATGTCTTGTATTGTTATATTGTGTTATAAAATAATAATACAAAGAAACTCTTCCCCCTTGGCTACACTGAGGGCCAGTCCTGCCTAGAAGCCCCAGTGCTCCAACTGGTGGCTCTGCCACTCGGGCGGAAGAGCTGCGAGGGAGGGCGATGAGGGGAAGGCAAAGTTTGCCCGTACTGGCAAAGACGGTGACGTTGTCGTGGTAGGCTTGGTTCAGGGTGTAGTTCACGATGCTCTCTTCATCTGGAAAGCCCTTGAAGATGTCCACGCTGACCTGAGGGAAAGGGGAAGCCTTTGAGGTGCAAGGGAGGCGCTTTGACACCCCAAAATTAAGTTTCCCCTCAGCCAGTGGAGAGACAGCGTGTTGCGAGCCCCAGTCCTAGGAACCCCAAGCAGGAAACCCCCGCCCTCTGGAAAGCAAAGCCCACTCAAGGACGGAGAAAACCGGCCCCTGCCGGCCAGTGCTCAGCTTCTATAGCCTATTCTAGAAGTTTGTATTTTTAAGCCATTTGAATCTCAAATCCTTTCATGCGGTTTTAAATCATGACTTTTTACCAAACGGCACCATGCCAAAAATATATTTTAAACCTTTAACGTACTTTTAAAAAAAGTCTTGCCATGTCCTCTTCCGGGACTCCTTTCTTGACCTCCCAACCCCGAGATCTCCCCATTTTCTCTGCTCCCAGGCGGAGCCCAGCTTGACCCTTCACCTTTGGGCCTGAGAGGAGGTCCAGCGAGACCCACCTTGAACATGAACTGGATCCAGCCGCAGGCAGCGTTGTCGATCGTGTCCAGCTGCTGGAGAAGCGTGCTGGTGTTGGAGAGGGACAAGTTGCTCTCCATGAAGTTATGGAAGACGGTGCTGTCGGAGACGTTCAGGATCTCGGGGTGCCTGTGAAGATCTGCCGCCATCTGGGGGGACCCGAAGAGAGCAGGGAGTGAGAGTGTGCAGCCCCTTCCTCTCTGGCTTCAGCTGGGCTGGGCGGAAACACCCTGTTTGCCGGCCTTCTTCCCTGCTGCCCTGGGCGGGTGGGGGGCTCAAGCCAATCCCCCTCCCCCCCAATACCTGCTGGAGCCAGGCAATCCGCTGCTGCAACTTGCCCTCCTCCAGGAAGCCCCGGATCTCAGCTGAGATGTTCAGCCAGACCTGGGCGTACCGCGTCACGTTCCCGACAAAGGCGAAGGTCTCGTTGGCCTGTTGTGCAGGAGGAGAGGACGTTAAGCAGAACACCCCAAGACTCTGCAGGGGGGTATTTATTCAAGGGGAATCTGGGGACATTTTCCTTTGGGTGCTGAGAACTGTGCCCCGGAATAAAAAGAAACCTCTTTGCCGCTCAGGGAAAGGCAGGGCAGTGGCTGGCATCTGGAGCACCAGATCCTTTTTGGTTTCGCTTCTTCTTGGAGTCGGCATCCAGGCAGCCTGCTGCCCCTCCGAAGGTCAACCACACAACATGCCAAGGGAGTGTGCGCTCTATTTGGGGAGAGGGCGGGAGGCACCCCTGGACGCATCGACTAAGCAAAGCCTCGAATGCGGAAGCCGCCCGTTCCTGCGCTCTGCCCACCTTCAAGATGACTTTATCCACCTCGGTGCCAACGGGCGAATACAGGATCTTGGGGTTGCTGGTCATGAGGTGCACCAGGAGGCCCAGGTTGCGCTGCTCCTTGCTGGTGAAGCCCAAAGAGCTCATGTTCCCCTGCCGGAGGGCCTCGGGTTCAATCGTCCTGAGGGGAGAGATTCTGAAGGTCAACGGCCCACGCCTGCGCTCCATCGGCCCCAAAGCAAAGCCCCCCGGGGAACCCTCACCGGTTGTTCCCGCAGAGGATGGGCTGCAGGCCGGCCCAGAGCTGCACGAACGCCGAGCACTGCCCTTGCGGATCCTCGGCTGGCGCCTCGCTCTCGGCCCGGCCCTCCTCGGAGCTGGAATTGGTGCCAGAGGTGAAGTTCACAGCTGAGCCAGTGCTGTTGGGGGCGATGGGGGGCACTTTGGCGGCACAGGCTCCCTTGGGGAGGAGCTTGGCCAGAGCGGAGAGGATGTCCAGGTCCTTCAGCACCTTCTCCATTTCCATCAGGTCCTCCAGCAGGGCATGGAGGCGGCTCTGGGCCACGGTGTGGTTCACCTCGTCCAGCTTCAGCTGCAGGATCAAAGACCTGGTTGCAACCCAGGAAGGTCCTTTGGGGTACAATCGCACTGGGCAGTTCATGCCCATCCCGGCCCTGCACTGGACGCTCAGGTGAGGCTCTCGGGGCAGGAGGAGGACGCCCGAGGGCTGGGGTGCCGCAGAAGAGTCTGCCCTGCCCACCTCACCTGTTCAGCCACCTTGCGAGCTTCCAGCTGGTCCTTCATCTCCACGGCCAGCTGCCTGAAGTAGTCAGCCCGCAGGCTGGTGCTCCGGTTGCAGACAGAGGCACGATAGGCCCGCAGGAGAGGCTGCTGGCTCTCTGGGATGGCCAGGATGCGCCTCAGCTCGTCCTGGTTCTGGCGACACGTCAGGCTCTCCAGCACAGGGGGGGTGAAAAGGATGTTCTGGGGAGGGGGGGGGAAGCAGCTGTCGTCACTGAAGGAATAGCCAGTGCAAGCAGACCAGCCGTGATGGCAGAGCAGGGTTGTTGGGGCTGGGGGAGGCTGGTGGCTGCCCCCTCCCTGCCTTCCCTCTGAGCACCCTTCCTGAAGCCCCCTCCCCAATCCCCCAGTCAGAGAGTTGGCTTCCTCCTGGCCCCCTCACCTCCACATCCCTCACAAAGGTCTGGGGGCTGTCGGAGCCGGGGGACTCTGCCACGGGGCTGGCCAGGCCCAAAGCGTGGGAGAAGAGCCGGAGGATGGCCTTCCGCTGGGCGCCTTTGGGGGGGCGGCGCAGCGCTTGCCGGACCAGCCCATCTTCCATCATCTTCAGGTTGCCCAGGAAGCTTCTCTGGGGAGGGGAAGAGCGGAGAAGAGGACCCAGAGACCCTCCGAATCTGGCTGATGCTCCTCTGTCTCTCTGGCTTCTCTTTTACACACACCCGCCCCCTCCCTCCCTGCCTCACAATTCCCCACCTCCAAGGAAGTCTTTGAAGAGGCAGGCTGGGCTTTTGGACCACACAGGAATGATCCATTCGCCCCTCCCCCCTTCCTGAACCAGCCCATCCATCACCCCCAGCCAGGCCCTTGTCCCTCCCCCCCCCCCCCCCCCCCCCCCCCGCCTGCCATGACCAGCAACATGAGGCTCCAGGAAGTCTCACCTCCGGGTGATGCCGCTTGTCCACTAGGCCAAAGTTGTCGGCAAAGCCGGGAGACACACCAAAGATGAGCCGGTAGACCTATGGAAAGAACTGTCAATCTTTGACCCTGGCAACTGCCCCCCACTTCCCCCCAGTCTGGAGCCCGACTGTCCCTCCAGGTACTGCGCCTGCAGCTGACTGCCCCCTGCCCCGCCAACCTCTCTCAGGTTGATGCTGGAGCCTGTGAGCAGCCCCACCGTCTCGTTGGACAAGGAGAGGTTCTGCATGAGGAAACGGTGAAGCTCCGTCTTGTCCTTGGCCACGGAGTCCAGGGAGAAGCCGGGGGCTGCCAAGGAAGGATAAATGGGGAGGGGGAGATTGGGCAGTGAGTGCAAGTGGGGAGAGAGCCCACCCTCAGCAGGAAGCAGCTCAGCTCCTCCCCAAACGCAGCAACATTCAGCAGCTGCATCCTGGCCTGGCCCTTCCCCACAGGGAGGACCCCCAACCCACCTGCCTGGGTGGTGAAGTGGGGCTCCACGGGGCTGGGCCCGGTGTTGCTGCCAAGAGACTCCAGGTGGCGCCGGAGAGACTCCAACTCCTCTTCCGGCCCAGCATGATCCGGGTCGAACAGATTGCTCTTCTCCACCACCTCCTTCAGCCGCTCCAGCAACTGGGTCACCCTGCAGGAAAGACCCACGAGGGGGGGGGGGGGATATATGAACGGGGGGGGGGGGGGGGCACACCCTGAGAGGGGCTCTGGCTTTCTTCAGTCCTTTGCACTTGCCAGGGTTGGTGGAGAAAAGAGGCTGAAGCCTGCCCACCTTTGCTCTCCAGGAAAGCACACAAAGGAACGAAAGACACCCCCCTCAACTCAGGCTGCCCCCACTTTCCTTCCTGCTTAATGCCAAGCTTTCAGTTCAACAGGCAGCTCTTTGTGCCCCCTCCCCCAGAGGAGGGCCCCCCTCTAGCAATAAATGGCTGCAGCCAAAACTCTCCCCTTGGCCTCGGCAAGCTCCTCTCTCCAGTGGCAAACCACCTTTTTCAACAGAATACCAGAAATCGGGTCTTTGGGGTGCAGACCCACCTGGAATTGGAGTACTGCAAGAACCCAAACTCATCGCGCTGCCCGTCGGGACACAGGGACTGCATGACGGGCAAGATGCCGGCCGAGGTGAGGGGTGCTGCCGTGTAGTAGGCTAGAGAAGGAAGAGCGTGAGAAAAGAGGGGTGGGTGGAAACCTGACAGGGTGTGTAAGAAGACGCACAACCAGTTCAGAGAGCCGTGTGAAAGTCAGATCAGTTGGGGAGAGTCTCTTCCAATTAGCCAGAGGGACGGTTCCGGGGGTTAAAGGTCAGAGGTCCTTCCATCAAATTCCCCCTTTCCCCAAGCTTAAGCATGCCCTGGAGATGTGCTGGATCATATGCCCCATGACACTTGGCCAGGGGTTATGGGTACTGTAGTCCAGCACCTCAGGAGCATGGAGAAGCTGGTTCTTTGCCCGCAGCCAAGCTGGCATCATGTCTGTTCCCAGGCAGAACTCCAAGCCGCTTGCAGCTCCTTACCAACTGGAATTTGGAGCCAAAACAAAACCTTCCCCAATATTACAAGGTTTAAGACCAACCCACCAAGATAAATTTGCCATAACCCAAATTACACTAAAAAAAACCCACTACAATTTTGCTTTAAAGCTATGCTAATAGTTGCCCTTGTGCAGACATTAAAAAGTTGGACTTCAAATGTCCAGTCTGAATTCCAGGATCTCCAAAAGGTACAGCTTGATCCAATCATTTCACTTCGTGAAAGGTTTACTCAAAAGAGTGATTAGTTTCTAAACAAACACGCAATCTAACTTTATTTACTCGTCTATGCTTTGGTGCCAGAGGCATTGGAGATTCTGCAAGCGCCTGAGTTGGTGACCCATCCAGAACCTCAGAAGCCAGGAAACCAGTGACCTTTGACCCCCTGGCCAAAGGCAGATGGCTTTGGCCAACCAGTTAGTCACATCCTAGAGGGCAAGTTAAAAAGACAAGAAGGATGGGCTGGGGCAGGAGCGAATTAAGCCAGGATCCAACCCTGATCAACTGCAGGAGAAAAAGCAGAATTAGGGTGGGTGGGTGGGGGATAAGCCAGATATGAATCTAGGAGGGGGCTGGATCGCAATGGTGGCAAATAACCCCCTATGGCCTTTTTTGGGAGGGGGCATTTTCAAGGCTTTAGCAATTCCCAAAGCTGCAAAGGGAGTGATGGCCTTTGGGAACGGGCCTCGGCTTCCGAATTTGCACAGGACTTTATACCCCTTTGCCAATCCCCAACAGTTACCTGCCACCATGACTGGGAGGGCTATGAATGCGAGGGGAGATGGGAAAAAGCTGGCATTAAAACAACGTTAGTCAACTAGGGGGGGGCCAAGCAGCCCCCCCAAAGACGTGGCCTCAGCCCAAAGGAAACCAACTTACAGACTAGAGGAAACAAAGGCGCAAAAGAAGATAGAAAGAAATCAGGTCAGGGAAAAGAAAAGAAAAATAAGAGTGGGGGGAAGAGAAGAAAAAAAATGTTTCAGAAACAAAAGAAAAACAAACTTCAAAGCAAAACGGGGCGGATCATGGCGATGCCTCAGATGGCAGAACGGGCAGCCTGGGCAGCTTCCCATGGGCATGGGGGAGGGTGGTACCAAAGAAAGGATGGTGGGCCGGGGGGGGCATTACCTGTGGGCACCTAAAGGCTGCTCCTGATTCCAATGGGGCTTAATGAAGAGTTACGACCCTCTGCCTTTGCAGGAGCTTGGCTCCTTTTCAGATAAACCCTGATCACTAACAGAGCAGCTGCAACCCGGTGGGATTCTGGGGGTCCCAAAGCCACAACCCTTGCCAGCTGGCTTGGCTGGGGAAGCAGCTCTGGGAAGAGGCTGCCCATCGCATCTCTGTAGGAGTTTCTGCACCAGGTGAGCTAGTTTCCAGGCAGCCGCTCGGAGCTGAGGATGCTTTTTGTCTGAAGCTCAGGAAGTGGGCAGGGATATTTTGCTAACTGCAGGGCACTGCGTCCCTCAGCTCTGTCTTCCTGGGGGGGCCTGGTTGCCACTGTGGACTTTGTGCCCGTGGCCATCAGGGGAGACTCACCAGATTCCTTCCGGCGGCCAGGCACTTACCTTCCTTCACCGCGATGGTGGGCTTTTTCTGCCTCAGCCCCAGCAGGATGAAGAAGAGCACCAGCGGGATGAAGATTTCGAAGGACAGCACCCACTGGAGAGGGGAGGGGAAGAGCTGGGATGAGTCAAAGGGCAGGGGGAGACCTCCAGGCAGAGCCCACCGTCCCCAAGAGCCTGGCTGGAAGGCAAACGGGGGACACAGACACCCCGCTGGCCTCTTTGGTGCCGAAGGAGCAGGCTGGTGAAGCCCCCCAAATCCGAGGAGGCTTAGGATCCCCCAAGTCGCCCTCCTCTTTGCGAGCGGGTAGGGTGGGGAGGAATGGATCAGGAGGCAACCTGGGAATGCCAACCAGACCTCCTGACTCACTGACCTAGACTCGAAACACAGGCGCTCCAGCTCTTCTGGTGGCAACAACCCGTGTTTGTTCTGCTCGAACGAGGCTGACTAGTGCAAACCCAGAATGTCGGGCAATTGAGCCTTCAAAGTATTGTGAAAATGGGGCGGGAGGGAGCGTTGCTGTGCAAGATCCCCACCCAGATCCTCCTACCTCACCAGCAGCCCTTCCCACCCCGTCTGCCCACCTGGATGCCCATTTTGCTCTTCTTGGTTCGCGCAGCTCCGAACATCTCCCGCCTCCCCTCCAGACCCAAGAGAAGAAGTGGCCCCCTTCTCTCCTCAGAAGGGTCCACCTGTGAAGGTGCCCCACGGCCCGTGGCCACAGTTGACCTGCTGATTCTTCCCCGGAGTCGTGGACTTAAAGAGGCCTTCCTAAAATGGGGAGCCGAGGGGGCTTCAGCACCACAGCCATGGCCTCCCTTGCCACACCTGGGCAACCGAGCCCCCGCCTGCCAGATTCCCACACACTAAGGAAGCTCCATGGAGGGTCATGCAAAAAACACCAGTGGGGGTGGACAGAAGATCTCACTATCCTCCCTGGAGATTACTCAGAGGGGGGTTGAAATTTTCCTCTTGAAGAGTGCCCACAGAAACCTTCCTCTGCTGGGAGGGGAACTGGGAAAACTGGGGGCAGACGCATTCGGGCCTCGGATGCAGGAGCTTCTCATGCCCCAGCCAAGTCAAGCCACTGGGGACGTTTCCTCCAGGGAGGGCAGCCATCTCCCCACTGGATCCCTCCTCCTTTGTTTTCTCACAATTGTCACTTTGTCACCAGAAATACCAGGCCTGTTTTATTAGCTGGTTTCTACCAGGCAGCGCCAAGCATTTTGGCCACCGAATGGCCGTCTTGCCTTCCGCCATTAACGTTTTGGAAGGAAGAGGCAGCGCCTGGTGTTTGCTTCGGACAGGGCAAAAGGGGCTCCGGGCCATTGGCACCTGCAATGCCCCAACGGCCGGTTAGGGAGTGCTGAAGCAGACCGAAGAGGGGGAAGTCACACCTGGCACTGGACAGCCCTTTGCCCAAGCTGGCCAACGTGGAAAGGGCAGGGAAAGAGGGTGGCACTGCCCGCAGCCCACACGGCACTCAAGGCTGATGGAAAGAGCCTCGGGCTAAAACCCTGCAAGAGGGGGCTGCTTTAGAGCAGCCCAAGGCAAAATATTTATGCCATACACATTATTAGTTCCTTTTTTGTGGCTCTGGAATTAAGCAAGTCTGTATATTTCCATTTCCTTGAGCAAAATTGCAGCAGTAACTGTTGCTTCTACAGTAAAAAAACATCAACAGAAAATTTTCCTGTTAACCCGCAACAACCGAAAAGGGAAAGAAAAGACGCACAGCCCCTTGCCCAGTCTTGCCCAGTCTTTGCAGGGCCAGCTACTTGGGCAGGGAAGGTTCCCAGCTAGCCCTTTATGGGAGCAGCGGGCAAGTGGATCCTATCAGGTCTTTGATCCAGTTTTCTCCCCCCCACCCCACCCCCATTCTCTTTTGGATCGTTCTTCAATTTATTTTTCTTAAAAATAGCCTTATGAAGAAGATCCTCTTTGCTACGTTTCCATAGCAACCAAATCCGGGTTTGCATTGCAAGCAGGCACACCGTTCTGCCCCCAAGACACCACGCCGGAGTGAATCACCCCTTGACAGAAAATGGGTTCAGACCCCGCAAAGAGACTGCTGGCACTCGCTCTCTTACACACCCACACAGCAAACCCCGGCCCACCCACCCCACCCCAAAAAATGGGAACGGAGACCAGCGATGGGAAGGGCTCTCAGAAAGAAAGCAGGGCCCTCTGTTAAAAACACAGCCGCACCAAGTGTGTGAGTGGGGGGGGGAACTATTCCTGCACAACTGGATAACAAGGGAAAGTCTTTTTCTTCTCTTCACCCAGCAGCCTCCAGGACTTCCCTCAACACCTTATATGCGCTCTTTGCTGGCTAAAGGAGAGGCCGGTTGGCAGCTGCCTTTTCTTTTTTGCTTTTGCAATGATGAAATCGGACAAAGGTCCACCATGCAGCTCTCAGGTCTTGCTGGCTGCAGCTGCCGCCTTGGCCCTCCCAGGAATGTTTACCAGAATCACCTCTGCCCTAAAAGGAAAGGGGTGTGTGTGGCTGTTTAGCAGGAGAAGATAAGACCCACAACACAGCTTGTGATGCGATTACGCAGAGCCTGGAGGAAGCAGCTAGAGAGAGCGTCTCCCTTCCAGTGAAAGTCATGGTCATTCCCTCACTGTTTCATCTGGCAAAACTAAGAGCAGTAAACGTGGGCTGAGAACTGACAGGGGAAGCGGACCAGAGAAATCCACCGACAGATTATTTCACTGATCCTGATGCTCAGGGGCAGTCTAGCTTAGTGTGCAGCTCAACTTTGACAACTTAAGGTGTGTGGACTTCAACTCCCAGAATTCCCCAAGCAGATTGCTGGGACGAATTTGGACGCTTTGGAGAATTGACTAAACTCTAGAGCAGTGTTTCTCAATCATAAGAACATCAAGATGCAGGGACTTTCTCTCCCAGAATTCCCCAGCCAGCTTGCTGCCTGGAGAACTCTGGGAGTTGAAGTCCACACACCCTAGTCACCAAGGTGGAGAAACACCAGTCTAGCGGGGAAGGGGAGGATCGGACTGGAAGCATCGGGTTTCTCCTTGGAACCAACAGCAAAATGTTCTCACGCCTTCCGCATAAAGAATTGTCACGTGGGTGCAAATTGGCTTTTAATGCTCTTTCTTGTTAGTGTTCTTGCTGGGGGTGAAATGCCACTTATCTGGCCCTGCCCACATCTCTCTTTCACTTCCAGACTGATAAATCAAAGAGTTCCAGGTAAATTATGACCTGGCTCCGATCTCCAAGGCAAGCAACGCTGGGCAGCTCCCTGGATTTCCTGCAGCTGCAGGCATGTTCTCAGGTAGAGTCAAGAAGGGGAGGCTGGCACTCACTCGCCAAACACACTGGCCCCGTGTTTCCCCCGTGGGAATCTTGCTATGCCACCAAGCGCCATCTGATCTCCCGAGGCACGGCAGGTGTGCCTTCCCTCGGAAGGAAGGAGACGTTCTGTTTGGCACTGCCAAGGAGGAAACGATTGGCCAGATGAGAAGGCCTGAAGTACCAGAACAAAAGGACAAGTTCAAAATCCACCTAGAATGGGAGTTGCCCCGTCCAAGCCTTTAATTGTGTCCAAAGCCACCGTGCCAGAGAGGAAAGCAGATTTCTTGCCTTCAGTCGTGTGAAAGCTCAGGGGCATGACCACGAGGGTCCCTGCCTAGAGACACACCCCACACACACACACCACTTGGGGAAAGGCAGACCTTCCCTGTATCGGATCCGAAGCCGGTCTGGCTGCTTCCTCACCAGACCTGCCCTGAATGTTGTTATTTCAAAAGATTTCATCAGGGCAGAATGTTCCCTCGCAGAGTTAATTACAAACTTTCTCCAAGTATTTTCCTTTCAACTTTTAAAACACACCCTCGAACAAATCAGTTCCTGTATCTAAATATATGAATTTTGCATCAAGCAACAATTGCTCTCTCTCCCTCTCTCTCTCCTGTAGTCAAAAGGGCCCTTTGGTTTAAGTGGGATTAAATGGCAGCCTTTTTCTTGTTCGCCCCCTTCCCTCTCTTTACCTTAAAGAGAAATGGAGAAGCAGATATAAAGTGCATGGAATAACAGGGGGAGGGGAGGAAATTAACCTGCACAGCTCAAGTTATGTGCCTGGCGGAACAGCTGCCCGAGGAACAGGTGGGTGGTTGCCCAGCACGACACCCAGTTGAGTGCCTAAAATTAACAACCTGCACCTTTATTCACGGCCACCCAAAAAAACAACAGCCTATTCCACTCAGGGATTTTTATATGGGCCTTTCCCCTCCCTCCATCGTCAGCACACAGTCAAAAGCCACAAGAGAGTCACCTCCGTTCTCCCTCCCCAAATTTTCATGCACAAGAGGATTAAAAGATGAGCAGAGCTGCCCACCTTGTTCCTAGCTTTAGAGCAGCTGGGTGGGTGGCTGGGTGGGAGGACGGCGGGCAAAGAAAATCCCTGCATCAAATACAGAAGATGCTCTCACAGGCTTCCCAGAAACTCGCAGCCGAGGTGGCGTTGACGTCCTGGTGGACAAACCCCCCTTTGTCCAGGCGGGGAGGTCAGCTCCAGCAGGCCAGCCAAATCTCCCCATTTCAAAGGGGGAGAACAATGGAAAGGCCCACAAGGGAGTGTAGGCTTGTGTTAAAGCTGCTTTCTTCCCCCTCCAGATGTCCCTTAACAGAGTTCCAGATCTGCAAAGGTCTCTGTAAACAAACCAGCATGTACAAAAGGGCCCAGCTGGGTCGATGAGCCCCACGTGGGGCCAGGCTGCTCTGGCCACCAGACTGGCCCAGACGAGGGACCCCAGGGGAGCAGTGCCTCATCAGGCAGGGACCCAGCCCTGAAACGGGGCAGCCTTTCTTCCCTCACGTGGATCCAAAGCAAGGAGAGCCTTTAAAGACCCTGGAGGTAAACAGCCCAGCAACATTGGCCATGCTCAGGAGGACGCTTCTATGGGAGTGTCCCTTCTCCATTCCTCTGGCCAGAGAAGGAGAAGAGCCGCAGGTTCCCTCTTTTGAGGCTGCACCAGCCTCCTGCGGACGCTTCAACCCACCCAGCCTGATTCCCTAGAGGGGGGCAAAGAAAGGGCTTAAATGCGACCCCTCCCTTTAGAGCAGCGGGACTCAAACGGGGCCACTCTGAAGACGGGTAGACTTCCACTCCCAGAATTCTCTAGCCAGCTTTGGGGACCAGGTTCTCCCCAAACACAAACTTTGTTTGCTCTGCTCTTAGGAAAGGCAGTTTTCCGACAGGGTCGGTCTGTCTATTTTGCTATGCAACAGAGACAGGAAGCAGAACAGAAGAATTTTCTGGAAAAAGCACCAGGTTTTATCTGGCCAGAGCTAAAGGAGGAGCTCTCCGTGTGGGTCTGGCCCAGCTCAGCTCTTGGTGTCAAGATGGACCCATCCCTGCAGGTCAGCCAGCCTCCCCTGCCTGTGGGGAACTGTTTGGTCTCCCCGGGATAACAGGCAGCCCGAGAGTCCGGAGGGTCTCCCATGCGAGTCCTGGCAGGGCACAAGCGCACCGAGCTCTCCTGCGAGGGGGCCACATCCCGCCCAGGAATCTGCAAAGGGATCCAAGGCTGCTCCGCAACAGGAGCTTCTGCGGAATTTATGCCCCTGAAGCCGCCTTGGTGCTGCTGCAGAGGCCTTCCCCAGATCCTCCAGGGCTCCTTCATTACAATGGGCATAAATTAGGGGGAGGGGAACCGAGCCCCGGGGAGGCTCTCTTCTGCAGAGGGAAGGAGCCACGGCATCAATGAAATCACAGTTCCAAGAACGGGGCAGATCGCTGGATTATTCAGAGGGAGGTCAAAGATAAAGCGAAACCGATGCCAGAGGAAGCAGCCAAACTCCACAAGGCTATCAAACTGCCCCAAGATAACAAATGACCCACAGATGCCCCAGTGGCAAACAGCAAAATCCCAGCACGCCATCCCCACCCAGCCCTTTCCTAAGAAGGCCCCCAGCCGTGAGGCTGGCCACACGGAAACCTCACCCCTGTTTTGCGGGGCTCATCCCTGCTGAGAAGAGGCTGGAGGCTGAAGAGGGATTCAGCTCCAGCCAAAGTGGGAAAGCCAGCAGAGGGTCCTGCCGGGATGGAGGAGCAGAGAAGGGAAGGGAAGGAGACACACCAGCTTCCAAGAGAGCTAAGATACATTAGAACGTCTCTTTAATGGCCTAATCCTCACGCAGCATAGAGAGGCTCAGAAAAGCCTCCCTGGCCCTTGGAAAGGCAGAGGGGGAAATGAAAGACCCTCCAGTCCCGGGTGGCGCAAGAACGCCTCCACACCCCCTGCTTCCAGGTAGCCCCAAACTACCTGCGCACAATCGGAGCCCTGCTCCTGAGCTGGGAAGAGAAAAACGAAGCAGGTGTAGATTTCCACAGATGGAAGAATTCCCTCCTGGATTATGGAACGTAATTCCAAGATCTGGCTGTGCCCCAAAGCAGCCACGGATGAAGCTGCCCCTTAAAAGGACTGCAGGTGATTAATTCTGCAGGGCTTACTTAACATCACGGCCTTCGTATAACTTTGGGGAGCTTCCCTGCACTTCACCCCCTAACTCTCTTGGCGAGCTCCCTGCAGGCTGCAGCCTCCGTTCCCTACCCGGAAAAGGGCAGTAGATAAAATGCCAATGTCCCTCCTTCATGCCAGCCTGGTGCCTTAAAGCCTGACGATGCCTCTGCCTGACCACTCTTATACCAGTGAAGAGCAAACATGAGGGGAATTCCCACTCCTCACTACCCCTAGACCCCCGCCCCTCATAAGGAGGATAGCCCCTCCTAGAAGACAGTCAAGTCGGCACAATAAGCTACTGTGGAGTTTTCTCCACAATTAGCATTATAATTCATGCCAGCACAGGACCTGTGGCCATGAGTTCCACAGGCCAAGGAGCGTGTAGAGATCCTGAAAGGCAGATGCCAGGCAGGGCAAGCAGCTGGCAGCACAACGCAGGCTGCTTCCTTTGGTAAAGTGAGAACCAAACCTCCCCTGGTGAGTCTGGTGCTAACGAAGGATAAATGCCATGTTTATTTTTAAATAGGGGAGCAGAGATAAAATTGTGTCAACAACGAGGGGCTTCCGGTCTGGCTTCCATCGCTGCCAGACGGTCCTCTGAGACCGCCAGCCCCGTTGCCTGTAAAGAGCCGCCTTTACATCTGAAAGGCGGCTCGAAAAACTCCATTTCCTGAAGGAAATGTGAGACAGAGCAGGCGAGGGCAGGTAGAGCCCTCTGCGAAGTCCCCAGAGTTCTTTTTTTTACTCTTGGGGACGAGCAGGTTGTGGCTCCCTATTTCCGCTCGCCGCTGCTCCGGGCTTCGGGAGAACTCTGCCTTTTTGCAGAGCAAGGCGCTGGGACCGGACCAATCAACGAAATTAACAGATCATCTGAATAAGCAGGATGAAATTCGGATCGGGGATCCTAAACTGCAAGTATTCTAACCCCAAGACTGATTTTAAAGTTAAAGAAGAGTGAAAGGAGGAAAAAGGAGAGTTTAAAATGGCGACTGGCCGAGGCTTGAGAAAAACTGAAAGTGAAAGTCGTTCCGTTTGAATAGCGTTATAAAGTTACAAAGTTACAAAGTATCTAGCAAAAGTGCTGGTTAGAAGTGAAAAGAAAAAATTCTTATTTCATGTTTCTTCCTTCTTAGAGACTTGTTATTGATATTGTTTGAAGAGAAGTCTTTTTCTTTAAAAGGAAAAAAAAAATCTTTTGTGTGGCAGGATGGCGCTAAAACTGACAAAGCCAGATAACCAAGCCATGGCGGGAGGGGGGGGCTCTCCCATTTATAAATCGCATGAACAAGTTGAGAGTTTGCAGATGCAGAAGAATGGCTTCATAGACCTAAAGAAATTTTTACTGGAGGAGATGGCAAGACATGATAAGACTGTGAATCTGAATCTTGAAAATTTTAGACAGGAAATTAAAGAGTTGATTCAACAAAAGTATGATATTCTGAAGCAACATATGAAAAGTTTTATAGAAATAATTCTGAAGATGGATGAAATTATAAATTCAAAAATAGACACTAAGGAAGTTGATGATAAGATTTATAATTTGGATAATAAAATACAAAGAATTGAAAATGATTTAATAAGGATTCAAGAAAAAAGCTCAGAAGTAGAGTTTAAAAAAATAAAGGAAGCTGACTATGAGACTTACAATGTAGATAATATAAAACAAAGGATTGAAAATGAAACCACAATAATGCAATTCAGACTCATGGAACTTGCGGTTAGAATTAGGGGAATACAGGAAGATAAAAGACAAGATTTGAGAAAGATGTCTGCTGAAGTTCTGGCTAGGATTTTAAAGGTTAGCCCTGAAGATGTATCCTGCAAGATTGATAAGGCCTACAGAGTTAATTCTTGGGTGGCAAAGCAAAGGCAGTTGTCTAGAGATGTGGTGATTTACTTTACTGATAAAGAAATAAGAAATGATATCGTGCAAAAGTCTTTCAACTCCACTCTTGAAATGCATGGAAGGAAGATCTGGAAAGCCTGCCCAGCCTCCCTCATCATCTTTGATCAAGGTTAACTCAGCCTTCCAAGGTGGGTAAAATGAAGACCCAAACTGTTGGGGGCAACAGGATGACTCTGAAAACCGCTTAGAGGAGGCTGTAAAGCACTGCAAAGCACTATAGAAGTTTAAGCGCTTATGGCTATTGTTATTAAGGGCTGGAAAACAACACAGAAACTGCCCAGCCTGGATGGAGACCGAGGGGCACAGAAAGGAAGACACCCACCCACCTCCTGCTCTCTAGATATGATGGACTACAACGCCCATGATTCCCAACACGTTGGCTGTCCCCCAGCGAGGGGAAGTGGAGGATACCCCATCCCTGACCTGTTGCCGGTCTCTGTCTCTCTCTAAAGAAGAGGCCTTTGCAGCCGCTTCCTGCCCTTGACCTGGAAACCGAGGGAAGAGGGGGGGGCAGAGCCAGGTGGACAGGTGGAGGCAGCCTTCGCCCAGCCTCTTGCAGCCTCCCCAAATGTGACAATCCACGGGGGGGGGGGAGCGTCTTCTGAGCCCCGGGTTGGCCCTCTTTGTCTTCCAGCCCCTCCGACCAAAGCCGGGGTCCAGCCCCACAGCTTCCCTCCTGCCCTTCCAGCCAGCGGCAGAGGGTCTTCCAAGCAGATCCCCTCCCCCGCAGCCAGGCCGGGAGGGGGGCAAGCGCAGAGATTGGCCGCAGATCGGCCTCTGGGAGGGGGGGGGCTGTTTTCGGGCCCCCCCCCCAGCTGTTCCGGGGGAGCTTTCCTAAGCCTCCCCGCCCCCCCCCCCCCCGCAAAATAGCGCAAGAAAATCTCGGCCATCCCCAAGACCGCCGGCCTCTGGGAAGCCCCGCCGACCAAGGGGGGGGGGAGGAGGGGGCCAAGCCCCGTCCCCTCCCTTCCCACAAATTCTTCACACACCCCCGTCCCCCCCTCCCCCCCACTACTGACCGGGCTGCGTCGCTTCAGCGTCACGTTCTTCCATAGCAGGAGATAAAGTTGGTGCAGGAAGCCCATCGCGTCGCCCTTCCCTGGGCATCGGCTGCGGGGCGGAGGGGGGGGGGGCGCAGTTGTAGCGTCCAAGGCCGCCCACCGCGGAGACCCCCTCGCCTTCCTCGCCGGCGGCTTCGACGGAGCAACAGCCGATCCTTTCCTCTCTGCTGCAGGCGGGCGGAGGTGGACTGGAGGCGGGCAGAGGCTCGCACACGCCCGCCCAGGAGGGAGGGAGGCAGGCAGGGAGGGCGGGGCGGCGGCGGGCCTTGGCCCAGCTCCCGCGCAGCCCCCGCCCGGCCGAGACGCTCCGCTCTTCGCTCTCCGCCGCAAAGCCTCCAACCTCGGCGGGGCCCAGCCCGGTCTCTTTAAGCGGCAGCCCACCCGGAGACCCTGCGGGGGCAGCGAGCGACGTTTCTTCCTTTCCTTCCTTCCTTCCCTCCTTCGCTTCAGCACCGGCGAGTGTCTTTTTAAAGGGCACGTTGACGGGCAGCACAGGGCGGGCGATCCCAAGGAGCTGGGGCTTATTCGACCAAGGAGGCGCAGAGGCGATCTGCAGGAGGCTGGCACAGCTCACCCCGCGGAAAGTTTCCTCCACCCTGGAAGCTTCTGGCCGCTGCCCGCCGAGCCCCAGGGCGATGCAGGACGAAAAGCCGCTCAGCCCCCAGGGCAAAATGGAGCCTCCATGTACAGGAACAGGAGACCCCCTCCGCCCACAGACGAGGGACGGGGGGGAAGATCCTATCTAGTGCCCAGGGGTTTTCGGGGGACTGCTGCTGGAATCCAGTTCGTTGCAGGGCCTTTTTCTTTTTTCCCCCCTGGAAGAAGCAAAAGGGTCTCCCGGCACATTTCCCTCCCTCGCGGAGGGGGCCGGCGGAGGAGAAGCGGGGTGGGGGGGGGGGGGGGTGGGGCAGGCTGAGGCTGGCCAGATTCGCTAGGACTTCACTTCCCACAATTCCTTCTGCGCGAGCCGTGGGCTGCTGGGAAATGGAGGACGGTCCTCGCCTGTCCCCCTCCCCGGAATTAAAGGGGTCTCGGCCTCCTAAGCAACCGAGGCTTTGGCGAGGAGGCCGGCTTCAAATCCGAGGGATGTTCTCCTTTTCTAAGGCTGCCCCGGGAAGCGGCCCAGCTGCACGAAAGAGCCGCCAGAGGACTCCGTGGCTCATCGGCTCCTCCCACGGCATCCTCGCGTGGCGCCAAGTGTGCGGGGTGCATGCAACGGAAGGGGGCTCGGGGGCATAAGGAGCCGCCTGCCCGGCCTCGGCGTTGTGGTTCAGCCGTCACACACAGAGACTGAAGATGCTGAGACACCGAGAGAGCCCGGAACAGGGGCAAGAGCGCCTCCTGAAGAGAAACCTCAGAATTGCAGATTCCCATTATTATTGTTATTTTAAAAAACTGGGTGCATTAAAATAAATCCTTTGCCGAATCCACAGTGTGAGTTTCTTTCAGCCCAGAATTTGGTCTCGTTGAGATATTTAAAATTTAATAGCTGGACAGGTGAAGAGGGCTGGGCGAGGAGTAAGAAGACAGGGGAGGTAGCCAATTGGTGGAAGAGAGCCGGCCGCTGCATGGGCTCTGATTGGTTGCTGGGTGACAAGGGGGCGTTTCCTTGTTTCCCGCCTTTTTCCTCCTGTCTGGCTTCCCTCATGAGGTCCCTGCTCTGTTGAGTCACCTGAGGACGATCTTGCTTGCTTAAATTATTAAATATTCTATAAAAATTGGTTTGTGTCGGCGACTCTGACACTGAGTGCCCAGTTCCCTACCAGGCCTTTTCCTGGGGTTGTGAACCCCAAAGGAGCCCCATGGGGGGGGGGATGCAGCAACTGAGACCACCTGCTGTGCTACACCTGCACTTCAAGCCCTTTGGCCCGACTACACCTCCCATTATCCCCACCCAGCTTGACAAAAGTTATCAGAATGCGAGATAAAAGCCATTTCAGAAACCAGTACAGCCCAGCTGAAGTCAAAGGGGGGGGGGGAGGCAGCGGAAATTTAAGACTTTTATGGAAACCAAACCCTGGGCTGTTGGGGGCAGCCAGAGAGTTGCCTCCAGATGTCGGGTGCCAAAGCCAGACCTGCAGCTGGCACTGAGCTGGGCCACCGCAGCTCAGTTCCCTTTTTGCTTTCACGCCCCTGATCTCCTTCCAGAGGCAAGCTAAGTGACTGCTTATGCCAGGTCTGGTGGCAGGGAGTTGCCCAGGAGAATGGCCCCCTTTTGAAGGGGAGCTCTGGGGGAGTGTTCACCCAAGGGAAAGCTGCTCCTGCAGGGAACTCAGCTGCATCCTCCCCTCCAGCAGAGTTAGAGCATGGCTCAGCCGTTGAGGCAGCTGTCCCAGATGTGGTTTGGGGCAAGAGAGAAAGAGAGAAGCTTCCCGCAATACAGCTGTCTGAGTCTGACCAAGGTGTGAAAGGCGTCAGGGGTGGCTTTCTTTTGAAAAGCAGAGGAGACCACAAGCGCCTCTTTTGCCTTCCGCCTCGGCTCGATCTTCCAAAGCAAGAGCTCTCCTCTGGGGCAGAAGCAGGGCGGCAGCGGTAAGTTCATGTACACCATTTATGGCAAGGCTGTTCATTTATGCCGTTTATAGCGGGCATTGCCAGCGGGCCCTGAGTAAAGGTGGAACAGAACGAACAGTGCTTTAGACAATTATTCGTTATTATTTAGAGTAAACATTTCCGTCTGTCTCTCTCTGTCCGGTCACAGCCTATGTTCATGCTATGTTTTCGATCAATAGTTAAATCTGTATCATTTGGACAGGAGTTTTAAATGGCCCTGATTTATGATCAATAAAATATAGGCACTAAACTTTCATGCCACTTGACTCTCAGCAACACCTGGGCAGCTCTGCACAAGTTGACAAAAGAAGGCTTATAGTGAGGGGCATATTTCTGATGAAGTATTGAAATGAAACAAAATGAAAGCCTTTTTTTAAAAAAACGAACTTCCATTGTGTTTCCTCTTTTCTCCCTCCCACTAATCATTCTGACAAAAATTCTCCTCCTACAGCTCTTTCCCACCTGCTGCTACCACCCGTCCCCAAAACAGACCTTATAAGAATAGATTTCAAATTCAATATGTTCAAATTCAGATGTTTCAGCTGAAGTAGCAACAGTTTCATTTTTAAATTTTGGAAGGGATATATATGTATACATATGTATACATATGTATGGAAGGGATATATATGTATACATCCTAATTAATATTTTAAAAATCTAAAACTTAACTCTCTGGGCACAGACACGAGTACATTTCTCTCAATCCGATCCCTTTTGTATTTTAAAATTAAGATTAAAATTAAATTCGTTTTCACTATTTTAAGGCTAACCCCATATTGCAGTTTTTAATCTGCATTTCAATAAGGATGTACTGTTCGTTGCCCACCATTGACGCAAACTCTTGTTATTTTCTCATTTTATTTCCTGAAATACGTTTAATGAAAATTGTTTGATGTGCCAGTTAGAAGAACAGTGATTTTAGTTGCTGGAAGGATATGAAAGCTTCCTTAAACTCAGGGCACTTTCAGAATTACTAGAAGCAGCTACATCGCCTGGTGCCCATGAACTGTCTCAAGCGAATCATCTGAGTAGTTGGAGAAAGTTAACAAAATGTACCTTTATTAGGAATAAATGAACCACAGACATTGGGCCCCTTTGAAAAGGAGGAAGAAACAGAATAATGAAATATAGATGAATGAAATGAATCCGTGCGCACACAGATACACCAAATTTCATGATAGCCAAGCCAGGTTACACAATGCAATCTGCATTCAATGCTGGTTTTTTCCCTCTGACAAACCAGTTTTGACCAACTCAGTGGTACCAACTCATAAGATTACTAAAGTTTAGAAGATCCGGTCTGTATCATCTGCTTGCCTCATATTTTCTTCTTATTAACCAAGCTCATTATGAATTTCTGCCATCATTTCCTGCTTTGGTTTAATCTGTCCTTGGGGATCCACAGCTTTTGGGGTGGGGGAGGTAAAGGACCTGCAGGTATCTGAATTCAGGGATGCAGAGACACTATTTTCTTCTCACAGCCACCCGTATTTCAACCCTGGTTCTGGAGCAGCCCCCTCCCTTTGCAGCCGTGTGCCCTCCAATGTGCCCTTCAGAAAAGGGTTCTGCCCGAAAGAGGGAGAGGAGAGGAAGACCCCTCAAGGGTGGTTGTGGTCTTTATGAGCTTTATTGCTGAGATGCTTTTTATTGTGTTTCGTGTTGTGAGGCACCGAGAGCCGGTTCCTGTCGGAAGGAGTTGGTGGCATACGCAAATGTGGTGGGTTGGCATCTGTTTGCATCAGCAGCAGAGAAAAACAGATATAGAGATGTTCGGTAGATAGTTTTGTAAGACTTCAAGCAACCATCTTGAGCACCCTTGAGGAAAGTCCCAGTCCAGATGCTTTCCAGGCTCCTGGCTAAAATCTGATTCCCAATCATAGCAGCGACCCAGCTGCCCCTGACTGTCTGCTGCTCCTCGGCATTCAAAGCAAACCAAGGAAGCTTTTTTAAAAGCAGCAAATCTTTCAAACTGGATTTGAATCAATTTGGCATCCCTGATGCTTGAAACCGCCCTTCCCTTCCTCTTCAATCCTTGCTCGGCAAGGGAGCCAGCCTCTGCCACTTTGGGCAGAATCCTCCGTTCCTTGCCCAGCGATTCATCTTCTTTTGCACAATCAGTGTGGCTGTTGGGGTTAGAAGGAACACCGCACGCTTCAGACATTTCTTGTCTGGCTTCAGAATCGGCTCCCTGCAACTTTGCTCGGAGACTGATATTTTAGGGTTTTTAAAGGTCCTTAAAACATTTGGTTTGGTTTTTTTTTCTCCACAGGATCTTTATGAATCTGAAAGTTTCTCTTTTCAGTGCAAGATTTGATGCCAGTTAAATTAAGGCAGAGTGTCCTAAACTGATTATTACATTGTTCAAGTTTGATCATTGTTTACCCCGCACTATACATTTGCTTTCTTTGTACTGCATTTAGATAGAAGTGCACAGCACGCAAAAAATATGACTGTTTAAACCAAAAATAGAATGTGTAGGGAGGGGATTGCAAACGAAAACAGAAAACCTTATCAACTAAAGGAGCCAGTCTGCATAATTAGTATGACTATCTGTCAGATATCTTGTTAATAAGAGCTCTGCTCAGATACCTCTCATAAACTCCTTTTCCAGAATAGAAAACTTTAAAGCCCCCGCCCCCTCCCCACTTCACAGACAGCCTAAAGCTTTCAGGTATTGTGATTTTCTCTCTCTATTTAACTTCCAGGAAAAACTTCCCTCCAGAACAAAATCTGGCTGAGTGAGAAGTAAAAGCAATTCAGATTAAAACATCCACAAAATACCACAGTTACATCCCACTGAACATTTTAAAAAATCACTCCATTTTCTAACCCTCTCCCAAATAACGTGATATTAACTCCGCCAGTTTTTAATGTTGGTTTGGATGATAGATAATGGGAAGGTTGTAGGAAAAAGGAACTGAGGTTTTCTCCAGAGCTGGGGGGGGGGTCTCTTCCTTGTTCTCCCTGCTTGGATTGTTTTCATGTCCCACAGACACCCCCCCCCCCGCTCTCTGTGTACACCAGAGCACAGAGACCATCTTCCTTTATCTCTTCTGGAGTTTTGGCTTAAGAGATCTGAGGCAGCAGAGGGGGTGGGTAGAGAGAGGTTTTGTTTGCTTGCAGCCAAATGCAAGACAGAAATACAGTTTATGAAATATTACATGCATCACAATGCTCCGTATTTTCCAAAGGCATAGCAGGCTGCACACCCCACAGTGACCTAGTTGGTGTGCAGTAACACTGAAACATCACTGCAGATGGTGGTGGCACTGCTAAAGCCAAAAGGTTTTGCAGTCTCATCCATCCCTTCCAACTTTAGCAACTCCCAAGACTCCGATCTCAGCAACTTTCTTTGCATCAGGCCAAGAGTTCATAAATTCCCGGCTTCTTCAGGTCAAAGAAGGGCCGGAACAAGAGACTTCCGAGCTGCTCCGTCCCTCCTTTAATGCAATAGGGGATATTTTGCAATCCTTTTGAGCACTCCTACCTCTTCTGCCTTTCTTTGCAGCTCTGTTGGGACTGAGGAAGGAAGAGGGCTGAGCGACCGCAGTTCCTCAAGCGAGCTCCTAACACAAAGCAGCAGCTGTGTTTCTGGTCACTCTCCCACCTGATGGCCCCCGTGGCAAAGTTCTGGGCAGGTGCGTCTCTCCTTGGCATCGTCCTGTTCTGGAATGCCCCGCTTCTCTTCAAGCTGTCCGATAACCCTCCAAGGGTTCCAAGGCAGAACAGCACCTTGATCCTCCTGATCTGGAGCTGGCCCTTCAGGGCAGCTACAGACCTGACCGGTGACGTCTGCTCCAGGCTCTATGGCATCACGGGCTGCCAACTAACCACAAACCACTGCCTGTTCAGCCAAGCGGACGTTGTGGTGTTCCATCACTGGGAACTCCAGTATGAAAGACGGTACCTTCTGCCTTCCAAGGCCCACCCTGGGCAAAAGTGGGTTTGGGTCTCCCTGGAGTCTCCAAGCAACACCAAAGCCCTGGAGGGCTGGACAGGGAAGGAATGGAACTGGGTCCTCTCATACAGGCGAGACGCTGACCTCTTCTTCCCCTATGGGGAGCTGGTGCCTCACTCGCTGGATGTGGTGGAGATCCCAGAGAAAACCGGCTTAGTGTCCTGGGTGATCAGCAACTATCGTGACTCCCAAGCCAGGGCAGCGATGTACCGCAACCTGTCCAGGCACCTCAGAATCGACGTCTTCGGGAAAGCCAACAGGAAGCCGCTGTGCCCAGACTGTTTGCTGCCAACCATCTCCAAGTACAGGTTCTACCTGGCCTTCGAGAACTCCATCCACCGGGACTACATCACGGAGAAGTTGTGGAAGAACGCCTTCCTCGCCGGCTCTGTGCCCATCGTCCTGGGCCCCTCCCGCGCCAACTACCAGCAGTTCATCCCTGCCAACGCCTTTATCCACGTGGACGACTTCAGCTCAGCCAAGGACCTGGCCACTTTCTTGACCACCATGAACGAAAGTCACTACCGGAGCTTCTTTGCCTGGAAGCGGAACTACATGGTCAGACTCCACCAGGACTGGCGGGAACGGTTCTGCTCCATCTGCCAGCAGTACCCCCGCTTGCCCCCGAAGAAGCTCTACCCGGACCTGAAGCGCTGGTACTGGGATTACTAGCAGCATCTGCCGCTGAAGCCAGGAATGTCCCTGGGGCAGCCAGAGCATCCATGGCTCCTCTCCTGCTCCAGAGCTGCCCATCTCTGGCACTGACGGGACCCAACATAGATAGATAGATAGATAGATAGATAGATAGATAGATAGATAGATAGATAGATAGATAGATAGATAGATAGATGATAGACAATTACCCTCCCTTCTTATTCCAGGGTTCAATTCTTTTGTTCCCTTTCCTTCAACTTCCTTTCCTTCCTTCTTTGCTCAAGGGCTCATCAAGCTTAGCTTCTTCTCCGCTCCCCCAGCAAGGTCTGTCCCCCAGCACCATCCAGTCTGGGATGGATGATGGGATTTGTAGTTGAGCCCACATGGATTGCCACACGGGGAGGCAGCAGCTGAGACGGAAGCCATTCCAGGGGCAGAGAAAGAGGCAAAAGATGCAAAGCAGAAGATCAGCCTGACTTTAAACCCTTTCCTGTTTACCCAAGTGAATCTGGCAGGAAAGGAAGCTAGAAACCTCAGTGCCCCTCCTTGTCTTGAGCAAGGGGCCAGTGGGTGCAATGGTTACAGCGCCAGGTTGGCAGCAAAGAGACACCCATCCTCTGGGCACCCTTGGGGAGTGAGTGCCTCGACTTCGGCCTCAGCCTTCGCCCGGTGGTGGGCGAGCAGCGGCCAAGCAGGATGGCTGAGCTAGATAGCCAGTTTGCCTGGCCTAATGGAAGAGGGGAGGCAGAGTGACCACTGGCCACAGTGCTCGCTGCCCCAGACTGGAACTCGGTCCTCCCTCAGCCCTCCAAGTCACAAATGCTCCCCACTTCCTGTGAACATCGCTTAGCATCCTTTTAATTCTGCCTCTGGTGAAATCTGGCCCTTTCTCAGCACAGTGCCCATCCAGTGCCAGCCTTGTGTGGCCATCAGCTCCCTCTAGCGGTCCCACTGGATCCCTACGGAGTTGATCCCCATTCATTCTACTGAAACCGCTGGACTGAACCCGGTTCCAAGTTGGAAGCCCCCCGAGAGAGACCCATTTTTAATTTCCCCAACTTTCCCTCCCATTCCCCACCCCCAATCTAAAAGTGCTCAGCTAATCCTAATCTTATACTGACCTACTTTGCAGGGATGGGATGTGGGGTGGGGGAGGGAGAAAATCCCCATGCAATATGCTACCTCAGTAGAAGGGAGGAATTTAAATGACCATCTAAACTCCCATCATCCAGAAAGGAAGCTTAACAGGGCAATTGCTATGAGCACTTTAAAAAAGGACCTTTAGGAGCAGATCAGAGTCTTCAGGGTTTGAGGCTGGGGTCCAGAAAGGCTCGTGAGCCCCTCTGGCGGACAACTTGACACCCAAGGATGGTGTCGCTGCTATAAATCTCCCTTCCTTCCTTCCTTCCTTCCTTCCTTCCTTCCTTCCTTCCTTCCTTCCTTCCTTCCTTCCTTCCTCTTGGATCTTTCAACCTCTACAGGGTCAAAATAATTCTTTCATCACCACCGAGCATTGCTCCAGTCCTAACTTGAATTGCCTGAATGTTTAATCGGGTTGCTTGAATATTCTTTTCCTATTTAAGAAAAGATCCCCCTTAATAGTAAATTATGTCCCTCCAAATACGTGCAGAGTGCAATTTACTTGCAAAGTCAGGATGGGATGATCTCTTGAGCAGGGGGCCAGTGGGTGCAGTCACAGCACCCGGGAGGCAGCAGGGAGACACCCGTCCTCTGGGCGCCCTCGGTCCCATCCTTCATCCCGTGGGTGGGCGAGCAGCGGGCAAGCAGGAAGGGCCTGTGACAACTTGCCACAGCCAACTCGCCACGGCCAACTCTGGAGGAGTCTAGGGAGGGTCCAATTTCTCAACTTTCATTTTCAGAAACAATAGTTGTCAAAAGTTGTGTCATGCCTTGGGGATTGCAAAGATATTTTGGTTATTTCCATATAATTTAGATGTGCTTGGTAAGTAACCACATAAATACTATGTAGTTACTATTACTATTAAACATTTTGCTTGTTGTGGGACAGCTCGGCACAGCAACCTCGCCACAGGAAAACTCACTGCGGGACAAGAGTTACACTAATATCAAAGAAATGGTGGGATAGAATCATTTTAAACAAAGGATGCAAAAGGGGGAGGGGGCAGAATGAAATGGGAATGGCAAAAATTAAAATACTTTTTTGTTTGTTTTAAATAAGGAAATAGAAATGGTCAATGTTCTGCAGCGAGTTGGCCTGTGGCAAATTGGCCGTGAGAAGTTGTCCAGCGGTGAGTTGGCTGGAGCGAGTTGGCCACAGTGAGCTGGCTATAGCAAGTTGTCCCATTCCGAAGCAGGAGGGCTGGGCTAGGTAGCCGCTTTGCCTGGTGTAACGGGGGAGGAGAGGCAGAGTGACCGCTGGCCACAGTGCTGGCCTCCCCCCCTGCGGGCCTGGATGGGATCCGAGCCATCTTGGAGAATCAGCCTGTGCGTCTTCCCCAAAAAGTCTGCCTTTAGATGAGCCCCTTGGTACTTTTCACCTCCTGCCAGAGAATGTTAAACGCTCCGCAGGAGGGAGGCTGGGAGCCCTTTGGGTTATTGAGACTTATCTGCATTTCTCTAACTACTTCCCAGATATTCTCAGACCCAGAATAATTTGGGGATCAAACCAACATGGCCACGGGGCCCCCAAGGGCAGAGGCTGCGGGGACAGACACGTCACTGTGAGGAACCCCTAAATCCAGGAAGAAAACAGTTCATTTAAAACTGAAGGGCACCAAAGAAGCATCAAAGATCTAGCTTGAGAATTGGTCATTTAATAAAATTTATTAAACACAGTCCATACAGGTCTGGAAACAAAAATAACAAGAAAGAAAAAATAAATGATCCCTGTGTGGCATTCTCTCCTCCCCCCCTCTCCCCCAGCCCACCATCGCTTCTGGAGTCTAAGAACTGGCAGCTCCGGGGGCACCGACAGAGCCCCCCACCCGAAGCAGGGCTGAAGGAGAAACTCTCCCCTCCCTCCCTCCCTCCGTATTAGCAACGGATCCAGGCCAGGCATCAGAGGAGCTTAAACTCCGGGTTCGGGTCTGTTTCCCTTGTGTGCAGCTTCCTCTTTGGAAAGAATACAAAAGTAAGGAGTAAACTTCTCAGCAGGATAAGTGCAAAAGTGCTGTGCAAACTCAAAAACAGGAGGATGAACACAGAGGGGTCTCCCCCGCCCTCCCCAAAAGCTGCTTTGGAAACAGCCCGGATACTCTCTGTCCTGCAGTGCAGGAGGTTTCTTCTCTGCTTAAAAAGATGGTCCCTCAGCCAGAGCAACCCCTAAACCCCCCCCCCAAAAGACTTCTGATTCAGGTAGGGGGCCCAGCAGATGGAGACCCCTCTGGCTGCAGCTTCAGGCCTTTCAATTCAGGCCCAAGAAAACCCTCTTGAGACCCTGGTGGGAAGGCGGGGGGGGCAACTTTTGCAAAAACTCATAGAGGTGCAGGGGGGGGACATGACGGGTTCTGATGCAACTCTAATGCACCCCAAACATGGTTTCCTGAGCCTTTTGGCAAACCTCTCCAAAATAAAATAAAATAGCCACCCTCTGCCCTGCAAATTCAGCCCATCTTGCAAGGTGCCAACTTCCAAAAAGTTGCTTGTGAGTTGCATCACAACCTCATAGTCCAATCGCATATGCAAAGGCCCCTTTTCCAAACTGCACTTATGCACCTGAGCAGGAAACTTTGTTTTCTTTGTTTTGTTTTCCATCAAGTTTCTAGACCTCACAGCAGGGGCAAGGAGAAATAGGCTACAGCTACCCAGGTGGTTCATGAATATCTTTGGATTTGCGAAGATGGGGGTAGGAATCAGCCTTGATGGCTGTCTAACACAACACACCCTCTCCAACACTCCCCCCTCCCCACAATTCTTAGGGGGGGGAGATCAAATGCTTGGAACATCGTGTCTTCTGAAAGCAACACAGGTGACCAACAATCGCATTCTTCTTCCCTCAACGCCCATCCCATTTAATCGCGGAATTCAGAAATACTTCGGAAACCTGAATTTGCTATGAAGAAAATCAATCAACATTCCAGATTTGGTTGTAATTTTAAAAAAGAAAGAAAACTTGGCTCAATGCCATCCCAGCTCTTGGTCAATCAGTCTGGCTGACGGCTATGAATTGCTCGGAAATGCCCAATGAGTCAGAACAGAAGTCACCTCCCTTCACGCCAGGCTAGGGCGAGGAGGAGGCATCACACTGGCAGACCAGTGGGCACAGCCAGAGAGGGCTACGGGGTGAAGGTTGCCTGGCCCTGGGGCTCCAATGGGAGAAGCTCCAGGGGTCACCCCGGCTCCTCTTCTCTGGACAGGTCACTCTGCAGACCTTAATGCTGCTTCGTAACATCCCTTCCCCTTGAAATTCTGAGAACTAAAATTCTGCCCACAAAGCCTTCAGATAAACCCTCCGCCGCCTCAGAATTCAGTTCCTTTGAGAAAGTGCTAAAAACGGTGTGAAATGGATCAGGACTTACTACGCCTGGGAGACGCACTTTTTCCAGCTTCAGTCTGCCTCCGGTTCCCACCTGTTAAATGGGCACATGGACCGCTTTCCCAAGGCTGGCCGGGCGGGGAAAGGCCTGTCCGAAGACTCCCTCCCAAAGGGAGAAGCCTCGAGCATCAAGGGCTCCCCAGCCCCCTTATTTCAACCTCGGGGGCTGCAAAACAAGGAAAGTAAAGGGAGGCCCTCCCGCTCTGATTTTTGCAAGGCAGGTCTTGCCGTGCCCGAGGCTGGCAGAGATTGCGGGGGCAGGAGGGGGCAAGCCAGGCCTCCGGGCCCCCTTCTCTGCCCTCCCGAGTCCAGACAGTCCACGAAGCCCCTTCGCCGACATACGGGAGCCGGGCGGAAGAAGGGCCGGTGCAGGGGGAAGGCGAAGCCGAGCAGAAGCAGCGAGTTGCCCGAAGGCGGATTTATTTCAGCCAAGAATTTGCGGAGGAGGGCAGAGGAGAGCTGTTGGTCAGGCGGCCCTCGGGCAGGTCTTGCACACAGTCCACAGTTCCCGGTCAAGGGTGCAGCTTTGGGGGCAGAGTGGAGTCGTCAAAAAGGGGGTTTTTCACTTCCATCTCTCCAGTCTTCAGCGGCCAGCAAGGAAGAACGAGAGAGACACAACTGTCACCCACTCACTGCCTGGAGGAGTGGAATGGCACTGCCCAGCCCAGGGCGGAGGGAGCATGGCGCTCTGGGCACTGGGGCAGCGGTGAAATGCACTTACTTTCGCTACCGGTTCGGGAGCGTGTATGCGCGCTTGCTATGCTCGTGCCCGCCTCTTCTGCGCATGCGCAGAGGATCAAAACAGGACATAATGACATCCCGGTGGGTGGGCGGAGCCTCCCGCCGCCGGCGCTACCAGTTTGTGCGAGCTGGATAGCACCGGCTGGATTTCACTGCTGCACTGGGGGCCCTGCAAGGCACTCCACAGCCTGTGGCAACCGGGCTCCCAACGGCAGGGAAATGAACCCCCTGGAAGCCGTTTCCCTTCCCGTCTCTCTGACCTGCTCCAGAGCTGGATCAAACCCAGAGTTCTGCCCTGCCCCCTCCTTCAGAAACAGGGCAAGGCAGTGGGGTGGGGGTGGGGAGGCCCTGTGCCCCCTCCCCTCCTAGAGACACCTACCGGGGCCAGGCCGGGGCACTCGTAGACCGTGAAGTCTCCATCTTCGTTTTCTTCGTCCGAGGAGACGGATTCGGGAGCTTTGGCTTCCTCCTTATGCCTACGGATTTCCAGGGGGAGAGGGGCAAATGCCGTGAGATGCCCTGCTTCACCCGCCCCCTTAGGAGCCCACCCCATGCCAAGCCAGCTGAGATTTTGGCTTCAAAACTTCCGGCCAAAGTTGAGGCAGAACTGCGAACATCTTGACCCGAAGCCCCTTCGGTGAGGTCCCTGGACACCCAGCCCTGCTGGGCTCCCCATGTCAGGCCAGAGCTCATTCAGGGGGTACCCCAAGAATAAAAGGGGCGAATGGGCAGAGCCCTGCTGCCAAATCCCTACCAGCTGTTCACCTCCACATCTGGCTGCCAGAGGTTTGTTTCATCCAGGGGTTCCTAACCTACCTGACTGCCAACCTGTTTAGAATCCCCCGGCTGACAAGCAGCCTCCTGCCCCAACTAAGCGGAGACAGAAGCGGGCAGGGGTGCCAGCTCTTGCCAGCCTTGCATGAAGGAGCCCCTGGCCTCCCCCCCAGCTTCCGAGCCCAATTCACAGGTGGGTCAAAGAGGAAACCAGGAAGAGGGCAGAGGAACCCAAGCCTCTGGAAGGGCTTGGAGCCCACCACCACAACAAAAGGACGCACTTTTCCATGGAGAGCATCTGCTGCTTCTGGTGCTGGTAGTGGTACATCTGGGCACTCTGTGCCAGCTTCTGATCGCCAGGCTGGAAGGAAAGAGGAAGAAGGGGGGGACACCCACACTGCAGAGAATGTCATACCAGCAGAACAGGCATCACCAGCACGGTGCCCCCGAAGCAGCTGGCACCTTGCGTACCCAGAGAAGGCCCTGGCCTGGGTGCCAACGAGCCAGGCCCAGCTGGGGCACAGAGAGCTCCCTGCCACCAGCAGAGGCCAGCAGGCAGAGCGAGGCTCACAGAGAAGCCTGGCACAAAGCAACTCCAAAGAGCCAGGGCTGGCCTAAGAAACTGGCCACCACCCACCCGGCACGCCATGCCAAGGGGTGTCCAGGGCACTTACAGAGAGCTTGTCATAGGAGGGGGGTTGGGGCAGCTTATTTGCTGGATAATCCACTTTTTGGGCAAGCAGGATCTCCTTCTGCAGCCTGTGGGGAGAGAAGGACGTCCATGAGGGGAAGCAGCACAAGAGCTGGCAGGGCTGCCCCAAAGCCTACCGACCCCCAGGCACCTTCCTCTGATACACTGCTGCTGCCATGGAGGTTCCATTTGGAGGCAGCATGGAAGGGGTCCGGGGTGGATCTCAAGGCTGCCACCTCAAGAAAGTCAGTTGCCCCCCTCTGCCCCCTCCTCTGCCCCCCGTTCTGCCTGAGGGCAGCCCCAGAGGACTTACCTGCACCAGCAGATTGTTGCCACCACCAGAGCCGCCACCCCGGCAGCTGTGCAGACGACAATCAAGCCTGCAAGGGAGGACAAGGGAGACTTGGAGAGGGAAAGGCAGTCGAAGACACCCCCCCCAAAAGATAGACTGCTATTAATATGGGATTATCCAAGGCAGCCTTCCCAAACCATCTTAGAGCTGAGGACTAGCATCTTGAGGTCTTGCTCCCCCGTATTCTTTTCTCGGGGTGGGCGGAGGCTCACCGAGGACGAGGGCATCGTTGGAAGAGATGCGGGTCGACTCCACTGGGGGGTTGTGGACCGGCTTTGTGATGGGGTGAGACGTGTCTGGCCATCCCTGCCGGCCACTCTGCGAGGACTCTGCCTTCGATGCTCCGTTCCTGGAGTTGGGGCCAGGGGGGGGCGGGCTCTCTGCGTGAGGAAGAACTGATTGGCACACAGAGAGGAGGAAGAGGAAGGAGAGACACCCCCCTTACAAAATTAATGATGCCCCCCTGCTCTACGCCAGGCAGGGGGAGCCTCCTGGGCCTGGGGCAGCCGTACCTTCCTGGCCGTGGGGCAGAGGCCCCCTCCCCTGCTTGGAGAGCACATCGGACACCAAGTCAATCTCTTCTTCTAGGCTGGGAACAAGAGAGCTGTGCCCTGGAGAGGGAGGGGCCCACAGGAAGGGCAGTCAGCAAAATAAGCAAAAATCACAACACTTGTAATTTCAGTGGACAGTTCAGCAAGCAGGGAAGATGCAGAGAAACCTCAGACCTTCCCAGTTTTAAGAGGGGGGGTCTTCATCGAGGGGCCCAAAGCCACCGAGAAAACAATCCCTTTGCAAGGGAGCTGTTGCATAACCCACCATCTGTCCGCCAAAGGAGCCGCTTGGCACCAAGTCATGCCAGAAGCGGCTTCCCCCTTGTGCCAGCTGCCTGTTCTCTCCCTTCCCACACCATTCCTCGCCTCCGAGGGTGGGCAGGCAGAACACGGGCAGCCTGCAGGGGAGGACTCTCCGTGCCCTGCGGTCTATAGAACCACAGCACTGAGGGGGGGAGGGCTTAGAGGTCCTCTAGTCCAGCCCTCTGCTCACTGTAACCTCAGTTGAAAAGAGCCACCTTGGCACCAACTTTCCTTCTCGGGGAACACTCTGGCACATCCGACTGGGTCATATTTTAGTTTTTTTCTCTCTTAAGACTTCCAGGCATGGTGTGACTTCCTATCTGGAGCCCACCCCTGGAAAGGCTGAGGAAACCCTTGCATGGACTCTCCTGGACCAGGGTCTACAGAGGAGTTGCTGCAGTTCAGATAAAGCCCACCACCCACCATGCGACAAGGGCGTACTCCGGAGACTGCTCTCCTGCCAGGGAGGCAAAAGTGCAGGCACAGAAGGGGCATAGGGAATCCCGACCGAGCCCCCCCCTTCCCCTTCCCCTTCCCCTTCCCCTTACCTTTGGGCGCTGCTGTCCTGGGCACGCATCTTCTCTCTCTGTCTTCTACGAATTGAGGGAGGCAGGGGCCACAGGCATGTGACCCCAGGGGACATTCCTTCCGCCGCTGAAGGGTGCAGTCCAGGTGTCGAGGACACAACTCTGCAGTTCAAAAGGCAGGACATTTGCTCACTCCGAGACGAACGACATTTGGCTGCCCAACTCGGCCGGGAGATCTAGATGGAAGCCCTTCCTTATGGACAGCCCCCAAACAGCCAGCACAAGGAGCCCCACAAAGGGGCCGAATGACCTGTGGGTCAGTGGTGAAATCCAATTTTTTTTTACTACCAGTTCTGTGGGCGTGGCTTGGTAAGGGCAGGGGAAGGATCCTGCAAAATCTCCATTCCCACCCCACTCTGGGGCCAGCCAGAGATGGCATTTGCCGGTTCTCTCAACTACTTAAAATTTCCACTACTGGTTCTCCAGAACCTATCAGAACCTGCTGGATTTCACCCCTGCTGTGGGTATGACCAAGCCTCTCCTGCACTAAGCGAGGTCTCCCTCCGGGCTCCCTCCCTGCAAATTCATTAACTTTCTCTGGGCTACAAAAAGAAAAAGATTGCTTATTTCCCACACGGAGGCCTCCCAGCGCCTGTTTGGACAGGGGACACATGGGACTGCAGCCCCACCACCCAAAGGCATTGCCGCCCTCCAGGAATGTGCAAATCAGGCTCTCACAGCCTGGACTCTTTCCAGTCACCTCAGTCTGCAATTTGGAAACTTCAGCCACCAGGTGGCACAATGCAAACCTCTCTCTCCATGCAGGGGAGGGGAATGTGCAAAATAACCGGTCCCCACCCGGAAAGTAAGCAAAAGCGAAGCGATAACCCAGGAGCAGAGCAGCAAAACGGGAGAGAGCTACTCAAGACACAGATCCAGCCCTCCAAGAAGCCCAAAGCCAGGGAAATCGTTGGTTGCCCGTCCGATGCCAAGCAAGATGCCAAAAGTCCCTTGGAAGAGTCTGGCGATGGGGCCAACTCACCTGAGCCTCCCTCCCTCCCTCCCTCCCTCCCCATGGCCCCAGGGAGGCTGCCCAAAGAGTGCCCCCCCCCCCGTGGCTTTGGCAAACCACACGGAAACAGTAGCCGAGGGGAAGGTTTGGGCTTCGGAAGAGAAGCAGGAAAGGGGGGCCGGGAGAACCGGATGCTCCTGCCTGCCTGCCATCTCAGATCACCTGTTCCTGGTCAAGGAAGCAGTGGCAAAGTTGGCGAAGAGAGTCACCCAAGCGCTTTGTTTTTCTCTTTGCTCCATTGGAGGAAAGGCGGGTCCCTGCCCAGTTCCTGCCCAGCAAGGACGGGGAAGCCGGAGTGCCTTGGCAGCAGCAAAGCTTGGCCTGCAGCAGCCAAAGACAGAATCCCTGGAGCTGCACCCACAGCCTCTTGCCGGCCTTTCTGCCCTGGCTGTTCAAATCAGCTTTCAAGAGGCAGAAGGCACTAAAACTCTCGGCTACATCAAGCAAAAACGGCAAAACAAGGAAACAAACAAGGTGTGACTGAACAGAGGTTATTTCAGCCACTGGCAGTGGGTCACCAGCCTCCTAAGGGTGGGGGGTTCTTCCCACCTTCAGGGGCAGAGGCAAAAACTTAGCTGCCTTACCACCACCAGGGACACCCCCAAACTCCTTTTCCTGCAAAGGGAGGCGTCCCCTCTCAAAAAGGAAGAGGCCCAAAGATCACACACGGAGGCCACCCCGCCTCTTATCAGCCCAGGCACTGCCAGGGAGGGACCGAGCCTTGCAAAGAAGGAAATGAAACTCCTGATTTTAGAAATGGGAGAGGAGGAGGAGGAGGAGACGAAGAGGAGGAGAAGAGGAGGAGGAGGAGGAGAGGAGGAGAAGACGAAGTGGAGGAGAAGAAGAAGAGGAGGAGGAGGAGAAGAGGAGGAGGAGAGGAGGAGGAGGAGGAGGAGGATTTCCCGAGCCAACCTTCACATTTGCACTCCGTTGCCCACCTAGGGTGGACCCACAAAGACATTTCACAGACTGAAAGATGAAGCTTGACTCTAAAAGGGATCCAACCAACCAATTTGGGGAGCTGTCCACCAGGAGCCGGTGCTGCCTTGGGCCAGGCTGAGGCCTTGAAAGAGTCAGGGACCCGGTCAAGCAAGGCTAGTTGGCAGGCGTTTGTCCCAAACAGGCCAGGAAGTCCTGAGCCAAGCGCTCCTTGCCTCGTCCTGCTTCAAACCCCAGAGAGAGAAGCAACCAAAGAGGGATCCCCAAAACTCAGCAGGTCTCTGGAGAACTTCCTGTAGGTGACAAAGACCATCTCTGGAGGCAGAGCCAACTGATTAAAAACGGCTGTAATAAAATGACTGGCAGGCGAAGCAGACAGAAGTCATCCTGGAAGGGGGGCATATCATTTGTGGGGAGGAAAGGGATCCAAAATGAAACCCCTTTCCCGCTAAGAACGGGACAACCCTCCGTTCTGTGCAAACATGGCGGGCACTTAAAATTTAGCCTTTGAAGTTGAGCTATTTTGAGGTGGCCCAACCCCTCCCCCCCAATGCCCCCCCCCACACCCCATGACAGCCCCCCAGGCTGAGCAAACAAGACAGTTGCCCAGGGCAGCTCCTCCCCCCCCCTCCACGAATCACAAAGGAGGCAAGGTGGATGCCCAGAGAAACTCCTTTTTGGTCATCTCGACCCCAGGACAGCCTGGCGATGAAAGGAAGGAGCGAAAAGCCCTTCATGTTCGTTCGTTCGTTCACCCAGGACGTTTCTCCGGTGCCAATTACCGCTTGCCACGTTCGCACAAGCCGCCTTGTGCTCGGAAAGTCTTTTGACAGAACCTCAAACTGCCACTGGTTGCCTCCAAAAGATAAGGCAGCTCAGGTCACCTCGGAGGAGGCCGAGCTGCCCAGGGTCATTTCTGCTGCTTTGTGCCAGGTGGCTTTGCCAGCCAGAGGCTTCTTACCCTACCCCGGTTTTGGCACCCGCTCTCCCCCTCCCCCCTGCAAAGATACACCCTCAGAGGGAGTTTTCCCATTGGCCAAAAATGTGGCTCCCATCGTCTTAAGAAGGCAAACTGAAATAATTGCTTGCACATCGAGCTAAATTCCTTTTACGCCATTTCTCTCCCTGCCCCCAGTTATGATTTTAGGGGTTTTTATCTCCTTGAAACAAGGAGATAAAAGCACCTAAAAAAACAAAACATGAAATGTTATTTTTTGCGGTGGGTGGGGGAAGTGTCAAACTGCAGGGGAAGTCCCCGGGGTCTTTCCAGGCTCTTTTGCAAGGGGCAAAGGAGCCCCTCCACCTGACCCAGGAGGGATCCTCCTCCTTCTCCAGGAGCCTCTCCTTCTGGGTCATTCATGCCTGCTGTTCTCTGGGCTGGGCCACCAGAAGGTTTCCTGCTTTCAGGCTGGCTGCCAACGTGGCAAAATGTCTCCCTGGAACACGAGAGCCCTGAATTATTGATGGCCTCTCTGCCAGGCAGAGAGGAGGAAGGAAGGAAGGAAGGAAGGAAGGAAGGAAGGAAGGAAGGAAGGAAACGAAACACAAACTAACCTTCCAAGGTCCCCAGGCTGCATTTTTAAGGGTTTAGAGACATACAGTTCCTGGAAATTCTGCTGTGTGTATTCAGATGTTTTCTACCATTTGCACAGCTTGAGAAGCCAAGGCCTATCAGCAGAGATATAGGCAACCTCACATGACCTCTGCCTTCTTGGACACGCCATTTGTTCCCACTGAGAAGATCAGGTCACCCTGCCTCCAGGCTCTGCTGCTGGCGGGAGTCACAGGGGGGCAAAACCGGTTTCGCCCTCCATCACTTGACCTCTCCCCATCTTCCACAGATGCTCCAGCCACCCGCCACCATCTGCCTCGCCCAGGTCTGTCTCCCTTAGCAAATTAAGCATCTCCCGGGGCTGCTGGGGGCGGGGAAGAGGCAGCCAGCAGGCCTGGGAGAGGACCGTCTGCTGAGCTCCAGGCGTGCCAGGCCTCAGAAATAAAAACTGACTTGTGCCAAGGCACAACATCAACAACCACAACAAGGTCATGTGAGAAGGGGCGCAGCAAGGGTGCCGGTGCCACCTTGCCAGGAGCTGAGCTCAAAACTGCAGAACTGAGCCCAACTCTGCAAGGGCACCAGAATTCACAGGAATTCAAGATGAGGGTATAAACAAGAGCAAAAATACACCGGAAGGGTAGCTTGCGTATAAGAATTTCCTAGCAGAAATTTCTCCTGGCGAACCACTTTTGCAAATGCGGAAATGCCGAACATTTTCCTACATTGCTTCCTGAAACTGGTTGTCTGGATGCCTCACAAGCCCATCCTAAAAAGGGCCCCTATTCCCGGCTTTGTCCTTGAAACCAAGATCAGATGCAGCTAAGAGGATGCTGATGGATACAAGCCGAATTTCCACTCTAGATTAGAACTGGTTTCTGAAGCAGGGACAGGGACTTTGCAGGGGAGGGGAGGAGGCAGGAAGGGAGGAGAATTCTTTTAGTCTGCTTAAAGGATTATTCCAGAAGATCCGGTAACTACCGAGGGGGTGAGAAAGGCCTCCGTACTGCCTGGTCTTCAGCATCCGTGTGCCAAAGAATAAAGTCAACAAAGAAACTTCTCTGCATATTTAGGATTCCTTTGCATGGGGAGTTCCAGGGACCCCGAAATCCTTGCCAACAACCCTTTTTAAAATAAGTGAACTCCCTGGCATTTGGGACCGAACCTCATTCCTCTGTTTTATGCCCAACCAACAAACCAGGATGTGATGAAGAGAGCAAGGATGCCCGATGCCTCTTCCCAGCTCAGTTGCTTCTTTGCCAGGCGAAAATCCCCTCCGTCCAGGAAGAGGATGGGGGAGAGCTGGATCAGCCATGATTCCCAAAAGGCAGAGAATTATCTGGGTCTCTTCATCCTGCAACAGGCCTGGGAATCACAACCATCCCTTCATTTTAGTGTCCGGCATTTGGATAAATGTGCCAAAAATTACCGTAATGGACAGAGTGAGAAAAAGAGCATGAAAAACACCACCAGCTCCAGCTCAGGATGAGTCCCGCAGTGGACTTCCCCCTTTGCTGACCTTGGCTCCGTCTGCAGCCCATCGGTGGTCCCTTCCTTTCCCACACCCGCTTCCGCCAGCTTTGCTCGTGTTTTTGGAAACGTGTCCCGCCCAAGGGCTCTTAGCCCAACAAAAGGCCTGGAGCAGAATGCCAGCCTCTGGCACCCGGTCCCTGAAAAACAACGACACACCTCCCTTGTCTGCGGATCCTGTCAATCACCGGCAAGCGTGTGCGGGAATGTTTCCCAGCCTGCAGACCTCTGACCTCCAGAGAAAAGATTTCAAGAAAAGCAGGTTTGTCGGCACACACGGAACGGCCAAGAGACAGAAGGAAACATCTGTCTCCTTTTTCTGTGTGCCGGAAAACTTTTCCCTTCTCACAGAGGACGAGGGAGACGCATCGCAAATGGACAGAGAGGTCTCTGCACAGCCCTAGATGGCATGTGGGACCCCTCGGCTATGGGTCAGGCAGATGGAGAGAGCCATCGGGTTATGGGGATTATGATTTCCCCATAATCATAACTGGGGGGCTTTAGGGTGGAGGCGGCTGCCCCACTGGTGCTCTTGGCAGCTGCTTCACAAGCCTCCTACACATGGCTCACAGCCTTCACTCCTTCTCCCCACCCCTGAAGGTCAGAGGGGGAAAGAAGGCAACCCAAGCCTGCCGGCTAATCTAGGTCTCCTGGCACCCCACCCCCACCCCCACCCCACCCATCACTGTGATCGACTCACCCACACAGGCCACTCCAGAGACCCTAAGAAACTCAATGACACAACCTCCATCCCCTCCTGGGTCTCTTCCTTTCTCTCTCACAGCCTTTTATACGTGCAAGGATTCAGCTGCAACCGGATGCTCAGTCCAGAAGGGCCTATGACAATTCACCGTGTGCATGGAAACATCTTTCAGCCCTCAGAATGGGACAACTTGCCATGCCAACTGGTTTGGCCAACTCACCACGGCCAACTCGCCACAGGACGAGTCACTGTGGGACAAGAGTTACACTAATATCACAGAAATGGTGGAATAGAATAATTACCTTATGATGAACGTATCTTTTCGTTTATGTACACTGAGAGCGTATGCACCAAGGCAAATTCCTTGTGTGTCCAATCTCACTTGGCCAATAAAGAATTCTATTCTGTTCTGTTCTATTCTATTCTTGAAGAAAGGGTGCAAAAGGAGGGACAGAATGAAACGGGAATGGCAAATTTTAAAAACGTATTTTAAATAATTAAATAGAATTGTTAAATTGTCCCGCAGCGATTTCTCCCTGGGTGAGTTGTCCAGGTATGAGTTGGCCATGGGAAATTGGCCATAGCGAATGGGCTTGGCAAAGTTGCCCCATTCCGAGTCCAGAGGGATGTTTTCATGCACGTCTGCAAATCGGCCGTAGGATTATTCCAGGGCGGCCATTCTGAGTCTGGCCTTTGCACCGTCTGCTCAGAGCGAGACTTCACCAAGGCCAAACCTGGCCTCTCTCGGCCCCTCTGGCACCCAGCAGTGCAAGGGAGAAGAGAAGTAAAGGGGGGAGGGGGAAAACAGGCCCCGAGATCTGCCTAGCAAAGGCCAGCCAGCAGGTGCCCTGTGTGGGGGGGGGGGGGGCGTTCCAGCCTGCTGGCTGCAGAAAAAAAACACCCGTCATTCAAAGCCAGCCTGTCATTTCTGAGACTCGCTGGGAAAAATATCGACGTTCCCCGTGGGAAGCTGCCACCCAGATCGCCACCTGTCCTACATGGATTTTCGTGCTGGTTGTGATTGCCTAGAAAAGAGAGACGGTTGCCTTGAAAGCCTGGCTCCCTTTCTCCAGAAAGAGCGTTATATGGGGCCGAGCCCCCAGTGCCATAAGACCCCCCCCATTTTTAAACATCATCCAGACGTCTTCAGATCGATCCATTCAAGCTGTTTGATCTTGCTTGCAAAGCTCAGGTGATATAACACGCTGCCCCCTCCCCCCCCATCCAGGGGGGACTTTGCCCCAACACTCAGCCAAAGCCCCCCCCCCCAAAACCATCTGCAGACCCCTTAGAGATCCACTGTAGGGATCTTGGGGAAGCTGCAACCGCCCCAGACGGCTTGAGGAGGCTAAGAGTCAAGGCCAAGTCAGACAAGAAGGAGCCAAAGAGGAACAGCCTTGATTTTTCCACCCAGGGAAAGGAGTCAAGGACCCTCTTTCGGATGGTCCCAAAACAGCCCCTCGTGGACGGAAAGGAAGCGCTGGCTAAAACGGAAACCAGCCGGAGAGGAAAGCGGTTTCCTGTCTGAAAAGGAGGGCTGCTTCAGACAATGGACTGCACAGGAAAGAACTGGCTGACTTGCCTCCAGGCTCCTCCAGGGCCAAACTCAAAGGCGCCCATAGAGTATCTCTGCCTGATGGGCCCCCCAGCCTCACCCATGCCAGGGAGACCCTCGGAGGGCAGCGATCCCAAAACTCCCAGAGGAAGATGAAGGGGAGGGGGTCACCTTTGTGGAGTAACCCCCAAGCTTGCTCAGCTTTTGCTCTCAGCTTTCCCCAACTCTGCCACCCCCAAACTGCCAGCCCCCCAACAACAGCATTGCTGGGGGAGAGAAGGGGCGATGGCTGAGTCAGAGAAGCGTCACCCACCAGCCGCTCAAAGTGCCTTGAGAGGATCCCCCCCCCATCCATGCCATCCACCTCATCCTTTGCAACCCCCCCCACACACACACACACAAACACAAGCACCTACACCCCCCTTTTCAGCCCTTGGGGGCAGGGGGCAGAGAGGGGAAGCCCAGGCAAGGCCGCAGGAGCTGGCTGTGATGGGCAACCCCTGCAAAACCTCCAGAGGAGCCCCCTGGATTATTTTCCAGCACAAACTCTCCAGAGATTGGGGGGGGGGGGGGGGACGAAAGTTGCCAAGAGCTTTCAGAAATGATGTCATGGGAAGAGGTGGGGGGGGCGCAGCTCTCTGGCACCTGGCTGGCTGACCACCTCTGAAGCGGGGAGGGGGCAGCCGCTGGAATATCAAAGGCGAGGCTGGTGTGGGGCAGGAAAGGGTGGCCGGAGGGGGCTAGGGAACCCCAAAGGCCTCTAAAAGGGCAACAACTGACACGGAAGGAGGACTTGGAGGAAAAGGGACCCCAACAGCTGGGGAGCCCCGTTCCAAGGCAAAAAGTTCAGGAAGCAGAACCCGCGGGGGGGGGAATAAAGGCGGGGGGGCGGCTGCTTTGGACTGTGGTTCCCATCCTCCCCATCTCAGGATGCCGGGCCGAGCCTGCAAGGGGAGGAGAGCCAGGAAACGGGCAGGACAGAGGAGCGGGGTGGCCGGAGCCAGATGGCGGGGAGAGCCTGCGGGAGCGCCGCGCTCGCCTCCCCGGCCTCGGCTGGCTGGAGGCGATGGGAACCGCAACCCTCGGCCGCAGGGAAGGACGGGGGGACGGGAGCTCCCTGGCCCATGCTCCGCAGCCCGGGAAGGGCCGGGGCGCGCTTACCGCCGGAGGTGGCCAGCAGTCCCCAGGCGCCGGGCGGCGGCAGGAGCAACGGCAAGAGCAGCAGCAGCAGCGGCGGCGGGAGCGGGCAGGGGCGGCGGCGGCGGCGGGCAGCGGCGCTCATCCTTCAGCGGCTGCCTCCTCGGGGGAGCATCGCAGCAGCAGGAGCAGGAGCAGCGGCGCCGCGCAAGAGGAGGCGCCTGCCGGGCTGCGGCACCGGAGGCGAGCGGGGCGCTGGCGGGGCGGGGCGGCCAATGACGCCGCCCGCCCTGAGGCCGCGCCCACCTGCCACACCGGCAGCAGGTGCGCAGGCTGCCCGAGCGCCGGGCCAGTGCGGCTGCGCAAGGCCCCCCTCGAACCAGGTTACCTCCTGCTCTGGACCATGGCTTCTCGTTTGCCGTGAACGGCTGGCGCCAACCCCGATTCCCGTTCCGCATCCCCGGGAAGGGCTAATTCAGCCCCCTGGACCCGGCCCGGCTCACCTGGGCGCGCAGGAGGGAAGCAGCGGGGAAGAGGAGCCCGCAAGAAGCTCCGCCGGCCTTGTGGGGGGGGGGACTTGGGGAGCCAATTGAAACCACGGAAGGGCTTCATGTACGCCCCCCCCCCCCATTCTCCCGGCTGAGCTTCCTCCAGGCGCCCGGCCGACGCCAGCGCTTTCCCCACTTTGTAAGAACGGGGCCCCGGAAAACCAGCCCTGCACAGGAGAGCACCCCAGATGCGTGGCCCAAGAGGGCACAACTGCAGTTGCAGAACAAACCAGGATCATACAGCTCAGCCACCCCAGGGCACTGAACCAGGGCACCGCTTCCCCCGAGAGGCTTCCCAGTAAAATGGACCAACCGGGTCGGTCGCCAAGCGAGCTTTTATTAGGATTTCTTTTAAGGCAAGCATCACTTTGTTTTCTTTACATGGAAAATAGGCAGAATACAACCCAAGGCCACAGGCGCAGACAGAGGCACCGAAGAAAAGCACAAGGAAAGACACACGCGCACACTTTGTTTTCTTTAAAAATCCCACCCTCCCCGTCACCTCCTCCTTCCTAGCTCCCCAGTTTGCAGTGCCGGAGGCATTTTTCTGCCCACCCTGAAAATATATATATATATATATATATATTGCAGAAGCCAACTGTGGGAGACTTTAATATTGTTGCACTATCAAGGTAAAGAATAGCAAAAAAGAAACCCTCCCCAAATCCTGGATAATGTTGTTTTTTTAATATTATACAACAGTGTGCCATTAAAATAAAAACAGTTATCCTGACTTCATCTCAAATTCACACCTGTGGGATGGGAAACGACTGTCACCAGTTCAAACTTCGATTCAGAAATAAATCTCATTACCTTCTGGGTGACTTATTCCTAGGAAAAATAATGGAATATTGCAATTTTGGGGCCTCTATGCCCCAATCCCTTGTTGCAGGAATTGTCTAATTTGGGCATCTCTCTTCTGGATTCAATTATTGTGCCTGACTGTGTTTAGGCATGTTTTTAAGGGTGCCGGAGGAGCGGTCCAATGGGGTTGCAACACAGCTAGCAATCGCTTATACAATCCTGGCAATTTCAACTTTGACAGCTTTGCTATATGTGTATTGTACACTAAGAAATGGAAGGACTCAAAATAAGTTTAAAAATATAAATTCAACCGTGGATTATTCTTAATTTCTGAATGAGACCTGGTTTGAAATCTGTTGTCTCATGGATGGGTGTGACACCAGGGGTGAAATCCAGTAGGTTCTGACAGGTTCTGGAGAACTGGTAACAGAAATTTTGAGTAGTTTGGAGAACCGGCAAATGCCACCTCTGGCTGGCCTCAGAGTGGGGTGGGAAGGGGGATTTTGCAATATCCTTCCCCTCCCACGCCCACAGAACCGATAGTAAAAAAATTTGAATTTCACCACTGTGTGACACCCAGGGGTGCAAGTAACACAGAGACTTTGGGGGGTTTTGCAGGAAGAAAGGAAGTCGTCTCCTAACCTCTGGAAAAGATTGGGAAACAAAAAAACAAAAAAGATTTCCAGAGGTTGAGGGGATCCAGGCCACCTCTCTGCCAAGGAAAACGCCAAAGGAGGGCTTGTCCCTGCAAAGGGGGTCAGTAGAGAATATGTGGGTGAGGAAGAGGTTCTCTCGTTGATCTACTAAGCGGAAAAAGAGAAGCTTCTCTCAGCAACAGAGCTAAAGGCAGCTTGCTGAATTCCCATTCCCCTAAAAGAGGGGATCTCCGGAAGCCAAGCCAGGCCTGGTTTGTACAAGAATGGAAGTCCCTCAGTTGTGGCCGACAGTCAGAAGTCCATGTGGCTGCCTCCAAAGACCCTTCCCCAAAGTCTTAAGCTCATCTGGAACAAAAGGGACCCCCATTTTTGAAGAACTGCTGAGAGGCGATAAGACCCTGGGGCCTCCTGACGTCCATGGTATTTACTCCCAGGGTCCTCTGTCTTGGGGTGGGGGCAGCGTCTTGTTGGGTCGAGAGGTTTAGGATGGGCCCCTGGCTAGAAATTCTTGAGTCTAGGAAGAAGTGGAAGCCTGGAGGTCTCCAGAAGATTTCCTTGTCAATGCCAGCACCTTTTTCTTGAAGGGGAAAGCAGGGGGTGGAGGCTCGTGGCCCTCCAGGAAGGAAAAAGGAGGCAGGAAAGTGGCTGAGCTGTATATGCCCACAATCCATGCCAGGCACCGTCCGCCTCCACGGAGAGTTGTTCCAATTTCTTCCTTCCTGAGTTTTGGCAAAAGGCTGGAGTTCCCAGCGCATGACCAGGGAGAGAAGGCGGGGCAGGAGAGAGCTGGTCTACACTGCCCCTCGGCCCTTGGAGGACTTCAGCAGGCAGAAGATGCTGCCCAGGCTGCCCAGAAGGATGGCGACAAAGAGGAGGATGAGGCCGACCCAGGGGCCGAAGCTGGTGCCCTTCCGGGAGCTGGGCTCTTCCGCTGGGATCATGTTGGTCAGGTTCAGCATGTAGCCCAGGGCCCAGCCGATGGTCGTGTCCCCGGCCTGCGAAAGTGAAAAAAACCCACAATTGCACAAAGGCTCCCTCGGCTTGCATGCCCCAATACAGCAACTGCTCTCCGGACCCACAGCTGACCCACATCTACTGCAGAACTCCCTGCCTGTTGTGGTCTGCCAGCAGCCTGTGGAGCTGGCAGCAGAGTCGGCCAGTGAGGAGGCTGGGGAGGAACACGGGCCAGTCCTGGAGTCTGTGGAAGGCTCGGACGAGGGCTCTGCATTGGAGGCAGAGAAGGGGGCCAGGGCCATCTGGGAGTTATGTGCTGCTTCCGGAGCCTCCGGAGTCTGATGTCAGAGAGGCAGAGGAACAGGGGGAGCCTGTTCCCAGTGCGTGCATGCGCAGAACTGCCAGAAGGCAAGGACAGTGAAGACAAAAGGGGTGACTTGGGAGTAAGGCTTGGAGACGATTGGCCCCCCCCATAAGACATAAAGGAGGAGCAAAGGCACGTGAGGCTTTGCAGGAAGCAACTTTGTTCATGCTGGCCAGTTTAAAATCTGCAGCTCCATTTTGACTCTGTGCTCCGTGTGGCCTTGCAAAGCCAATTGCCAATTAGGTCTTTGGCAGCGTGTCAAGAGAGATAAAGGTGGGTGCTTGTCAGCCTTATCCCGAAGGACTGTGGCAGACTTCTGTCGGGCTCTTTACAAACTATTTGTGGTTCATCACGGGCTGTGAATAAACAGAATTCACAGCCATTAAAATTAAAAGAGGGGCTTGGGGACGAATTGTGTGCTTTTTCCTGTCTCAGGAAGCCTAGGCCAGAACGCTGCCCTCCCCATTCCTCTTCCCTGCAAGCGACCCAGGAAAGCCTTACCTTCTGCTGGAAGGCTATGTTGGGGAAGGTGCTGTTGCTGAACGAGTACCCCCGGGTGAGCAGCAGCGAGACGAAGGTGGCCATGGAGCAGAAGTTCTGCAAAAGGGACTCCAGTTTTGGCCCCTTTTTCAGCAGCTGGAGCGGCAGAAAGAAATGCCCAGGCTGAGTTTCGGCCTTTGAAAGAGCAGCTGCTCTCGTCCCCCCTCCCCCCACAGACACACTTTACCTCCTCCCCTTCATGATGAGAGAAAGATTATTCAGCCCACCACCACCAATTATTGGTTCCACGCTCATTCCAAGGTTGCTTCTTCTTCTTCCTCTTCATGTCTTCATTCGATCATAGGTCACCTTGGAGGGTTCGTCTGCAATTCATTGTTGGCCAGGCCGTAATTTCAGGGGTTCCTTCCCCAAATCCTCCTGGGCATCCCCCCATCTCTTCTCTTCCTCTCTGCTTATCCTTAAGTAGCTGAGCCATTTTTCTCCTGCTTCATTTTGCCTTTATTGACGGACCGTGTCCCACCCAGCTTTCCTCTGGCAAAGGGCAATGAAACATCTTTGGTCTCTTCTGCCCCAGACATGTGGGTGGAAACCAGCATGGGGCTCCTTTTAGATATCTCCTTCTTCTGCAGCTACTTCCAGGAAATCGCCATGATTCCATCTTCCCCTTTTCAATTCTCACAACAGACTTGTGAGGTAGACCTGGTTTGGAGGTGGCAGCAGACCAAATGACCCCACCCCACCCTGAAGCTACCAGCCCTTGTCCTACCCATGAGCCACTGCAGTCTCCACTTCATTTCATTTCAAGTTTAAACCCATTTTTTAAAAAAGGATTTCAGTTCTATGTTGTGGGGGGGGGGAGAGAGAGAACTAGTGATGTTTACATGACTAGCAAAGCCGAAAGAATTTGGCCCTGGTTGAAGGAAGTGAAGGAAGGTCCAGGGAGACAAACCCACCTCACTCCAGGGGGTGGTACAGATGGCCTCCGCGCCTTCTCTGAGGTCACTTGGAGTGGCTACCTGCCTTTTCATCACTGACCGGAGGAAATCCACCGTGTAGAAAAATGCAGAGAAGGCCTTTAAGGGAAGAAGAAAAAGAAAAAAAAAATTATTCCACCAGGCGGGCTTGGCCTAATCTTTTCCCTCTTTTTAATATGTAAATTTTAATCTGTTTTTAAATTATTGGGGTGTTTTAATTTGTCTGGGCCAAAATGGTTTAATTCGATTTTATCTGGTTTTTTAAATTTTTTGTATCTATGTGATTTTATTGTTTGGCTGTTCACCGCCCTGAGTCCTTCGGGAGTAGGGCGGTATACAAATCAAATAAACTAAACTAAATTAAAAAGAGGGACGGGGCAATTATTGTAAGATCTTTAAAGTGGTATCACCAATGGGGGTCAATGCATTTTTAAACAGTCGGTCAGATATATAGGATTCTATACCTCACTTCTATTTCAGAAGGGGACGGAGTAGCGGTTGCCAGCCCAAACTGAATTCTCTTAAAAATGAAGCTTACTGCCTCAGGCATGAATCAAATTTGAGGGAGACTTGACTTTAAAAAAATGGAGGAACACAGTAAAGTCAGGCCAGCTGACACAGGTGGAAGCTAAATTCTGTAAGAATTAGAGAGCTCACACCCTGCCCCAAACTGAATTGGAAAAGGGGTGTCATGCCCCACTTCACCCACATGGGGGCAGTAGCGCTCCATCCTTGCCAAGCGGGGAAAAATAACCTAATAACAGTGCTGGAAGAGACCTCGGAGGTCTTCTAGTCCAACCCGCGGCTCGAGCAGGAGACCCTGTACCATTTCAGGCAAATGGCTGTCCAGTCTCTCTTTGAAACCCACCAGTGATGGAGCCCCCACAGCTTCATTGCTTCAGTTGCAGCGGCTGCCCCAGGACACACACGCACCACCACCCCCAGCCCAACCCTCAGCGAGACTCACGATAAAGTTTCCCTCCACGGGGGGCTGGAAGACCCCGTCAAAGGAGCAGCTGGAATAAGGGCAGTCCGTGAAGCGGAAGAGGCTCTCTGCGTGTGCCAAGCACTGGGCAGGGTCTCCAGAGCCGCTCATGTTCACCATGGCCGTGGGGAAGTAGTTGGGGGGCTTCTCGGAGATGGCGCAGGGGGACCCGTAGATGCTTTCCATGGGGAAGCTGCGCTTGAATCCCTGTGGCCAGCAGGGGTTTTCCAGTCGGAGGGCGTAAGCTTTAGCCTGCCAGGAAAAAATATAGGGAAGGGGCTGGTGAAGCAGAAGAGAGGGGTAAGCCCCCCACACACACACACCCTTGGTATCTGCCATCACCAAGGTGAGGGACGGGCCCCTTTCCCTCCATCTCAGTTTAGGGGCCCCTTTGCAGCGTCCACCTTCAGGAACGCTCTGCCCGCTGACCTGCCGGAGCCAATCCCAGCCGTGGGGGCCCTATAAACCCCCGTAAAGTCCCTGCACCACAACCGCCCAGGCTGTACCTTCAGGACCTTGGAAGTCAGCCTGGTGTGGATCTCGTTCATGCCGTAGCAGAGGTAGCTGTGCGTGTAGACTTGGTAGCTCTGCCCGTACAGCTTCAGCGTCACCTGGTTGCCGGGGCTCTCCACGGCCCCCGTGGTCTCGAAGGTGATCTGGGTGGAGGCCCCGCCCAGGTCCATGGCCCCCACCGTGCTCTTCTTGGGGCGGACCCACCGCCCGATCCACCCGTACTGGGGAGAGAAGACAAGGCAGGCCTTCTGTGACGTCACGGAGCTGAACCGACGTCCAATCGGGCTGTGACGTTGTGCTGACGTCAGAGCAAGACCGGCCAACGGCGCACGACTCGGAGGAAGAGCAGGGAGCTTCTCCTTTGGCAAAGAACCCGGAGGAAAGGCGAGGCGGCCCTACCTTGACAAAGTTCTCCAGAAGGTAGTTAGCGGTGACCCACCCGAACAAGCCTTCATCCGCTCCGCTCAGGATCCTGGCTCCCTGGAAGTCAAAGGGGTATTTCTTCAGCGTGGCGGTCACAGCTTCAAGGACGCTGTCTGAAGCCTGTGGGTTAGAAATGCTACACAGACAGACAGACAGACAGACAGACAGACAAATAATGAAACACTTTATGACCTGAACCAGGGCTCCCTCCCTCTCTCTCTCCCTCTGGAATTGCTCTTTGAGCTCCTCAGAATCTGCCCTCGGGGTCTGTTTGAGGTCTTGGGGCTGCTGGGCTGGCCACCATCCACGTCACGATTCTGTACGATTCTTCCCTCTCTAGCTACGCCCACGGTTCCCGGCATCGTAAGCCCAGAACATGAATTACGTTGGTAACCAAGGAGAGTCATTGTGAACATCAGCAGCCCAGACAATCCCATTTGTTTGGAGGAGGGGTCCCACCCCCCCACCCCCATTTATTTGGCTCCAGCTCGTCTCACCCCTCCTGAGCACAACTATTTCTGCCAAGGGAAGGAGTGTCCGCACAGTCAGACAAAGGGACGTTTCTTCCTGTTCACAGCGTGACCCCTTCTTTGCCAGGGGGGCTGCCAACTCGCTGGAAAGGGTGACCCGGGGGGCACACAGAGATTTAGTGTGTAAACATTGGGGGAGGGGAATCGGTGCTCCCCCAAGTGAAGGATGGACGGGACGAATTGCACCGGCCACTGCCAGGTGACACTGCTACCTTAGCAAGCTTGAGAAGGGGACAGGATGGCCAAATTCAGCCCCCCTGAGGCCGGGGAGTGGGGTCTCCCCATTGGGTCTGGAAGTCAACCGAGACTTACTTCAGCAGCCGCATGCCAGCCGTGGCACCCAGGTAGAGGGGCGTGATGCCATGCCTCGCCTTCGGGACATCCTCCAGGGCCTGGTCAAGGCAGGGTACCAAGCTCTGCCCGGCTGCCGGTGGGTTCGTGAAGTAGCTTGAGATGCCTTCTCCTGCAAAATCCATCTGCCCTGAGTGCCAGGCTGGCGGGATTCCCCTCCGTGGAGAGACATAGCCTCCCCAGGATGCCCGATGGGGGGGGAGGGGAGGCTTCTCGCCAGGCACGAAAGGGAACAAGCTATTTCAGCAGCCAACAGAAACCTGGGAGGATTTGCTGAGTCAGACACGGTTTGACTCATTCCAGGGTCTGATTCCTGGCATTGCCTTCTCCCGCCCTCCAGATGTGCTGGGAATTTGGATCCAAACATCTGGAAAAAGCCAGGCTGGGAAAGACTGCCCTGCTGCAAAGGCTTTCCCCTCAGCCCTTGCCAGCTGCCCAGACAAAGAGCCAGGGTGGCCCTGGGCCCAGGCCTTGGCATGGCCTCCACCTGGGACAGCTCCTGTTCTCGCATGCCTTTGAAGAAGCCCCTGGCCCTCTGCCAAGCCATGCCCAGGCACACCCACCTCCCTCCTCCCAGAGGAACCCACGGGTCTTTCTTTCCACAGCCTTAAACCAGGTGGGCCATGCCAGTTCTTTGTCCGATGCCCAGGGGGGGAAAAAGAAACGGAACAAAAGAAGAAAGAGGGAGGCTGCCCAGATGCCATTGTTCTGCCAGCACCAATGCACAAAATGCAGAATGGAAGTCTCAGCTGGCAGCAAAGCTCATGCCACCCAGTTCTAAGTCACCCTGAACTTCGCCTTCCCCGGGCACAGGATCACGCAGGCCCTCTGCTCCTTGACAGGCGTGCCCAAACTGAGCTCTTTCAGACGTGGCTGTGCCCCAAGTTATGGCATGCCAAGAAGAGGCTCTGGATTGGGGAGAGGAAGAGTAAACCTTCTCTGGCCTCCCCCAGCACTGGGGACGAAGGGAGCCCCATCCGGTGCTTTCAGCAACATTTAGGGGGCTCCAGCTGCAAACTCTTGTCCCTGGAAGGACAGACAGCCCCCTCCCCCAAGCAATGGGGGTGGGGGAGGAGGCAGGGGGCTGCAGAGCCCTGATTCTGCTTACCCTTCACGTGGCAGTCGCTGTGCTGGCTGACAATCCCAGTCTCGTTCTCCTTGTTGGACGGCCATTTGTAGACAAACATGGCTGTGTGGGAAGATCCGGCATCCAAAACTATCCCGTACTGAGCAGGAGAAGAAAGAGAAGAAATGGGAGGGGAGGAAACGTCAGTCAGGGCCCTAGTTTTGCCTCAAGACACCCTGGACAGACAGAAGTCGGGGTACACAAGGGGACGCCTCTCGTGCTGACCAAATCCCCTTGCAGTTCTGTTGGAAACTTCAAGCAAAAGGAGTTCGGGAGGGTAATGTAACCGCCCCACGGCCCGTTGCCAAGTACCACTGTAGGCACCCAGACAAGCCGGGGCCTCTACCGTCTTAAATTGCTCACTATTGTTCCTATGTTTTAGGCACCATCTCCGTGGCAGAGGGGGCCGCATGTCAGCCCCAGCCCTGCGACACTATTTGGGGCCGCCATTCATGTGGGGGTTGCCATTCCGCTGCTGCACGTTTTTGCCAATGACGCTTCCTGCGTTCCTGCTCTTCTTGGTCGTCTCACTTTGACTCCCCAGCCGCATGTTAGACGGCTTCTGGGCACACACTTTTCCCCATCCATCACTTTAAGGAAAGACGGAGCAACGCAGAACCGGAGCGCCTTGCGATGGATTGGGGAGGGAGGGGGAGGATACGGGGTAATTGGATAATTGAGTGATTCCACTGGGGTGGAGCTGTATGCTGCTTAAAGGGTGATGGGGAGCATGGAGCGTCAGCTCCAACAAAGATTCCTTTCTGTAACATTTTAAGGTGGTCAGTTAGTACTTATATCAGGATAAACAAACTTGGTTCTTGCTTTTGCGTGCTGAGGGGCTTTTTTCCCCATACTTTACGGAACCTGACAGCTTGGCTGAGCAGGATCTTGGTTCCAGCCGAGGCCTTGAAGTTCTGCTGCTGAGATCCTCCCCAACTTTTCTCCCCCTCTTCCTGCCAGGTTGGGAAGCGCCTTTTGTTACTCTTGGTTGTGCAACAAGATTTTGATCCTTTGTCCTTTACTGTAATCTGAAGCGTTTCCATTTATCTGGAACTGAAACAGGGAGGGATCTTCCCTGTGGTCTGGTCCTGGAGTGGGGGCCACTTTCCTTCCGCTCAACAAGGCTGCCTCCATATCCATCTGCCCGGACTCCCCCTCCCCCAAGAAGCCAAGTAGGTCCCTGGCTATTTGGGGTGAGGGTACATCTGCCATCTTCTTTCTCTTGAGCCCAAAACGTTTTGAGCAAGGGGGTCTCTCCTTCCCAGGCCACAGTTGCAGGACCAAGAGACCCCCTGACCACCACCAGAGAAGTCCTGCAGAAGTTGGCACGCAGAGCTGTTCTCTGGAATCAGAGTTTGGCCTGAGCTGCAGGAAGACAAGGCAAGATCGGGCTGGCACAGGCCGGGCACAGAGTGGCAGATGGTGCCAAAGGGTCTCTCTAACACCAAGGTTAGTCTGCAGCTCTGCAGCCCCCAAAGACCCCAGGAGGGTCTTCTCCCATGTGCCTTGGGAATCGGGTGGGGAGAGTGCAGGCAAACGATGCTTTTACAATTTTGGCCTCTGCTGGATGGAGCAAAACAACTATTGGCTGAACCTCCATTGTCTGCAGAACACACGTATTATCCTAGCCACACACAGGAAACCTGCCTTAGTCAGAATCTGGCAGAACTCAGGCTAAATATTTTTCCCAGCCTCCCAATTATTTACAACTCCAGGTGGAGAAATTCGTAGGGCGAGATCAGGGCTGAGTCCTTTGCTACAAGCAACAACTTGCTCAGCCCTCGGAGAGGTCCATCCTCTCCGCCAGCAACAAATCAAAATAAACCCCACAATGGGCCAACAAGTTTCCGATTTCTGGCAAAGAGGCTTCCTGGGGGGTGCCTCACTCTCCTCTGCAACAGACTGGAAGACCCTTCCCACACTTCATGAAGAATCCGGGACCCCCAAGTTCTGAATTTTGCAGTGTTGAGACCAATGAGCAAAGCTATTGTTCTTAACCCTAATCCTAACCTTCAGGGAGATCCCCCCCCCAAAGTGCACCAGTTGACCCACAATTTAGAGCCAATGCATTCCAAGCAAAGAACTAGGATGTTTGACAACATTCTGAGGTGTATCGAAAGAGAGGAATGTGCCTAGGGGGGAAGAGAGGCTGGGGGAGCAGATTCCTAGCTGTGATATTTTGATCCCTTCCTGAGCAGATTAGCCCACAATACAGAGGAGGAAGGAAGGGGAGAACTGGTCTGGCTTATTCAGCCTCCTGAATCTGTGGGCCAGTTACTTTCCTCGGGCCCCAATCCTGACGCAGACCTGCCTTTTCCCACAACTGTTGGCTGCTCCCATCCCAAAGAGATCATTAAATGCCGGTTTGCCTTCTCTGCTGGTTTGACAATAATCTGTGGATTCTGCCCTCTGCCACTTGCCCCCTTTTGAGCTTTAATTCCCCTGGGCGACACTTCACTAACAACACAGGGAACCCCCCCCCCATTCCGCAAAGCATTTCTCAGCTGCTGCATCGGCTGGAAAACAGGGCGGCCAAGTCTTTTTCCTTCCCTCCAGAGCCCCCCAGAACTGAGATTAGCTAGATTTGGGGGGGGGTCCATGCAGAGGTCAGAATAGAAGAATCCAGGACTGAAGGCGATGCAACCCTCCTGGGTTGTCTCCATTATTTGGCCATGATTGGGCCAAAGCGATCCAGGCTGCAGGAAATAACTTGAGTACCACCGTTTGTTATAATTGCAGAGACATGGAATTCAAGCCCCAAACGCAGGCAGGGACTGACTCACCCCTTCCCACCCACCACTTTCACTTCTCTCTCGCGCCACGGAAACAGCACTGAGTTGGCGGCAATCTTTTCACACTCGGCAGGCTCAGCAGGGGGCCTGTTCTGGAGCCCCTCACCATCCGGTGAAGCTGGTAGATGGAAGGGATCCATACGACACGCGTGGAAGGCGGCTGGAGGTCACCCAGTGAGAGTCTGGCTCCTCTCCTGAGGCTGGGGACTCCCCTGGGGGAAAATACAGGCCTCCCCTTCAGCAGACCCCAAAAGTCAGCCCTCCTTTAAGGAGGAAATGGGCCAGCCAGTGCTGGGGGAAATGGGAGACATTCCTCTCTGCCTGCCTGACTCCAAAGGAGGACACGCTTCCCTCTGAAGACAAATCAAGATTGCTCAGAGAAGTCAATGCGCCCCCAAGGGGTGTCTATCCTGGCAGTCTCAACAGCATGAGAGTGGCCTCTGCAAAGAGGGAGCTCAGGATTCCTCCTCTTCCTCCTCCTGTTTTAACATATCACCGTCCTCAGAAAACTCTTGGGTCAGTCACTCCCAAGGATCCTCCTCTAAATCAATGCAAACTCCTTCGCTGCTTTCCCACCAAAGAACTCCCATCCTTCAGGCCACCAGGAAGTGGATCCTCTGGTGGTGGTGGTGGGGGGGGGGTGTCGCCAGAGACTTAATACTTCTGCAGTATTTGTGTTCCCTAACGGTTACTCCGGTGATGGTCCCAGGAGGAATTAAACGGTCGATTAAAACCACTCCAAGCAAGCAAAACTGGCCTTGGACCAGTTCTCCGAGGAGACCGCTCCCGAAATGGGCATCTCTGCCTCGACATACGCAGAGCCGTGCTGGCTTCCCTGGTGGGGGTTGGGGGTCGGGGCAGAGCTCTCTGCCCACCAGCTACCCAGAGGGAGGTGCCCATCAGGACCCAAAGGCTTGGTGGCACTTTGCAGGACCAGAAGCCTCCTGAGCTTGGAGCCAGAGAAGGAAAGGGCCGTCCCCTGGGACGCCGATGAGACCCCCTCAATGAGACCCTTTCCCAAGGCAGGTCTGGTCCTGCACTGCCCACCTTCTTCCCCTGCACCCCCCCATCCCATTCCCAGCTAAACTCTTAATCCTCTCTCCCGGATTCCAATCAAGAAACGAAACCATTAAGTAGGTTTCCTTTCGGACACGGGCAATGCAATGTCAGGCTTGCTGATTGTCTTGTTCCAGACCCTTCCGTGGAAGAAGGCAATGAAGTCATACTTGGCACCTTCACAGCATTCCCAGGGCAGGCAGGGGGAGCGAAATCTGAAGCCAGAGGACAATCCAGAAGCTTTTCCATGGGAAGGCAGGTAGATCTGCTCTTCGGGCAGCCCGGATAAATTCTGGCTCTGAAATTCTGGATAAATTCCAAGCAAGCAGGCCAGGTCACTAGCAATGCCCCCCCACAAAGCCCCAAGGTATCCCCCACAACTTTTCCAAGGGACTGAAGGGCTTCTACACAGAAGGAACCTGCTTGACTGAGTGGCCTCTCCCGTCCCCCTCCCTCCCTCCCTCCCTCCATCCGCTCCCCCCACCCCCAGGAAGCTCATCTCCAGCATTTCAAAGGGCTGGCAAGGGGCCCACCAGGCTCTTCCAGGGATTTGAAAAGTGCCAAATGTGGGAGGCACAACCAGGGTGTGGCGTCTGAGGAACAAGCATGTTCCCCCAGTTGCACACATGAGCTCATTCCTCTTCCCACATCTAGTACCCTGATTAGGTGCCCAACCTGCACTGTTGGGCAGCCTCCGGGAGGGGAGGGGAGGGGAGGGGAGGGAAACACCATTTGCACTGGGGGTCTTTGGGGGCCTTGTCCCACCCTTCCCCCTGCTATTTCAGACGTGCTACTCGAAAAGCGCACCAGTTCCTACCGTTTAAGGTAATGAGGAGGCTTGGAAACGCCCTTCCAGCCACCCAGAGCTCACGGTCGGTGGTGCCATGGTTTGTAAACCCAGCATCCTGGCTCTGAAGAGGGTCCCAGGGATCCTCTTCCCTTCAGAGTTCTCCCACAGCCTTTAACATTCAGGTAGATTGCTGCAGGGCATGGAGGTTTCCCCTCTTACATGGCGGAGGAGAAATAATCAATGAAACCACAGAATTCACAGCAGCCCCTTTTAGAAGCCGGGGAACTGCAGGGGGAGCCTTTTCCCCTTCAAAACAACCAAATAAAAAGAAAATGGCATAAATGTTGATCAATTGCTTAAGCCTTTCCTCCCCCCCCCAAAAAAAACGTGGGAAAAGTGATGAAAGAGCCAACCCCCCCTCCCTGGGGACATTCTTCTACTTTATATTCATAAAGCAGGTTTTTCCTTCTCTTGTGCCAGTGCCAAGCTGCCCTTGATAATGTTTAACCCAATGCAGAGTCCGTTGGTGGTATCCCAGGCTAGGACCCCTCCCTTCCTCCCCCCACAACAGTGGCTTTCCTCCTGGCACCGGAAAAAGAGCCGCGATGCACCCAGAATTCCAGGCTGATCCATGCAGGGAACCGGTTTGGCAACGTCTCCCTGGCCCAAACTTCCCCCTCTTCTGCTGATGCAGGTGCCCATCTGCCCAGTTCCAAATTCCCCCTTTGGTGACCAGACCTGCTCCGGATCTCCCAGAATTCCACAGGGGAAGGCTGCCATACTAGATGGAGCACGGAGGCAAAGCACCTTTTTAAAAAAACAAGGATGCAGTCCACATGGAGGACCAGGGCAGAAAATGATTGCCAAAGGATCAGAGTAACGTTCCACAATTGTGTTATGCTACAATTCCTATCACCTGGGTCGGACTCGGGAATGATGGGGTTTGCAGTCCAAAAGACCTGGGAGAGGTCTAGGCTACCAAATTTAAGGAAAAGGGTTGTGGGGGAGGGGGACCTTTTGCCAATTAGCATTTTGAAAATTAGGAAATGCCTCAGGGAAAGAAAGGTGGGTGCCCCCCCCCCCGTCCATGAGAGGTTTCCCACAGCCGAAAGTTTAGCTTGGAAGCTGTTTTGGGGCAGAAAATAACTGTCTCCCTTATGTAATTCTGCCAAATCGTCATGGGCTCCGATTGCTTTGTAAATAAAGACAGAACCAATCCTTCTTTTTTCCTTCCCTCCCCCTCCTCTCTCCTTCTCTCTCTCCCTCTCCTGCTCTCTCTCCCCCTCCTTTTCTCTCTCTCTCTCTCTCTCCCCCACTCCTCTCTCTCTCCCCCTCCTTCTCTCTCTCTCTCTCTCTCTCTCCCCTCCAGCTTCACCATCTCTTAAAGGTGGGGGCAACCACTCTCCAGAGAGCCCCATCCCGCTAAGCAGAACCCCCAGGGACAGAGACAACCAATCTTGGGCAGAGCGAGCAATAGCCTGATGGGCTGCTTAGGCCTGTGGGCACCAAGGAAAGGCCCACCCGGCCCAGCATTCTGGCCACGGACCTCCTTTCCTTTCTGGGGGAGCGGGACCAAGATCTCCATTCCCTGGGGATGATCGGAGAGTGAGCTCAGCACAGAAGCTGGCAAGAGCCCAGTAGTTCTCCGGTGCTACAGAGGACAACGGAGGGCCAAGCGGACTCCTCTCTTGCGGCTCTTCCATCTCCCCCCCACCGCCAGAATATAAAAGTCGGGAGCCCCCAATAGATGCTTGCAAGACACAGGCAGTCTGCACCCCCCAAAATGCCACCCAGGAACAGATCTCTTCCTCCGCTCCTTCTGCTTCCCCAGAAATACACCCACAGCTCGCAGATCCCCAACCAGCCTCCCACTTGTGCCAGTCAAACAGGTTCAGAAAACAGCAGGAAGCCGAAACCCCCCGCGGGGTCTGGGAGCTGCAAACACCCTTCACCCGGGCAGGGCTGGGCAGCATCCTCTTTGCCCAGGCCGACCTCCCGGCTTTCAGCACCGGCGCCCCAAGCCTTCGCGCGCGCACCTGCCCGCAACTCCCGGGCCGACCCCCGCCCAGCTCCGCTGCTCCTGTGGGCGCCGGCAAAAGGGGCGCAAGAGAGCGGGGTTGGCGCAGGACGGCGGCGGGGAGCCCCTCGCCTCCAGTTACCTTGAAGGCGGGCGGGTCCTGCACGTTCTTGGTGGGCACGCAAAGCAGGACGAGTCCCGCCACGGCCGCCAAGCACAGCGCGCCCAGCGCCGCTACCACCGCCTTCTTGGGGCTCATGCTGCCGCCACGCGCACTGCTCCTACTCCGCTCCCGAGCCGGAGCCGAAAGCAAAGCCGGGAGCCCCGAAGCGCCGCCTTCTTCGCGGCCCGGGGAAGGGCTGCTCCGAGAGGCGAGGCAGGTGAGCCTCCCGCCTCCTCCTCCGAGAGGCCAAGTTGCCCAATCTGCCTCCAGAAGGAGGAGGAAGAGGGGGCGTGGAGAGGCTCCCTCTTCCTCCTTGGAAACCGCAGGTCTGAGGAACTTCCACACGGAGGAGCAGCCTATCTCCCCGGTACTGAACATGGGGGGGTGGGGAGGGAGTGCGCTGCAAGACAACCTGCGAAAAGTTAACCCACCTTTGGACTTGGCACTTCAGGATCAGTTGTCCCCACCTTAGCCCTACCCAAGTTCAGCTATTGTGTGGAGGCAGGTCTTTGCCAGGTCTTTGGCTTGCAACTCTCTTAGGTCCTCAGCCTGCATTTCCATCCTCAGTCCCTACCCGGCCCCCCCCCGGGGGGAAATGACTGGGGAAAATGGTGCAGAGGCTTATTAGGAGCAGCCTAAGGTTGATGGTTGGCACCAGGAGCTGCTGAGCTCATTTTCCCAGGCCAAGCAGAGCCAGCCCTGTGCCTGGGACTCCCAGGGAGCTCTTCCCTACTGGACGTTTGTTTGTTTCTCTCCACTCTCCTCTAATGAGATGGACATGCACTTTTGGGTTTTTTTAAATTATTATTATTATTTCCTCTGGAAATAAGCCTTTCGCCACCAGAGCTCGGGAAACACTTCTGGAAGGGAGCACTCAAGTCCACTTGAGGAACAAAGCAAGCCGAAAAGAGAGAGAGAGGAAGAGAAGCCGCAGAGACAGTCTTGAGAAATCGCCTCTCCAGATGGCTTTGAAGTCCTCCGAGGGAACGCTGGCAAACGGCCTAAGAATGAGGATGCTGTGAGACAGACAGACCTCCCCAAGAAGGCCCTGCCTCTTACATCGCCCTTGCCTGGTCCAGCAATGGACCCTGCTTGAAATCCCGGGTTTCAAGAAAGACGTTTACAACCAGCCTGTCTGCAGCAGGATGGGGAAAAGACCCTCAATGCCCTCCATGCCAACTCAATGAGCAGAGAAGGAGAACAAACCAACCTTTGTAGCATAAAATACCCCTCCCCCTGTGAGACTTACTATTTATAGTGAGTTCCCTCGCATTCTCTAGTTTGTTCCCTTCTTCCAAACTTAGATGCCAGCCACACAAAACATTAACGTTTCTATGGAAAGAATTTGGAAGCAGAAACACTCTCAATAATGCCCGGGGTGCCCCTTCTTGGCATTTCCACTTGGACAGAAGTCCAAGGGGTCTTTTGAGGCTAACTTCTCTGGGACAAAAGACTATTATCCTCAGTGTCTGACCACATCCAAGGAGACAAGGAGCATCTTGGGCAGAGATGCCCCAACTGGGCAAGACTGAAACAGTCTGGCTCAAAAGTTTCCAGGAAGGCTGCTCAGATGCCTTCAAGATGCCCACTAACAAGAGAGAGACCAGCCTGGGTTTGTTTTCTCCAGAATTTGGTCAAGAAAGATTCTCAAGGACGTTTCTTCTTCATAATAGTCCTTTGTCTGAATGCCTGGCCTCCTTTTCTTTTCCTTCTTGAAAGACCCAAATTCTGGGAAGAAGAGAAGGGTGGAACTCATTCTGACTTTAGCAAAACATCTGCGATTATATGAATGGGCGCAAAGCCAAAGCAACATTGGACCACTGGATAAGAGAGGTCCTGCTATCCGTCCTCAACTTGAATTTAAGAGTGGAGGAAGCCAAGAGAATAAGGGAATTTGAGTTGGGGGGTGAGGTGGGGCAGAAGCCCAGATTTCTGCATTAAGCCTGACTCTGCAGAACTGGCTTCTTCCGGCCTTAACATCTGGAATGCCTTCTCGATGACGATCAGGCAGTAAGTCAGGGAATTTATGCACCAAAAGTTTTGCGAATGGCCACAGCTCCTCCATGCTCAGATGCAGTTAAGCCCCCAAAGGGTAGATTTACCCAGGTAGCACGACTGTAGTGTTATTATTATTATTATCCTCATTTTCTACCCCCTTTAATTGGTATTATTATTATAATTATTATTACTTTGTTGCTTTGCATGTACACTGAGAACTTCTGCACCAGAGACAAATTCCTTGTACTGTATGTCTAATCACACTTGGCCAATAAAATATTCTAGTTCTGTTTCTTTAAAAAGGGAGGAAGAAGATGGTGGACCATTCTCAAAGGGTCTCCAGTCAGCAGAGCAGACTCCCCCTGGATTTCCCAGAAAGAGGGGGCTTCTCCCTCCTGCTCCCCCCAAAGCAGCATCTGCAGCCTCATTTTGCAGGGTTTGGCTATGCCATTGTCAAGGCTGTTTGGCTTTTCCTTCAAGAGTCCCCTTTTCATGGAAGGAGCAAAAGGGCAGCAGGGGACCCCTTGATCCAGAAGCCCCCTCCCCATAGGAATGAAGAATTGCTGGTCTGGCAAAAGGCAGCTTCTATATCTGGGGGGGGGATTTTCCTGCAAAACAGCAGGAGATGCTTCCTGGCCAAATTCAGTTGCAGCAAAGGGCGAACTGGCCAGAGGTTGGAATGCATTCACAAGGAATGGAGGATATTTTGGTGCTGGGCCTTTTCACGACTTACTTCAAGCTCAGTTTCTTCCCCTTTTGGGAGCCTAGCAGGGTCCCTCACAGCCTTAAATCCCGAGAGGCACTTAGCCATAAAAGGGGCTCCTTCGCTTGAAAGGCTGCCCTGACCTCTCAGTCTTGGGGGCTGGTAAAAAGAGCAACAGTTCTGCAGCTTTGGAACAGGGGAGTTCTGTTCTCTTAGCCTCCTGCTAGCAAGTGTGAAACGTAGAGTCAATGGAGGATCTTTGGTGCTCTCTGAGCTCTGTGGTTTTCTCGCAGAGGTTTAGTTACCCAAACTAGGTAACATCATCAGTGGGTCATGAAACCTCTGCGAGAAAACCACCAAACTCATTTCGACCCTGAGCTACACATATTCTCCTTTATCGGTATAATCCACCATTCCAGGCTTCCTTCAGTTCAGAGGGTAAAACGCCAAAGGATGCTGCAGGTTGAGGCAGATGGTGAGCGAGGGCTCTTCAGCCGTTCACTCTTCCTTGGTGATCTTGGGGTTTGTCTGGGAAAGAGATTACTCTTAACTAGAATGTCATCCCAGATGTTCCGACTTTGCTCTTGGCTTCATGCGTGGGTTTGTGGCTTAGCGCGATACAAGAGGGCCTTCATAGCACATCTGGCCTAGAGCCTGGGCCATGTTTCAGGGGTGGGGGTGGGGGGCTCCCAGGTTGCTATGGAATTAATAAAGGGGCCACAAACCAGGTGGGAGCCCGGTTGTTCCCCCTGCATTCTGGCTGGCTGATGATAAACAGAGGAACGTGTTGGAAAATGGCAGAAACAAAAGGACATTGAAAATAGACCCATTCCTGGCCAAGTCTTGCAACATAGGTTAAGCCATAAGCGCATGTGGGTGGGGCAGGACTGTGGGCAGTGAACCAGCCCCCCCCTCTTCTCCCCCACCCCGCCCAGCAGTTCTGGGAGGACAAAGAGATCTGGTTTCTGGAGCCAGAGCAAGCTGTCCACGGTTGTTTCTGGACTGCTGCCTGGGACACGTGACCCTCCCGCCTTGATGCTCCCTGTGGGGAGAAGCCCCAAGGTCGGGGGAGTTGAAGATCTGGGTCTCTCGCCCGAACTGGGCCTCTTCCGCTCTACTTTTCCTCAGAAGGACCCTGCCTTGCATTGAAAAGACAAAAAACCTCCACAAAAATAGGAATTGTTTTTCCAGGAATGAGCAGCTGATGGGGAGCCTTCTAGGTTTATCCCACGCCTCCCCTCTCTTCCCCAAAGTTCAGTGCAAAAATCCTGATGCCTCGATCCATAACTTTAAAAAGATTATTCTCTTCATTCCCTGAAAAACTCATTTTTGAAAGTAAGCGATCCAGTTGATTAAACACAGATCCTTAACTTGGTCCTTGCTTCCTTCTCGAGGAAAAATCTCTCCTGCGGCTAGAATTTTTTTTATTTTAACTTTATCAGCATCTCTTAAACAGACTCAGCCACACACCCCAATCTCTTTTGGGCATCTGATTTCAGGCTAAAGCCCCTCCGGACCCCTTTGATCTATGCCAGGCACTAATATAAAAGCAACAGCAAAATAAGGTTTAGCTTTTTTTATTTGGATCTTGCACGATGAGAAAACGAACACATGCACTGTATTTTAAAAAAACACATCCTCAAAAATGCTACACAGAAAAAGAAAACTACACACAGTGTTTATTTGTAAACATAAGAGACCTCTGTAGCAACTGGAGGGAAAGTCAGAGAGTCCTTTGGCAGCTTCCTCTTATAATGAAAAACAGCTAGTTCTAAGCAGCCTGTCAGCTGAACACGCCTGTGGGGTGGGGGTGGGGGGGCTTCTCTCCCAGCGCGAAGGAAACCAAGCAGATTCTGAAGCTTTTCTGTTACACAGAGGAAGTGCACCCACACATATGCCCTTCCACGGGCAGAGTTTGGAGTAGAGCAGCATGGAAATATCAGCCATAAAAATAAAATTAAAAAATGCCCAATTCAGCCAAAGGCCCAGGCGCAAAAGAGAGTCCGTGTTCATTCTAAGAGGTGAGAATCGGGACACCTGGGGGTCTGACAGGACCCCTACATTTTTTGAACATCCAGGAGTGTTGCAGTCAGGGAGGGGGCTTCCTTGGGGCAGGATAGTGGGAGTCTCAGCCCCACTCCTGACCCTGCAAAGCACCCATTGAGAATATCCTTTCCCAGAGATGGGGCCGCGACGCCTCCTGCTGGCCGTGGGGTGCGGAAGGGCTGGCTTGCAAAGAGAGCGGGTGGATAGGGCCCCGGTTCTTCTGCAGCCGCCCCCTCACCTCCCCCCATGGGAGATGTCCAGTCTCTGGGGGAGGGGATGCCCCAGAAAGAGGCAATTGGTGTCCAGAGGCTAAATGAAGGTGGAATCCAGCTGGTTGCTGTCCTTGGTACTTTCTGCCCGGGCTCCAAAGAGCTGCTTGATGAGGGCCGACTTCTCCTGCTCCAGCTGGGTGATCCGGTGGCCTTTGTCCGTCACCTCCTGGGGTGGGGGTGGAGGGCAAAGCGGTGTTAGCAAAGCACCGTTGGGGCCTCCCTCCCACCCACCGGCAAAAGTGGGGGGGGGTTCTGCTTCCCACTGACCTTGGTGAGGAGCCTGTTCTGTTCTTTCAGCATGTTGATGGTCTGTTGTGGCCCTACAGATGGGGAGGGGCCCAGCAGAGTGGCAGGCGGGCTGTGCGAGGCGGTGGGGCTTGAGCTCCCAGGCTGAAGAGAAAGGGGGCTTAAGCGAAAAGGACATAACAGGTTTCTAGTCCACATGGGCAGCAGGGCCTTGCCCCAGGCAAACACCAGCAAAGTTTATTTATTTTATTTGTACGATTTCTCCGACAGGGTAACTCCCACCCCACCTCCACCCCCGTCCCCCGTCCCAATTCCCCATTGCACCACCAGGATCCTCACTTTGGCCGAGAGGGAGAGCAGCTGCCAGAGGCACTGGTTCAGCTTCTGTACTTGGGGGAAGAGATGGTTGAGCTGCGCCAGACTTTCGTCTTCCTGTTGAGAAAAAAAGGGGGGGGGTTTCTGTGGTTGGTGCCCTCTGAGCAGGCTGGGCAGCCCTCCCCTTCCGGGTGATGGTTCCAGCGTCCTCAAACCCGCCTCTTGCCCTCACCTGGCGACCTTTGCTTCGTGCCAGCTGCTTCTGGTGCCCCTGCAGGCGATGGAGCTGCTGGTGGTACCAGCTCCGGACCTCTTCGACCAGCTCCAGCCCCTGCAGCAGGAAGTCCTTCTCCTTCTCCAGCTCCTTCATCTGCTTCAGCTGCCGGGAGATACAGAGGGGGCAAGGGCGTCAGCAGGCAAGGCCCTTCATCTCCATAACCCTCCAACTGCGAGACGAGAGGGCATGACGGGCGCAGGCGCCGCTCCCCGGTTGGGCACACTCTGGATTTGCTTTAAACTACAGTTCCCATTGCTCCCAGTGCACTACCGGGGAGGCAACCCAAGCTGTAGTCCAGCAGGCCAGCTCGGGGAGCATCCCTCCGCCTTGCCAGCTCTTCTGCCAGGTGGGGACGGAGGTGGGGGCACAGGAGTGGGAATACCATCTCGTAGTCCACTCCGTGGGTGATAGTGTGTCTCCGCCGTTCCCCTCGAAGGCTCAGCTGCCTCCGGGGCTCCTTGCAGGGACCCTTGTTTCCCAGCTGCTCCCTCGGCTTCCGGCTCCCATCGGCCTCTCCCGCTGCAGAGGGGAAGAGGAGGGGGAGAGTTTAAGGGGAGGGGGAGGGGTCCTTGGTAAACCCACCACTCACAAGGAAGCAGCAATTTTGATCCTTTCTTCCCCTTTCCCCCTTTTTTCTCCCAATTCACAACTCCTTTTGCAATCTGCCCTCTGACGGGTGCTCTTTCTCCTAGGTACAGATCCCCCCCCCCCCCCATGAATCAGGTTTTTCCCCTTCGTGTCCCACCAGGGAGCCCCCCACCCCTCCGCAATTAAACCTAGATTGTTTGGTCTGAACTAGGCCAGGGGTCACCTAAATTCATAATTTCGAATCTCCTGGACCACTAATACGAATGTTTAAAACAGATAAATAGTATTTAGTGCAATATTAAAACTGCAAATCATTTTTCTGGTGACCGCCGAGCTAGGGGAGAGAAGAACTCTGCCCAGGGCCGCGGAGCTCTGGGTCCCTCACCGGCTCTCTTGCCCTGCAGCTGCTGCTCCGCCTGCCCGCCGTGGCTGCTCCGCTCCAGGCTCCGCGGGGCGCCGCCGCATGTCAGGGGCGGGTCGGCGGGGGGCCCGGGCGCTGGGGCCGCCGCTTTCCCTCCGGAGGGCTGCTCGGGGCCCAGGAGCGACAGCCGGAGCCCCAGCACGAAGCGCTCGAAGGTGAGGTAGCCGCTGGCCGGAGCCGCCCGGCGCAGCCCCTCCAGCACCCCCGGCGGCAGCGGCCCCGCTTCCCCGCCCGGCTGCAGCCAGCGCGACTCGATCTCCCGCAGGTGCACGTAGCCCCGGCGCCGCTCGTCCAGGATGTCGTAGAGCGGGCGGAGGCTCTGCAGGAAAGCCCGCGGGGGACCCTCCGCGCTGCGCTCCGGCGCCATCGGGGCTCGGCCGGCGGACAAAGGGGCGTGACGTCAGCGGCCCGGCGCTCATTGGCCGCCTGCCCCCAGCCCTCGCCGCCCATTGGCGGAGCCGCCCCGCGAACTGGTTTGATTTCGCGGCGGCAGCGGAGGAGCCCGAAGTGGCGGCCGGAGCCCCCCGACGCCCCCGGCCCCGAGATGCCGCGCAGGGCGCCTCCTTCGGCCGCTCCGGGGCGGCGCTGCTTGCCCCCCGCCCTGCCCTGGCGCCAGCGGCTGCGGCCGGGGCAACGGGGCTGGGGCTCCGCCTGGGCGGCCGGGGCGGGGCCGGCGGCTGAGCCCAGCGGCTGAGCGGAAGGGCGCCTGGTGGGTCGTGGCTCCGTCCCCCGCTCCGGCCTCCCCGCCGCGCCCGGCCATGGAAGAGGAGCTGCGGGGCCGCTTGGAGCGCGCCGGGCAGCCCCACCTGCTGCGCTTCTGGGCCGAGCTGGGGCCGGCGCAGCGGGAGGCGCTGCTGGAGCCCGAGGAGCTGGCCGAGCATTGCCGCCGGGCGGCCCAAGCCTGCGCCCGCCACCAACGGCCCAGTCCCGGGAAGCTGGAGGGCCGCATACAGCCCCTCCCGCCCGAGCTGGTGGGCGGCGTCGGCAGCGGCGACCCGGCGGCTCTGCAGCGGTGGGAAGAGGAAGGTGGGCGCGCCCGCCAGGGGGGCCTTTTGCGGGCCTGGCCTGGCACCGGGCCCACCGCCGTGCCTGCCTGGCAAGGGAGCTGAGTTTAGGGGGGGTCTCTCGAGAGAGGTGGGCTGCTGCCAGCTGGACCTTCTGTCTTGCAGGCCTCCGCCAGATCTCCCAGGGCAAAGTGGCGGCGCTGCTGCTCGCTGGCGGGCAAGGGACGCGTTTGGGGGTGGCCTACCCCAAGGGCATGTTCGACGTGGGCCTGCCCAGCCACAAGACCCTCTACCAGATCCAGGCCGAGAGGATCCGCAGAGTGGAGCAGCTGGCAAGCCAGAAGTTTGGCTCGCCGTGCCTGGTGCCTTGGTGGGTCCTGCGGCTCTTAAGCGGTGGCAGAAAGGGATCGGGTGGGAAATCTGCTAACGCCGGGCACCTGGCTTCTCTTGCAGGTACATCATGACCAGTGAGTTCACGCTGGGGCCGACGGAGAAATTCTTCCGGGATCACAATTATTTCCACCTGGACAAGTCGAACGTGATCATGTTTGAGCAAAGGATGCTGCCGGCGGTGACCTTCGATGGGAAGGTGATCCTGGAGGAGAAGGGCAAGATCGCCATGGCGCCAGGTGTGCGGCTCTCTTCTGGCGCTGGGTGGGCCTTCCGGGACTTTCTCTGCAGTTTCTCTGCACTCGTTTTTGATAGGAGTTTCGTATATCGAAGCCACTTCTGGAACAAGGGACCCACGGTAGCTGAAGGTAAGCGGGAACTGGAGGGGTAGAAAGCCGTTGCTTGCTCCTGTGTTGCAGATGGCAACGGTGGCTTGTACCGCGCCCTGGTGGACCACAAGATCCTGGAGGACATGCAGCGACGGGGCGTCCAGTTCGTCCATGTCTACTGTGTGGACAACATCCTGGTCAAAATGGCGGATCCCGTCTTCATTGGCTTTTGCGTCTCCAAAGGAGCCGATTGTGGTGCCAAGGTGAAAGGGTTGTGCAGCCTGGTTTAAGCCCAGCCTCTTTCGGTGCCGCATCTCCCGGAATGAACGACCCCTTAATCCTGCCCTTGCAGGTGGTGGAGAAAGCCTACCCCGCCGAGCCTGTCGGGCTGGTGTGTCGCGTGGACGGAGCCTTTCAGGTGGTGGAGTACAGCGAGATCCCTGCGGAAACAGCCGAGAAACGCAGTCCTGACGGTCGCTTGGCCTACCGGGCAGGAAACATCTGCAACCATTTCTTCAGCCTCGACTTCCTTTGGGAGGTAGTGGAGTAAGTCCCCTCTCCCCCCCTCCCCCTCCAAAGCAGCACCGAGGGGGCCCAAGAGCAGGGTGAGATTGCCAGGAGCAAAGACAACGGAGAACCTAATGGGATCCAGGAAGGGGGAGAGAACGAGCTCCCTGCTTTTAATCTGGAAATTGACGGCTGTCGGAGGTAGTTTAACTGCTCTGCCAAACCGCCAGTCAGCTGAGTATTATTCAGAAGGCGAAAAAAACTAAGCGTGTCTGAACAAACCACAGAAAAGGCCTCCCAGTATTAAAATTATGAAACGGTTTTCAGGGAAGAGCTCTTTTCCCTTCCAGGGTTGAAAAAACTTTCCAGGCTGCCTGGGAGCACATTGGATCTCCCATGGGGGCTGTTGCTTCTTGGTGTGGGGAGGCCGGGGATGGTCCTGGGCCGCTTTGGGGCCGGGTTTCCTGAAGACAGTCCTGGGCTTAGGAAGATGTCTGGAGAGGAGGAACCCCCATTGGCAGATGCCGTTCTCTCCTCTCCAGGCAATTCGAGTCGCAGCTGACGCCCCACGTGGCCATCAAGAAAGTGCCTTACGTGGACGAGGAAGGCCGTCGGGTGGAGCCGCTCGAGCCCAACGGGATAAAGCTGGAGAAGTTTGTGTTTGATGTGTTCCCGTTTGCTAAGTTAGTGGCCGGTGCCTCTCTCTCCTTTTCTTTGGGCCTGGGGCCTCCAAAGTGGAACAGAAGGGAGTGGGGTGGCAGAGAGGGGTCTGTGCAGCCTTCCAAGTTTCTGCATTAACATAAAGTCTGTAGAAGCATTGCACACACTGGCTGATCCGGGGCCCCTCCCTATTTCAGAGGTGTCCTGCACAGATCAGTGGGTCACATTAAGGCGCAGGGGGGAAACTTGCTCTTGGGGTAGGTAAACCTGTTCTGCGTTGGGAGCTGAAAGGAGTGCTGCCATCGTGAGCAGCTGAGCCAGAATTTTGCATGGCAAACAGGTGGCGAGAACATCCATCTTTGTGGGTATCTCAAAGATCTATAATAATATAAAGGAACGAAGTGATGTGGGTATCGCCTCAAATGTTTAACTAGCTTGGCATTGCCAAATGAAACGACTGTGTAGAATTAAACCATCTGTTGGCCAATTTTAAGCACCCAACTCTTTGTTCCTGGGTTGACAGAAACTTTGTCGCCTTTGAAGTCCTGAGAGAAGAGGAGTTCTCCCCGCTGAAGAACGCAGACACGGCTACCAGAGACACTCCGACCACGGCACGACGTTCCATTCTCTCTCAGCATTACCGCTGGGCCCTCAAGGCGGGGGGCAGATTCGTGACGGGGGACGGGCAGCCGATCCCGCAAAAGGAGAGGTGGGATTGCTTGGCTTGATCGGCCCGGTTGGGCACGAGGCTTGGCAGGGGTGAAGGGGCAGCCTTGGCTTCCTGCTGCAAAGTCCTGGGTTCGCAGCTATGGTTGGGTTTTGGTTTAGTACGTTGTGTGAATCGGCTGCGTGTCTGAGTCAACCATCGAGGCTTTGTGAACCACCTGCAAAGTGTTCCTTTGATGAGTAGGACGGGAATGTTTTAAAGTTAAGTCAATATTGATTTTTACGATTTAAATCGGGGATATTAAAACAAGTGTAACTATTTACCAGACACCCATGAAAAGGAGACTTGAATGGTTAACAATTAATATAAAAACTCTCCATGTTCAGTGGCAATTCAGTTGAATTGGATACATTACATACTATTTAAATCTAGAATCTAGAATTATTATCCCAGTCCCAGATAGTAGATTTGGTTATTCCAGGAAATACACTTCAATGCATTTGGATCTTTATTATCCTCCAGCGTGTTGCGTTTGTGTGTTTGTGGAGAGCCTTAAATGTTTTTGCTTTCCTGTCATTCTCCAGTTTCTCCCAAGACGAGGAACCGCCTGCTGTGTGCGAGATCTCACCTCTAGTCTCTTACTTTGGAGAGGTCAGAAAATTATTATTCTCCGTTGAGCTCCAAAAGGGTTAAATATCTGTCGCTTTATAAAAGGAACAACTTTGGGCAGGTTTTTTCACTGACTCAGGAATAAGGGCAGCAGAATCCTTTGTAAACATATACTCATTGGGGGGTTTTTTTTCTTTGCAAAACATGGAAAGAGCCAGAATTTAGCAGTAGAAACTTTGCTATGCATGTAAAGAATGCTAATATTGAATTAGGCCTGGTGCACTTACGAACCCTTCCCTTGGTTTGTAAACATTTTTTAAGAGCACGTGATTGGTGCCCTAAAGTGAAACAGCAGCCTGGTTAGGCCTCTATCTGCAAAAAGCCTGAAAAATATATAAAAGAATTGATGAAAAATAATGTGAACAAGGGAGGTAGAAATGTGTGGATACGGGGAAAACCCACAGTATGTATAAAGTAAATAGAAAAGGACTGATTTTAGAAATAAAAGATGGATAATCAAAACAAAATTTCTCCACCATCATTAATTGCTAGTTTAATTCTATTTTATCACAGTGTTCATCTCCACCCTTTGGGTTTTTCTTTAAGGTGTCTTAAAACAATCCCCCACATTCAGTGCGTCCAACTCTTTTTTTGCAGGGGCTGGAAAAATATATGCGGGGCCAAAACCTTCCATCTCCGTTTCTTCTTGATGAAAGCAAAGCTGAGCTCTGAGCTTTGGCTGAAGCTGGATGGCTCCATTTTGGAAAAAAGGTCAATATTTTTTTTAAAAACTAAAGCAATTCTTTTTAGAAAAAAAAAGTAATTTTGAAAAAGAGCGCTTTCAGAACCAAGGCAAGTTTGCCTTCCTGGAGGAAGGTCGGAAAAACGACCGGTTATCTGAGAATCTTTCTTCATATTAAAATGAATTTTAAAAGCAACCCTGACCAGGTGTGATCCTTGTTTCCGGTGGAGATTTGATCAAAGGAAGGGGGCGCTGGTTTTAATGCCACATTATGTCTTTTGATGCTCCTGTCGGCTTCTCTTCATCCTCCTTAGAAGTCTAAGAATTGGCCAGGAAGGAGGGCAGCGTAGAATATGAAGCAGGGCTCTTCTCTGGGAGAATTCTGGGAGTCTTAAAGCTGCCAAGTTTGAAGACCTCTGATATAAAGCATCAGGCTGGATCACGAGGAACAAAATATGAGATTTGGGGAAGGAAGGGAGGGGATGCCTTCAAGGAGTCACGTGGAGCCACTTCCTAGAGTGTTATTGACTGTGCGTCTCCCAGTGAAGGCTAGAGGGCGCTGTGGCAACTTTTAACCTCTCCAAGAAAGGAGGGACTCCGCGGCGTCTTAGCGCGGCCGCTCTAGTCTCTCCCTCTCGGTGCCGCGGACAGCAACAGGAAGAAACATGGCGGCGGGCGGAGGGGAGCTCCGCGGCTCCTGAAGGAAAACCGTTCGCCGCCATGTACTCGGCCGCCTCCTCTTCGCCGCCGCCGCCGTCGCCGCTCCTGTCACCCCCGCGGCGGGATTTCATCTCGGTCACGCTCAGCGGCGGCCAGTTCCAGACGGCGGGCGGCGGCGGCGGCGGCGGCTACAACAACAGCAAGGCCTGGCGGAGGCGTTCCTGCTGGCGGGTGAGAGGAGCCATAGAGTCGGGATGGGGCAGAGGGGCTCCGCGGCGCCCTCTAGGGGAGAGGCAGCGGGCGGGAGCGGCTTTTGCCGCGCGCCCCCCGGCGGCGGGGTAGGAACTGCAGCGCCTGGGCCATTGCGGGAGGACTGAACTGGGGCCGCTGCAGGATTGGGGGGGGGGGGAACCCAAGAGGTCGAGCCCTTCCTGGTCTGATTAGCTGGGGCTGGGGCTGGGGCTGGGGGTGCTAGGGCTGGGTGGGGCGGCCCTGTCGGCCCCTTGTTGGAGCGCTCCTGCGGGCTGGGAGGTGCTGACGTGGGCGTTTGGGGTTTGCTGTCCGAGGGGCGGTGCTGAAAAGGCGGCCAGCCAGCCAGGCTTAACAGACCAGAAAGCCTCGTTCCTCTCGCAGGGTTGGCTTTGGAAGGTGACCTCAGATCCTTGTCAGTGGCAGTCAGCAGAGTAAACCCCTTTCCTCCATGGATTGTAACAGGATTAGCCACCATAAATACAGAACAGGATAGAAATTCTTTATTGGCCAGGTGGGATTGGACGCACAAGGGATTTGTCTTTGGTGCAGAAGCTCTCCGTCTAACATGAAAAGACAAGATTCATTCGTCGAGAATCATAAAGTACAACCCTTAGTGATAGTCATGATTAAGCAATCGAATCATACTAGGAAACAATATAAATTGCAAGGATGCAGCAACAAGTTACAGCCATGCAGTCATAAGTGGACAGAGATAGATACTAGTAAAGAAGGGAAGATTAATAGTAATGCAGACTTAGTGAATAGTTTGACAGTGTTGAGGGAATTATTTGTTTAGCAGAGTGATGGGAAAAAACTGTCCTTGTGTCCACTTGTTCTGGTGTGCAGTGCTCTGTAGCGTCGTTTTGAGGGTAGACAATACAGTCTGGAAGGACCCCTGTTGGTTGCAGATCAAAGAGTGTGATTCCCATGGCTCCTGGTTAAATATTTCTGGTGTTTGGCAGCTTTAGGATCCCCAGAGCTTGCTACCCTTGAGATAGATTGATTTTTATCAGGGCAACCTGGTCTACCCAAATATGGGACGGAGCGCATACTGCTTCCGCTTTCGCTTTTCAGCCCCAATCCAGAGGCCTTCGCAGGCAGTCGCTTTCGCGAGAAACTATTTTTCTGTTAAATTTATATTTTACTGACAAAGACATAAAGGGAGAGTAGTATAGATCTATTTCAAGTTATTTAGCCAATGGACAGCTGACGAGAGCTAAATAGTTTGAAATAGATCTATAATAGTTTCCCTTTATTTCTTTGCCCGTAAAATATAACTTTAACACAAGTTGAGATAGATTGCATCTGAACACGGGAGTTGCATCCTTCTCTTTAAGGCTAAAGGACAGGGTGGGTGGACTGAGAATCCATCATTCAGGATCTCACATACCATAAAATCCAGTTTGGTGCCTCTGGGTGTGTCAACGATTACCCAATAACATACCATTTTTAAAATTCTGTGCTGCCTTTGATCCTGAAAGCAGCACATCACCATCAAGCGTGGATAGAAATGCATAGGCTTTGCCTCCCATTTAGATAGTTTTAATTTGTTTTTCAGAGAAACGTTCCCTGCCAAAATAGCTAACGCCAATGCTTAGTCAGTAGATGAGGCGGGCAGCAGGTGCATTTCTCGTTACTGGATCATTTCGAGAAAAGAAAGGACTCATTTAGGGGCGTGGCAAGTAGGCGCGAGCTGTTGCTCGTCTGTCAAGGAGTTTCTCCTTTGAGACATTTAGCGGAGAAGTGCTTGTGTGTGTCTGCAGCTGCCATCCCACTGAATACAGAAGAAGCAGAGTGGAGCCTTGTTCCAGACCCCATGAATTGCATTGTACGTAGGAATTTCTTTCTCATTTAAGGCAGGGCGCTGAGAGGAGGATTGGGGTCACATCAGGGTATTCGCAAAGGGGCACGAGAGAAGCAGAGGCTGCTTTCCTGAGGCATTTTGTGGAGGAGACCCGTGGGTTGATTCTGGGCTTGGAGAGGGTGCTTTGTTGTCTGCCGTCAATCACCAAGTCAGAAGTGTTTTGTTCTTTTGATTCTGCTGTGAAGTGCTGCCTCTATTAGTCAAATGCATCAAATAAATATTTCAGCCGCAGGATCTCTTGCTCTTGCCGTAATTCTTGGCATGGAAAGGTAACAAGGAGGTGCAAGTAGACAGCATTCAATGATGTTTTGGGGGGACTCATGCAGAGAGGTTGGGGTCAGCCTCCCTGCGAACATGTTTGCAGGCTGAAGGTTCCTTTTGTCTTTTGTAATGTTCCCCCTCAGAAATGGAAGCAGCTGTCCCGCCTTCAGCGCAGCATCATCCTCTTCCTCTTTGCCTTTCTGGTTGTCTGTGGAATCAGGACGTATGCAAACATGGCTGACCCATGGAAAAGTACGTTCCTGCTAGTTTTTCTACCATAAGTTACTGTTGCGTAATGGAAATCGGTTGCTTTTCAAATGACTAAAACCACAATCCTGTACCTTTCAGCTCAGAAGCACTGCATGTTTCTGGAGGTATTTGGGGCTTATTTTCAAATAAAAGGTTATTCTGCTTCGTGGTTTTACTGTGATGAATTATTTTTAGAAATTAAAATTTTTCGAGCTATTGTGCTCCCAAACTTGCAAGCATTGCTTTAGTTGTGGGTTTTGTTTTTTTATTGTGTGGGAACAAGAAGATCTCGCAGAAGAAAATGACTTAGTGTTCCTTTCTTTCTTGAAACCAACCTTATGCGTCAGCACTAGTCTCAGCGGCTGATTTCACTCCGTTGCATCAGGTTCATTGCAATTAATTTCTTCATGCAGGTGCAACCAGCAGATCTTTGGAGGAGCAGAAGGCTGACCTGGAGATCCCTGGATTGAATCCAGCAAATCAGGCCATTCTCCCGATACCCCAGAAAGCCGATGCCAGCCTCAGGGACTTTTCACCTCAAGTAATTCCCCCCTTCCTATCCCCCACCCCCCACCCCCCTATTATCTTATTGTAAGCCAAGGGGAGGGTTAGCAGCTGTTAGGCAGCTCAGCTGCATGTGGCCATCATTGTTTGTCAATCTGGCCTTTGAACTTTTCTATCTGGAAGGAATTTTTCTAACCGGACTGATCCCCCGACTAGCCTTTGCTGACTGGACCGACTCACCCGCCATAGGCCAGCATAGTAGTCTTAACACAACTGGAGGGTCTCCTTTTTCCCTGCTTTCCTTGAAGCATTTAGACTTTCAGCTGTGATTTCTCCACTCCTGCCCATGAACCGATTCCTTTGTTTGTTTTCCAGAAACCTCCGAAACAGATTCCTGCCCGGCGAGGCCCTCCGAATCTGCAGATCCGGCCACCTTGGAGGGAGACGGAGGCCAAGTCCCAGGAAGAAGCCATCAGAGCGGAGGGAAATCCTGGCCAGGCAGGTCAGGTGCATAACCTGGATAAGCCCGTCGTTAGGTGAGTCGCTTAGGTAGGTTAGGTAAACTCTCTCAGTTTAGCCTAGGACAGTTTTGGACTCTGGCCCTGTTGCACGTTTTAGTCATGCAGGAAAGATGGGATGCTTGACTAGCAGGTGGACGTGTCACCGCTAACAGAGAAGGACTGCCCAGTTGTGCCGATTGGCAGGGAAAGTGCTGGAGAATGCTCTCCTACGACGTGGGGTGTCTTTGTGTCATCGGTTGTAACGTAGTGAAGGCCCACGGAGCAGAGAAAGCAATAATCCTCTTTCTGCAGTTGGAGAGGAGCCGTGATTGAGCCCAACCCGAGCCCTGAGCCGCCTTCCAAGAAAATAAACCATCCAGGCAGGCCTTCTGCCGTGGCATCCGAAGACCAGAAAGAGCCAGGTAGTGGGCAGGGCTCAGCTTAACCCAGATGGCTGCCCAGGGGGGCTTTGCTGACGTGGCAGCCCACCCTTCCTTCCGCAGGACCTTCTCCTGTGACGGAGACAGGAGGGGGTGGCTCTGCGTTTTCCCTCAAGGGCAGCTCCCGATGCCTCTTCCTTCCTGTTTCAGTGGCCCTCAATAAGCGCCAGCTGGCGGTGATCGAAGCCTTCCGCCACGCCTGGAAAGGTTACAAGGAGTTTGCCTGGGGCCACGACGAGCTGAAGCCCATCTCCAAGTCCTTCAACGAATGGTTTGGCCTCGGACTGACGCTCATCGACGCGCTGGACACCATGTGGATCTTGGGCTTAAAGGCAGGTCTGTGCCTTGCCTGTCAGTTTGCTTGGCCTTCCTCCTACCACCAGGGGAATCTAGAGGAGGTTGCAGGCAGAGCGGGCTCCCTTCTTTTGTCTCGGCCTTCGTCCACCCACAAAAAATCACCCTTGTAAGTTGAGGCGGCTGTCTCTGAGGAGAGAGAGCCCAACATAGAGCAGATAAAGGAGGAGCCTCTCAAACTCAGGAATAATCTCTCAGCCAGAGCAACTGAGCCTGGACAGGGCCTGGGGCTTCTCTCCCAGAGTAGGCAGGGTCTGGAGAACTTGGGCAAGCTTTTCCTTTCCTGCATGGGAGAAGTTGGCTCAAGCTTCTGGGCTTCCTTTCCCTAATGCAGAGTTCAAAGAAGCCCGAGAGTGGGTGGCCAAGGAGCTGGACTTCAAGAAAGACGTGGATGTCAATCTCTTTGAGAGCGCCATTCGTATCCTGGGAGGCCTGCTGAGCACTTACCACTTGTCTGGGGACAGCCTCTTCCTGGAAAAAGCAGTAAGTATCTTGCTTGCCTCTGAAGACCCCTGGAGGGCCCCTCCCCTCCTCAGAATGATCAGGAAGGCCTCTGAATCGGTCTTTCCTCTCCGCCCAGCACCTGAAAACGGTCAGTCGGTTGCTTCCTTCCTTCCTTTCTCTCCCTCCCTCCTACTCTGCAATTTCTCCCTTGTTCAGAAAGATATCGGGAGCAGGCTCATGCCGGCCTTTAACACCCCTTCCAAGATCCCCTTTTCGGACGTCAACATTGGGAAGGGCACAGCCCACCCCCCACGCTGGACCTCTGATAGCACTGTGGCTGAAGTGACCAGCATCCAGTTGGAATTCAGGGAGCTCTCGCGCCTGACCGGTGAAGAGAAATTTAAGGTACTGGGGGGGGAGGGAGGGGAGTGGATTGGCTGGGCTCCCTCCTCTTAATGGGGGGAGGAGGGGGCGCGCAGAGGGGAAGAAACTACCTAATCAAGAAGTGGAGACTTCCTCAGCTTTTGGGACAGTCGGTTATGGTAATGCTTCCTGCATTTCTTCTTGGGGTGTAGTTCCCACAGGGCATAGAGAGGGTCACACCCATCCACACCCACACCCAGGTTGAGGCTGGATGGAAGCGGGTCCATTCCCTCAGAATTCTGGCTGCTGCGCATATTTCAGAACCCCGTTTGTGTGCTGCTGTTCCTGGTTCTGGTTCCAGTGGAACAGGGTACCAAAGCTCCACTGTTTGTTCCTTTGCCTCCTAGAACGCCGTGGACAGGGTGATGAGACACGTCCACTCCCTCTCTGGCAAGAACGACGGCCTGGTGCCCATGTTCATCAACACCAACAGCGGGCAGTTCACCCATCTCGGAGTCTACACCCTGGGGGCTCGAGCTGACAGCTACTACGAGTATTTGCTCAAGCAGTGGATCCAGGGAGGGAAGAAAGAGAACGAGTAATTCCTTTTAAATTCCCCTTCCTTCCTTTATAAGAAGCCTGGCAGGATTTTCTGTGGAGAATTCTAGGGCTTTTCCTGCAAGCTTTATACAGGAGGGTTAGCCCTTGACAATTGGCGTTCCTGATCGGCCCTAATGATGCACCATGGCCTTGCTAGCAGCATCCCAACCGCTAACGATGGCGCCTCCACCCCCCCCCCAACAGGCTCCTGGAAGACTACGTGAAGGCTGTTGAGGGCGTGAAGATGCACCTGCTCCGGAAATCCTATCCCAAAAGGCTGAGCTTTGTTGGGGAACTCGCTCACGGTCGTTTCAGTGCAAAGATGGTGAGCCTTCTTTTAGGGAACGGGTGGGGGGGCAGAGGGGCACCCTTTTTCCCACAATTCTGCTCTTACAGAGGCTCATGCTTCCTCTTCAGCAACCAGATACCCTCCCTGTTAACCAAGAGTGTTGCTGAGCACTTAGGCATGTTTCCTCTCCCAGTTTCTGAACGGCAGCGGATGGATTTGCTTAATGAGTCAAATTTCAGGCTCCGAGCGCTGCGTTTTCAGCCCTTCTGCCGGGCCTTTCAGAATCTGGTCCCGTGAAACCCGCTGTATTGCCAGCACCTGCATTTCTCAAGGGCTCATAACTGCCTGCGCAGATCTTCCCCCTTCCTTCTTCGCTTTCACTGTCACATCAGTTCCTCTCTTTTGAATAAGAAACCCCTTCTCAGAGCTGTAGTAGGAAGGCAGCTGGCCATGCAACCGGCCAAGCGTGGCGTGCAGGGAGCCCAGAGCTCAGCTTCAGCAGAGGAGAGGGACTTTGGCAGAGAAAGTCGGTATCCCACCAGCTTTCCTCCCTCTGTGTTTCCGGAGCAGGATCACCTGGTCTGCTTCTTGCCTGGAGTCCTGGCCCTCGGCGCTCACAACGGGCTTCCTGCAGATCACCTGACCCTGGCGGCAGAGCTGGCAGAAACCTGCTACCAGATGTACGTGCAGGTAGAGACCGGACTGAGCCCCGAAATCGTCCACTTCAACACGCACCCACAAAAGGACCGGAAGGACGTGGAAATCAAGGTGAGGAGTTCAGCAGGGCTGATCCTGCCCTGGGTCCCCGGTGCGCCAAGCAGAGGACGAGCCTCGCAATTCAGAGCCCGCTCTGCGGTGGGCACCCAAGTCACCCCCAGAGTAGAAATGCCCTTCAGCTTCCCTTCTGCTCTCCTTTCCCCAGACCGCCGATAGGCACAACCTGCTGCGACCTGAGACGGTGGAGAGCTTCTTCTACCTTTATCGGTTCACCGGCGATAAGAAGTACCAGGATTGGGGCTGGGAGATCTTGCAGAGTTTCAATCAATACACCCGGGTAAGCCTGAGCTTGGGGCAACCCGGGCCGTCTGCTTCAGCATCGGGGTCCCATCAGAGAGAGCAAGGAAAGGAGGAAACCCCTCACCCCTCCACCAACCCTAGTTAGCAAGAAGTACAGCCAGGGAGAATTGGCTGGGAGAAGGCAGGCTTTGAATGAACAGCGCCCCAAACAAGCCAAGATGGTGGACCTTGATGGCCTTCAAATTTCACATTTTGGGTTCTCCCATCCAGGTCCCGACCGGTGGCTACACGTCCATCGACAACGTCCAGAACCCCAGCAATCCAGAGCCGAGAGACAAAATGGAGAGCTTTTTCCTGGGTGAAACCCTCAAGTACTTTTTCTTGCTCTTTTCGGATGACGTGAACTTAATCAACTTGGACCACTACGTCTTCAACACGGAGGCCCACCCGCTCCCCATCTGGCCATCGGCATAAACCGAAGCCGGGCGTCTGCCATTCCCAGGTTCGATCCCGTCTCGATTCCGGGGACCTGAAGGGAGGTGTGTAGCGACATTCCCGGAGGAATTATATGTGAGGGAAGGTGGGTCTCCGGAATCACAGCCCCCTCTCCAAAAAGGGGCACCCAAGCAAGGAACGGGCAAGCGGGCCCCTGCCATGCCAGATCCCGCTTGGCAAAAGCGGGGAGCGCAAGGCTCGCTTCGACCCAGGGAGTGCCTCAAAACTAGCAAGGAGGGGACCCCCGTGGAGGGCCCAGCATTCTTCCGTTGTCTCCGATCCACCTCTCGGCAGGAGAGGCCAGTCAGGAGGAAAGGGTGGCCTTGTTCCCAGGTATCCATCCCAATGTCCCTGGGGCTGTGAGTTCCCAGGATCATTCCACAGCTGCAGGTGGGGGGGTGGGGAAGGGGTGAGAGCCCTCCCCTCGAAAACAGTGTTCCTGATCCCGAAGGGCACTTGGGAGTAATCGGGAGGAATTTGTGCCCTGTTGCGAACTGGGGAGAAGCTGGATGGGGTGGTAAATATATACATATATACATATATATATTTTCTTAACTTATCTGCAGCAATGCAGGGAGAAAAAATGTGAAAATTTACATTATGAAAAAAAAAAACCCCAGAAGGTTATCTATGTAGGAATTTATATGTGTATAACATGAATAATGTTTTGGCTCAGGTATCCTTCCGAAAACTGCTTCCTGCATGGGTTCCTCTTCCAGGTGGGAGGCCCCAGAGGACGGTTGACCTTTACTTTGCAAGCATGTGGGGTGGGGTGGGGTGGCTGGAGGGCAAGGAAGCAGCGGGTCACAGGGGCTTTATCCCCAGAGCGGATTCTGCCTGCTAGGATTTCTGCCACGCCTCTCGTGCTTTGAAAAGTTCCCCCTGGAAAGTTGGGCTTAAAAACCAAGCTTTTAACTATCAGCCACAGAGGAAGCTGCTCACTAAAGGTGCAAACTCTGATATATTTACACACCGAAACGTGGAACAAAGGCTCGTTTGCTTCGGCTTTCCGCTTGGTTGTGGCCTTTTTGTCTGTCTCCGAGTCAGGACAAGAGCAACCTGCAGGATACGAGGCCATCTCTGGCCTGGGCAGAGGCTGCCCTTTCATCCCAGTCCTTCCTTTCTGTCTTTTCGCCCATTCCTTCTAGCTTTCATGGCCCTCCCTCTTCCCAATCTCCCTCTTCGCTCAATCTCAGCACTTTAAAGTGGGGGCAGAGAGAAGATTCACGGGACAATCTTCCCCCGTTTTGGTGGGACTGATTTTTTGTATTTGGGGACCTCTCTGTGCCCTTCGTGCTTGCTGCTGCTGCTGCCGCCTGGTGACGATGCTCTTGCGGCTGGAACAGCTGCTTTAAATCCCGGCCCAGCAGAGGACAGGGAGACAAACTGGCATTGCCCCTCTCGGCTAATGGCACATACTAATGGCAGCACTGGAGCTGTGGCAGGAGAAATCCCGGCGGGATTGTTTTCTGCGAAAGTGGTTTCAGAGGGACTGGTGATCCCGTTTCTTTTTTGTATGCCACGCCTGACCCAAACAAAATGCATGTTTCCCAACACTGTGGCCTTTGGTGCTACCTAACAGATGGGACGGTGCAATGACCAAGAGCCCCAATCAAGAAAACGGTGGCTCAGATCTCTTGGCGCACGCCTCGAACTCGGTTCCTTCTCCCCTGCAATATCACAAGGTCGGTGACTCTCACAAAGGGAGAGAATCAAATGCTTTGAACAGTTGAAGCACAATAGTATCGTCATAAGAAAGATTCCTTTCCGATCTTCTTACTGTAACTCTGGACTTCTGAAGAACTTCACTGTCGCCACGTTCTTGTAAATGATCTTTTGTTTGCTGTTGTGGCCACCAAGTCCCAACTGAATTTGGGAGTGGGGGGGGGAAGGTGGTCCTGGCTTTCGAGGGGGTGCTTGCAAGGCACTATTAGGTAGTTTCCTGTTCCCCCCATATAAACAGATCCTGGAATTTAAAAGCCATACTGTAAATGCCCAGTTTTGGGAGGCCGACACTTTACGTTGAACTGGTGCCTTCCGATTTCAAGGGGAAAGAGAGAAGGGTTGGGATGGCCACGTCCCTGAAGGCGAGCATTTCTTCCAGCAAGCAAAGCATAGACCTGGGCTGCAGACCCACGAGTCTCTTTCAAACAAGCCACCTAGGACGTCTGTTTCCTGGATCCTCCTCAGAGTTAGATGCTGAACAGCCCCCCCACCCACCCCCAGCACAGAATTGCTTTGCTGTTTTGTTTACCGGTGCACAACCCTGAATTTCCACTTGCCTCGTGTTCTCCACGGAGGCCGGAATGTCGTCCTAATTTTGGAAATTTCAAGAGAAATTTGCCATGTCAGGAAAACCTAGCTCCGTTTTCTTGCGCAGCCAAACCGGGGCACATTCCGCGTGATTTTCCTGCCGTCTTATGGCCAGTTCATCTCATGTCTTAAGAGCAGATGTCTTAAATGATCAGGCACCACTGGACAATTGGCTGTAAACGGACCGGCAGGGAGGGAGGGTTTCTGGCTGCCAAACTTGGTAGAGAAGCTGGCTATCGTGAGGAGCACCCTGTGTGTTCCCATCATTCCCTCTGGATAATCACTTTCAAATTACCTTTTTTTTCCTCCCAAGAAGAGGCAGACTTGCTGAAGCCTTGTTGGTGCGATCTGGTCAAAAGTATCCATAAAGTAGAATTAATTCCTTTTGCGAACGGTTCAAAATGTGACTTGCCTTTTTGCAAAGGTGGGAAAAATCTCCGAAATGAAAGCGAATCTTACAAGTGATTTTGGCTGGGAAGTTAATCTGCAAAATTCTACTCCACCTTAATAAACTTCCAATTTATTTTGAGACATTGCATTTTTCTGTGCCACTGACTGCTTATATGTTTCTCCCCTGGTTAAAAGATGGCCTTTGCACGAGAGGCTGAAACCGGGAAGTGAAAGTTGCTCTGTGTTGAAGCACTGTGGCGCATCATCCCTTGATAACAACACTGGTAGAACTCCTTGGTGGGGTCTCCAGAGTGAAACCAAGTTGGCTAAGGAAAGAAATGCTTTTCCTGGGGTGGGCGTACGGGGGCTGGGGGGTTCGAGTCTTCCCACTTTCTATGGGGGGGGGGGGTTCGAGCCAAAATGTCCGAAGGGACAACTCAGGGTAACATCCCTATTGCTTTCAGGGTTCCTAACTTCAAACCACCCATCTCAATGCAGCTCAGCGCTTAAATTCATCCCCCCCCCCCCCCCCCAGTTCCCAGATCCTTTCTTAGAAAGAGGTGAACCAAAGGCTTGTTTCCTCCCAGCCTCCATGAACCTCCCTGGAGGGAGCTTTATTCCTTTCTCTTCAGCACTGCAGCATGAAAGTGTCACTGCTTCAAGAGGACACTAGAGTCTCTCCCCCCCTTCCACACCCAGCGGTCCGGGGGCTTCTGTTAAGGCAACTCAGACGCTACTTGGTGGCCTTGACGGTGGCCGCCTCCACCCAGCCCTGGATGATCCTGGCTTCCTGTAGCCGAGCTTCCCTGGCCGAGGCGGGGTCAGCTGGGTTGGAGCTCCTGTTTTTTGGGGAAAAAAATAAGCCCAGTGAAGAGGACCATCCCTGCTGCTTGTCAGAGGGCAAACGTACAGCCACGGGAACTGAGGAGTTCCAGGTGGCTTTTAAGGTGTGTTTGCTTGCTGTAGCAGGACCCCTCCCTTTCAGGGAACACAACCGCTCTGCTTCCTCTTTCGGAAACATTTAAAATTCTTGAAAGCTTGTTTTTAAAAAGAAAGGGGGGGGGGGGTAATGAATCATCTGAAGAGACTTCCTTAAACAAGAAAGTCCAGTTGACTTTTGGGGAAAAAAGCACCTTTGGGACAACCATGACCTGGATGGCTGAGAAGCTCCAGAGACCCCTGAAGAGGGTGGCTGGTTGAGACCAAAGGGCTCCCCTAGCTCAGCACCTGGGCCTGCCCACGGGATCCGGGAGACGGCAACAGCCGCCCTCCCTGGTCAGAAGCCAGGAACAGCTCAGAGCAGGAAGGTTAGCTATGGAGGCAGCTATTCCTCCACCATAGGCCTGTCTCCCAAGAGACCTTCTGAACAGGACACCCCGGCCAGAGAGACGGGAGGAGGAGGAGGAAAGGCCTGCCTAGGGCTCCACAGAGCAAGAGGAGATCCTTGCAAGAATGGGGCAATCCGAGGAGACGGGGAAGAAGCCAGGAGGCCAAACGTACCGCAGATCAAGGTGATGGGCGCCCCCTTTGATGGTGATGGCAATCAGGGAGGAGCTCAGGTTCTTCCGCACCTGGAACGGCAACACCGGAAAGTCAAACTTTGGGAGTGGGGGGAACAGTAGCTAACGGGTCCAGGTAGATCTGACCAGATCCCAGGAAGACCGAGCAGGTACTTACTCCGCCTGATGCCCAGGGGTCCAAGTCTCCGTTGGAAAAAATAATATTGCTTGCAGCAGCCAGATCTGCAGTTGTCAAAAGAACAGCAAGATTCTCGGTTTGAATGATAAAAGCCAGTGGGGAGGCTAAGGCGAGACGGGCAGCCCCCATCTTGAGGGGGCGGGGGTGTCCAGGAGGAGAGTGCCTGCCTTAAAACCATTCAGTGGCTCTGCAAAAGCTCCTGCCTTTCCCAGCAAGATCCTTTTAACCGGCCGGGCTTTTCTCACAAGGAGGCCCCAACCTTGGACAGAGAGGTTCAGACTCCCATGGCAAGCCCTGTCCTCACAAAGAGAGGCCTTGCAAGGGCCCAGAAAGAGCCTCCTTCCACAGGACACCTCTCAATCTGGGACCATGTCTTGCTGCCCTTTAAGTCTCACAGCTGCACCCTCCTCCCGCAGATCACCCAGAGCAAAGGGGGCTCTTCAGGAACCCCCACCCCCCAAATTGCAAGCTGAAATCCCAACAGAGGCTGCTGCTCACCGCTGCCCCAGAAGCTGGTGCGCAGCCACGATGGCCGGGGCCAGACCCCCCACTTGTGGAAGCAGTAACCTTCCCGGGCGGCCTCTGTGAAGGGCAGTTCCGGAAACATGTCAGTCACGTTGTTGCTGCTGAACGTTAAGTTGATCTCGGTGCAGGCCTGGAACAGAGAAGAGTCTGGCTGCCGGGAGAAGCAACTGCAGGGGTCTTGTCCGGAACGGGGGGGGTGTCTACACTGCGTCAGCCCAGCCCCCTGCCCACCCCGGCAGCTGCCAGTTTCCGTACGGAAGAAGCTGGCTCCTCCGTGTGGGAAGGGGAGACCCGTAGCAAGAAACATCCCAAAAATGCAAAAATGCCCGGGGAACCTTGCTCAGATAGCAAGTAAAAAGTCCAGACTTGGAAAATGTTTTTTCATCCCATCCCTGGCGATCGAATGCCTCAATATCCTGAAGGGCAGCTGCCCACCACCCCCACCTGGCACCCCTGCACCCGCTTCCCTTCCCAGCCAGCCCAGGTGAGGCAACCTACCTGATAATCCCAAGCTTCCGCATTGGGGCCTAAGCCACAGCCCGTTGGATCGGAACATTTATGGTACAGCTGGTAAATGTCAAAGCACTTTTCCGTCCCCGTGGAGTTGTAAAATACTCCTGGTAGAGCAAGAAGAAGAGGTTGAGTCCACTTTAGGTGCTCCAAAGAGAGAGAGAGAGGAAGTTGGGCAGAGGGGAGGCAGTTTCTTAAACCTAAGTCATCCAGGAAGCCCACCTTAAGCCCAACTTGGGAGAAAAACTCATCTTGCTTTCAAAGTCTCAGATGAAAATTCTTTGGAAGACACGTAGCTAAAAGAACCACGAAGCCAGAACTCCAGCCCTTGGGAGGACAAGCTGAAGGAATGGAGACCCAAAAGTCAACATGCAAACACACACACACACACACACAAAGGCTTAAGGCTTCAGGACAGAGAAAGGGAAGAAATTCTTTGCCAAGTCCTGCTGCCAGGTACAATGGGAAGCTCTGCTTTCTAGCGTAGAACGCAACTCTTGCGGGTGGCTGGGCAGAGAAATTGGAAATATCCCTCGTTAAACTTCTTTCTCTTCAGCCGAGGTATTAAATCCTAGGAACAGCAGGAAGTCAGATTTTCTTCCCCTGCTGCCTCCTGGCCAAAGACCGCAGAGAAAGCCCAGGCTGAAGCAGCCGGCTCTCCTTCCAAGGAGGGGGCAAGCCTGGACTTGCCTCTTTCCCCACTTTGGCCAGACCAGGAAATGGAGGACCCACCGCACCTTGGTGGACATCAACCAATGGGAGGGAGGGAGGGAGGGGAGATCGGCTGCTGCTGTCTTGGAGACGAGGGCTCAGCTGTCCTGCTCTCCTGGTAGCCCAGAAAAACAAGAGTGAAGCACAGCTAGCAAGACTGGCCATCCCACTGGCTGAGTCCAGGGATGCTTCCCGTGGGCAGAGGGGAGGAAAAGGGCTGCTTCGGAGCTATGGCTTCTGGAGAGACACATCTTGGGGACCGGGAAGCGGCAGAAGGCCAGAGTCTCAGCTCGGACACCTACCTGCCTAAACTCCTAGAGGGGCTCCAGAACCTGCGTTCCCAGAATGCCCTGTGTGACGTGGTGCTGGAGGCCGAGGGGGCCTCGTTCCCCGCCCACAAAGCCATCCTTGCCGTGGGCAGCGGATATTGCAAGATGCGCTTTGCCAGGGAGGCGGCCAGCCAGGCAACCCCGCTCAAGCTGGCACCGCCAGTGACCGCCCGGGGCCTGCAGGGCGTCTTGTCTTTCCTTTACTCCAACCGGCTGGAGCTGACTCTGCAGACGGTCGAGGAGGTCTTCCGAGCGGCCGAGGCGCTGCTGGTGCGCGAGGTGATGTGCCTCGCCTTCCGCTTCCTGGAAGGAGCCCTGGACCGGCACACTTGCTTGCCCATCCTCTGCCTCGCTCAGCGGCTCGGCCCCGAAGAACTGAGGCTGAAAGTGCAGCGCTGGGTCGGGAAGCACTGCGGGCACCTCCTGAAGGACCCTGTGCAGCTGAAGGAGCTGGACAGGGCGACTCTCTGCGAAATCCTGGACGGAGGAGACACCCGGGGACTGAGCGAACTGCAGCTCTTTCAGGCCGCCATTTGCTGGCTGGACCACAACGGCTCCCGCCAGGAAGACGCAGCCCAGGTGCTGGGCTACATCCGCTTTCCCTTCATTCCGCTCCCGGATCTGCAGAGGTTCGTCCAGGAAACGCCCGTCATGAGAACCGTGCCTGCTTGCCGCCGGTACCTCCGGGAAGCCCTGGACTACCACGGCCAGCCGTACGCGCAGCCGCTTCTCCAGAGCGAGGGCGCCCGGGTGCGCCACAGGAACGAGAGGCTGATGGTGCTGGGGGGCAGATCGGCAGACAATGCCATCTGCGGGGACGTCTGGGCTGCCGACCAGCACTGCCATTCGTGGACAGCCATCGGGAAGCTGAGTGGGCCCCTGTACAACCACTGTGTGGCTGTCCTGCACGACTTCGTTTTTGTGATGGGGGGCCAGGAGAGCTTTGATCCGACAGGCCAGGAGCCTTCCAAGAAGGTAAGACAACCCTGACTGTCCAAAGAGGCACAGCTGGCGGCTCTGGTTTTCTTCAGAGTAAGAGGCCAACGGAGTCCCTTAGGGAGAGCAAATGTCCCTGCTTCTTCGTTGGCAATGTCAGGTAGTTCCTGGTGGCGAGGCAGACTTCCCCCTTCCCGAAGGGAAGAACCGGGGGAGCCCCTGACCTTCCCCTCTTCCAACTCCAGGTGTTCAGGTTCGACCCTTGCCGCAACACCTGGCTGCAGCTGGCCAGCATGCTGGTGCCCAGGACTCGCTTCTACGCAGGGGTGCTGAACGAGCAGCTGGTGGCTGTGGGGGGTGGAGCATCGCTGGGGATGCCAATCAACACGGCCGAGGAGTACCGCCTTGCCAAGAATGCCTGGCGGCCCCTCCCGCCCTTTCCGGAGACGGTGGCTGACCACGCAGGAGCGACGCACGGAGGCATCTTGTACATCTCAGGTGTGGAAGGGCAAAGGGCGGCTGGCACTGGCTGCTCTGGAGAGAGAAGCACCTGGGGCTGGGGCAGCCTGGAAGGTGGAAGGAACAGCAGCCCTTTTCCTTCGGCACAGGGGGCTTCGCGGAGGGCCAGACCTTGAACACCGTGTACAGCTACCTCTCCCGCCTGCGCTGCTGGGTCAGGAACCGGCCGATGGCCTTTGCCCGCTGCGATCACGGCATGGCAACGGTGGGAGACCGCATCTTCTGCCTGGGAGGAAGGGCTCTGGCCAACGTAGGTGGCATTTGCTCCATTCCTCTTGGTCTCTGGGGCCTCCCCGAGGCTCAACTGGGCGTTCTTGGCAGTGCTCTCTGGCTCTGCCCTATGCTTTGGTTCTTTGTAGGGCCAGGAGTGGGTCCCTGTGAGTGAGGCGGAGTACTATTGCCCCGTCACTGATCGATGGGCCCGGCTCCATCTGTCGGCCGTCGACCTCTGCCACTTCAGCCTCACCAGCAGCCAGCTTCAGCTCTACGTCACGGGCGGAGGGTCTCTGCGGCGGAGGAGCAAGGAGGACGGCGTCTGGGTCTGCCACCCCAGCAGGGGAACCTGGGTGAAGGTGGGCTGCCTGCCCCGGACTCTGGCTGATCACGCCTGCTGCTTCGTTCACCTGCCCCCCGGGATTGCAAGCCCAGGAGGAGCCGAGCGAGAGGAGCCTTCGGACGGCGGAGGAAAATAGCTGGATCAAAGCAGTTTGGGTTTTCCCTGGGGTGACCCACAGGGAAACGAACTGGCAGCGCTTCCACCCTGTGGCCCCCACCCTGGAGAAATGAAGCATTCGCAGAATGAAACTGGGCGTGTATCTACTCACCGGAAAGAGCTGCCAGCCCTCGGATTGGGTCCTTACTGGCCAACATCAGTTCACAGCCAACCTGAAATATCAGACGTGCCCAGGCTTAATTTCTCAATGCCCCCTCCCCATCAGAAGCAGCTGAGCACATCTGCATCACCCCCTCCCCAAGCAGAAAGCCACTTTGGCTACCTGCCGACTGGCCCAATATAATCTATTTTCTAGCTCGTTTGGGGTTTCGTGCCAGCTTAAAAACATGCCGTAACCCCCATTGGTACTAATCTTACGCTTCTTGGCCCAAATCCCCAAATGCTTATCTTGTCATGAAAAGGGAAAAAAGCCCCAGGCCCCAAATCTCTCTCTAGGACTGCCTTCGGTAGGTCCATTAATGAAAGGCCTCCCCTGGGGGTGGGGTGGGGGACAGGAGTGTCACTTTACTGGCTTAAGGATCTCTGGAAAGAACAAGCAAGGAACGCGGTTTGGTTGGTTATCCTTTGGCAAACATACCAACCCTGGGCAAAGATACGTGAAAGAATTTGGGTGTGGAGCTTGCTACTGTATTTTTAAAAATCACAATATCCGCATTAAAGTGACCACCACCACAACAGGGGGTTTATTTTTGTCGAGCTGGGTACGCCGAGAGACTGAGCTGCCCCACGTCTGAGGGAGGCTGAGCTCTTACCTTGACGGGGTTCGCTGGGAAGTGGCCCATAAAGTCCGTCGCGTACGGATAATCCAGCATGGCCATCATGGTGAAGGCATTCCGGGCAAACTCAAAGAGCTGCTTGACGTCCTCTTGAGTCGAAAGCTGGTGGCAGACAGCCATCTCCCTGCCGATTCTCCCGTAAGCTTAACACAAAGGAGAGGCGCCTTTGAGTTGAAGGATGCCGCAATTGGTATCCTCCACAAACTGGGAAACAAACTGCATTTGGGGTTTAAACCTTTCTGGTCCACTGTAGGGCAGCGGCGTATTTAGTCGCAAACTGCCCACAACTTCACACCCTAAAATGTGTCTGTCCCAAGGCCCGTTTGCTCCCGTTCGGAGCTCCTTCCTTTACCTCCCACCAGGCTGAGGTCCTTGATTTGTCTGAATGCTTCTCGGACAGCTTTGGCACACTCCGGACTGTAGTTCTGAAAGTCCTGGAAGAAAGAGACGAAATTCCCAAACCGAGTCAGAAAGCGAATTGGATTCTTTCAGATTCACTGGGGGATGAACGGGAAAAAGGGAGGCCGAACGAGGCCCTTGTCTTACTGCTGTGACATCCTTGAAGAACTGGCCGGGATCCCCAATCCCCGCGGTGGACAGCACGGGGGCACTGGCAGCAAGGGCCCCGGCCACCAGGTTGGGATACTTCAGCCTCATGTAGGCGCTGAGCATCCCTCCGTAACTGTGAGGGGGATAAGGAGGAGGCTGTTACTTTCCTGGACAGAGGAAGCCGAAAGGGATCACACCCCATGGTTTGCTCGGAAGCAGCCCTCACCTGCCCCCGAAGGCGATGACTGGCACGCTCTGCGCTCGGTGCTGCTCCTTCAGCCACGCGATGAGAACCGCATAGTCGGCCAAGGCTTGCTCCACGCTCAGCAGGCCAATGTTCGGCCCCTGCAGGGACGCTGCTCCGAATGGAAGCGATTTCCCATAATACCTCTAACAAAAAAGAAAGGGGGGGGGGAGATGAGCCAGGGAACAGCCTGTGCTATGGCAGCCCCTGACGCCCCCCTTCCTGCCTGCCCTGCCCGGAGACGGCAACCCCCCTTACGTGTTCTGCGAAGACCACCAGGGCCCTCTGCTGCTCCGCCAGCTCCAGCAGGAAGCCGGTGTTGAGGGCGAAGTCCCAGATGTTTCCTTCATTGCCCGTGTAGAAGAAGATGGGGCCGACCCCCTGCTTCCAGAACTTGTCTGCGGGACAAGGACGCGTTAGGGGAAAGATGCGGGCGGTCCCCGTTTAGCGACCGACTCATTTAGCAACCCTTCACGGTTACAGTGATGATGAGGAAGCCCTCAGGGGCCAGTCCTCCCTGGGCATAGCTGACTCAAGGCAATAAGCCCAGTCACAGGGATTGCTTCACTCAGCAGCCCAGACGCCACTCCCAAGCGTGGTTGCAAAACGAGCCCCCCCTTTCTCTCTCTCTGCACGGCTGTGGAGAGACCCCTCCAGAGCAGCAGCCAGCCCACGGGCGCCCCCCCCCGCCCTCCCTGGCAGCTGAACCTGCGGCCCCCTGGGAACCCCTGCCCTGGGGGGAGGAGGAGGGGGGGGGCTTTGCCAAGAGGGGCCCATTGACCCTCCTCCCCCCAGGCTGACCTGTGATGAGGTACCGCTGGGGGAAGGTCCGGTTGCGGCACTTCTGGAAGTCGAAGTGGTCCAGGGGCTGCAGGAAGAAGCGCTCCTGGAAGGGCGGGGGGGATCGGGGGGCTGCCAGGAGGGAGGAAGGGAGGTTAGGAAGCGCAGCGACCCCCCCCGACCCTCCCCCTCCCCGGGACCCCTTTGGCAACGGCCGCCCCCTCACCTGCCGCCCCCAGCCCCGGGAGGAGGAGGAGGAGGAGGGGGAGGAAGAGGAGGGGGAGGGGGAGGGGGAGGGAGGGGCGCGGGGCTCCCGCTGAGATCGCCTCCATGCAGCCGCCGCTCCGCCGGTCACGTGCTGGAAGGCTCGGCCGGTCACGTGCGAGGGGGTCACGTGGCACTCCCCCCCACCGGGAGGCGGTAGCGGCGCCCGTCGCCATGGAGACCGAGGCGGACCCCTCCCCTCCCCCGCCCCCCCCTAGGAAGCCCCCCCCCCCGCTCCCCCCCCCCCCACGCTTCTCCTCCCAGGGGGGAGGGTGGGCGCCCTCTGCACATGCTCAGAGACCGGACGGGCCCTGAGAAGCGCTGCCACTCAAGACGCCCCCTCCCCTCCTCCATCAGACTGGCTATCCCGCCCCCCTCCCATGCGAGGCAGGGGCAGCCGGCCCATAATGCGCGGCCGGGGGTCTCGGCGGCCTCCCTTCCCCGCACGCCCGCTGGGTGGCGCCGGGCCGGGCGAGGCGGAGGCGGGAGCGGAGCGGAGACCGGCGCCGTCTGTGCACCCCGCGGCTCGGCACGGAGGAGTCGGAGGAGGAGGAGGCGGCGTGGAGCCCCCCGACAGGTGAGTGCCCTCCGCCGGTCCTGCCCCGGTGCCCCCGGGGGGAGCCGAGCCCCGGGCGGGACGTCTCCTGGTCCTGCCGCAGCCGAGACAGGTGGAAGGGAGCCCGGCGACCCTCCCGGAGGGCGCTGTGCCAGGACCCCCGCCCGGGCTGGAGCCTCCCTGCCGGCGGCCTTTCCCCCGCGGGCTCCAGCGGCTCCGTTGCAAAAGCCTCCGCGGCTGCCCAGCTTCCCCCCCTCCCCTCCCCCTCTTGTGGGCCCAGAGGACCCCCCGAAGGAGCAGCCCTCCGGGTGCCAGCCTGGCCATCGCTCAGCCGCCTCCGAGGTGGGCAGCTGAAGGCAGCTTGCATCTCGTGGCGGAAGGCGCGAGAGCCACAGGCGAGAAATGCGTTGATCCATCGGGCGCAGCTTTCTTTGCTCTGACCGGCAGGAGCCCCGAGGCGGAGGGGCCGGGGATTAAAGGCAGCGCTGCCCGCCCGCCTGCCAGTCAGGTGCCCCGGCTGAGCCCCCAAATGCTCAGCACCGAAGGGCCGTTTCTGCCAGGAGGAGGAGGAGGAGGAGGGGGGGGGGTTCTGGCTGCCATCCTCTAACCCGGGCAACCCTGGGAGATTCTGGGGAGGGGGAGGGCCGCTTTCCCCCTCTTCTCCCTAGGAAGGGGGAGGGCGAATCCTTCCCTCCCTCCCGGTGTCTTCTAGGAAGGAAGGTGCCACGTTGGTGCTGCTGCTTCACAGCTATAATTTCGCTGGGCCTGACTTAACCAAAGTTCTTGGTAAAGCCGCTTTTCTTCCCCCCCACCTAAAACCTCTCCCCATGACTTGTCTTCTATTAGCTTATGAGAAGCCCACAAGCTAAACATCCTTTGACCTAGATCTTTGCCTGGTGAGTACCAGCCCAGGTGGGGCTGGGCGCTTGACTTGTCAGGTCGAGGCAGGATTTGTGTTGCCAAGTCTTGTTGGGCTGGCCAAGCGCTTAGCTGGTGTGGATTGAGGAGGAAAACGGCACCACCAGCGTCTCCCCTCTGGGGATGAGTGGCAGGAACGCAGATTGCCCTGGGGCAGTGAGGTGGGGGAGTCTTGGACTTCATGCGCCTGTCTTGTGGTCTGGGGTCAGGAGGCTGGATTTGGGGATGTAGCGTCCTATGCAGAGAATACAGAGACTGGGAGTTAGTGATGAAATGCCCTCTTAGGCAACTGAAAGTCTCTGAGTTGAGCAGAACTGATACAGATTCGGAGCCAGCTTTTTGCCAGGGAATCCTGGCCTTCTTCTCCTTGGAGGGCTAGACTTGATAGCCTCTGGGCTCCCTTCCTGGCCTCCAGATCCAGAGCAGGAGTCAACCTGGGCAGCAATGGGCCCTGTTTCCTAGCAACCGGCCACCGTCTCCTCTGCAGATTCCAGAAAGCCTTGGAACAAAAGGCTCTTAAAACTCTCCCCCCCCCCCCAAATCTGCCAGCCGAGCTTTCCAGCAGCTCTGAAGAGGAGACCATGCCTGCCCCTGCCAGGAATGCCCCGTCAGCTGTTTCACCCTAATGGAACTGGCATTGATCTACCACTGCAGGGCTCTGGGCATCCGCGCCAGCTCTGCTTTCGCTCTCAATGAGATCCGCAGTGGAAGAGTGGGAAGATATTGTGACAAGCACACAACCTCGCTGGCGGGCAGGGATAGGTCTGGAGGCTCTGTGTCCGGCCGCTTTCTCTTCAGAGGAGGCCTCTGTAATTCAAGGAAAGAAGATTCAATAAAGGAGAATATTTGTGGCTCAGGGTTGGACCGAGGGGTCCTTGGTCCTCTCTCAGCTGCGTTCTTTCCTTGCAGACGTTTCATGACCCAAAGTAGGTAACAGCATCAGTGCCAGTGGGGTTTGCTGCAAATGCTCCTCCTAGCACTGATGATGTTACCTGGTTGGGTAATGAAACGTCTGCAAGAAAGCAGCCAAGTTCAGAGAGCGTTAAGGACCCTTCAAAGAAAATCCAGTGTGGCCTCTATTCGGTCCTCACCTCGCCTCCATCCACCTGGGCCTCCACACCTGCGTCCCTCCAGGGAGCCGGGGCTGTTGGGTCCTTTCCATAGCAGACCTAAGGAGCCGAGGGTCTTTACCGTGAGTCAGATTTTTGGGTCCAGCAAGACCATCTGTTTAGACTGAAACCGCAATGCTTGCAAATAATATCAACAGCTGCATCCTTGTTTACTTTTCATTTATTTTTGTCTTTTCCGATTTTCAAAGTGAGGCTGGTTTGTTTGTTTTTTTTCTGTGCACCTGTCCGTTCTGTACTTTAGCTCAACGCCTGATGTGTTTTTCCAAATGCCACAAAGTTTAGTCCAAGTTCTTTATAAACAAAACATCCACCAATTAGCGGCACCCCAAATCAAGCCGAAGGCATTCAGTGGCCTGGGGTCTCGCAAGGAAAAGTTATCAGAAATGATGCTGGATTTACGGGTTTGAGGCAGGGGCTCCTGCGTACCTTCACCCAAGCTGTGGTTTCCCTGTATGCAACATACGTCTCGCAAGCAGCTGAATTTTGTGCCAGATTATCAGATTACAGGTTTGGAAGGAGATAATTGTGCTTTCTCTCTGCAAAAATGAACACATTGCAAATGAAGGTTTTAGGGCGCTCGGGAGGAATGGAGTGGGGGAGTCGGTCAGTGCTAGCATTTGTAAAGCGTGAAGCAGAGGCATGTGAGAGCAGCTCTGCTTCTTTCTTTCAGCTCCCCGGGTGCCACCAGCGCATTCCTGCTGTGTTGTTGTGTTCAGCCTGGGAAACCGGAGGCTGCAGCCTCCCTCCTCAACAGGCCTGTTTTTGTCAGGGGGACAATGGGCCCATTTTGCTAGCCATCTGTGTCTTAAAGTAAGAGGCCAGAACCGCCATGTAGTAAAATCAGTCTCCAGAAAGCGTTTTCTCCTCCCGTCTGGGTCCCTGCAGCGAATTCAAAGGGGCTGCCCCCTCACAAAGTCTGGCCACCACGCCTGGTGCCGGGCAGTTGGCAGTTCCGCCTCCAGTGCCAGGAGGGAGGGCCTGCTGCAGACACTGCCCTGCACAAAAGGTGGGGAAGGCCAAGAACGCCAGGCATGAACTCGGGGCTGGAGGGGAGGAGGGTCCTGGGATGCCCCCACCCATGAATTTAGCACCTGGGAGACTCAGCCTGGCCAGAGAGGGGGAAGAAGAGGCCTGAGCAGCCAGGGACCGTCCTTCGTGGGAGCCTTTTCCTTGCACCTACTTAAAATCCTGGAGCAGCTCCTGCTCGATCTGAGAGCCTCTCTGCTCAGGGCAGACGGAACCTAGAGAGCCCTTCAGCTGGAAAGCCTCTCGGCCCCAGTTCCTCCCAGCAGTTCCTCTGCCTCCAATCACTGGAGCTGCTGCTCCCAGTTCCCAGTTTGAGTCTGAGCAAAGTTTCGTAAAGGGAGATGAGCGCTCAGCCTGAGAAGGGGCTTTTCTGAGACACAGAACCTCTCCTTTCTTTCCTCTTTGCAGGGCCTGCCTTGACCATGCACAACGTGGGTCTGGCATCTCCGGATTTTTCTGGCTCAACCCAGTGCTGCGAGGAGAGCCCGGACGCTTATTGCCCAGAGGATGACCGGTGGCAGAGGCTGCGCACGGCTGTCCGGAAGCTGGAGTTCTGGGAAAACTTTGAGGCGGAGCTGATAGGCAGCGGCTTCTTCTCCAAAGTCTTCAAGGTAGGGCATCAGCCGGGCATGTTGAGCTAGGCCCACCCACCAGGTTGCCTTCTGTGCCCGTTGCCCTCCAGTTCCCCTCCGGGGAGGACGGGGGAGTTGGGGAGCAGAAGTCCCAACATGCCTGGGAGGAGGCAGACTGCATCTCTCAGACCTGCTTCTGGGTATTCGGAGGAATGTTTCGGGCATCAACACTGGCACTCCGTAGCTAGCTGGCTCCATACGCAGGGACAATCAGGGTAGCCCAGGAGAGTGTGCAGAGAGAGAGCATCGTCTCCAGATCAGGCAAGATGTTATGAAAACAGGAGCCGGGGAAGAACCAGAGACACCCAGCTGGTGCCACTGGTTTTGAGCAGAAGACCAGCATTTCCAAGGTGGTTTCATGACCGAGGCAAGAGAAGGAACGTTTTGTCTTAGGGGTTGGCATTCTCAGTGCCAGGACATATCTCTGGTTTAGGGGGAGAGAAAGCGACTGCTTTTTTTCTGATGGGTGACGTAAGAGGCAGGAGTCCCCCATGTGATGGGACTCGATCCGAGGGATCTCCTGCCTGGGTGGGCCGTGGCCGGATTCTTGTGCAAAATCAAGAGCTGGTGTTTCTCCAAAGGGAGACGAGTCTTTAAGACGATGAGACGCTCTCTGCTTGCATCAAGAACGCTGCTGCTCTGGTCCGCTTCCTTCCCCGGCAACTGAGGCTGGTTCCCTTCTGCCCTCTCCCCCTGCTAATCCTCACCTCTGTCCCTCGGTGCCTGTTCATTTGCCAATGGGCAACGGTCCTTGTTTTCCAAAGCCTTTGTGGGTGGTGCTTCATGTCCCTAACTCCCAGTCTGCAGGATTCCTGCGGAAGGACAAAACCTTTCATAGCCACCAAGGTTTGCTGCGGTTTGACAGGATGACCTTGTGGAGCTTTCTAGAAGTGAGGGACAATTGCGTCAGGACCGAGCCAGGATCTCTCACTGCTG